ACATGAGAATCAAACTCTCCCGGCCAAGAGGCCGGGCCATAATCTAGTAGAGATAATGAATTCCATAACTTTTGAGTAATTTATTCTGAAATGAAACAATTTTGTGTTTGATATTTGAAAAAATTCATTTTCAATTCTAAATTTTGAATTCTATGAATTTGGAATTAGTTATAGCAATTACGAGGAATTGAGATGGAATTTACAAATGAATTCCACAACTGTTTACGAACTATAATAGAATGATATAATTATCCTCATTTATTAACTAAATTACTTATATACATATATTATGTGGCGCCAATTCATGCGGTTTGAGGTACGTCAACAAGAATTTATTGTAACGCTAGTTGCATATGCTGGTTATTTGATATTTACGCTTCGATTGTATCAATATGTTGAGAAGACACAACTAGAGTGTAGGATTCATCGATGAAATATTTGGAAATCACTAATGAATAGAAAAATACGTACAATAACACTAACATATGTGGCCAACTCTTAATTTAATTTAATTCTAAACGTATGTCAACATGGTTTGAGAATTCAATTCATTTATTCCTAAAGATTTGAATATGAAATACAAAAAAATAGGAATTCATTTGACAATGAATTCTACGAGGTAATTCATTTTAAAATGAAATAAATTCTAGATTCATTTGTTACCAAACGAATTGAATGGTTTTGGATGTGGTATTCCATGCAACCTGGTTTCTGAAATATCCGCATATTTCCTTCCGAATTCCGAACCGAATAGCATCATTTCGGGTTTGGTTTGCGGATTTACCGGACCAATTGCGCCCCACCCCCTACTTTGATGAATGTGCCAACGGGATCGACAAATTATTCTCTTTCATTTGGCATTGCAATTATTACATCTTACAAGGATTTGTCAAGAAGATCAAGCTCACACGCAGAACACTAATCCAATAACCAAATCCTTCACACTTTGACATTCTTCTTCCTTTCTTTCTTTCTCTCCAACTTCCCACTAGTTCACCACCCTGCAGTTCTTCCTAACCTCCCCACTACTCCCAGTAATCACACCAATCCCCGCCATCTTCACCATCGAAACCCCGAAATCCTTGTAAAACAAGAACGGGAACTTGCTATACCCGGCCACCATCGAACCGGTCACATTATCCGACATCAAAGCCTGGTCGGACCGCAACAAACCGGAGCTGTTCACCAGCAACTTGTAGTACACGTTGTCGAACTTGCTCGAGCTCGCATCCAGGGGCGCCAGGTTCGAGTTCGACTCGTCTCGGTTGGGGCACGTGCTCTGAAGGGTCTGGAGGAATGACGCGTCGAGGGACGGGTCGGGTCGGCCCGACCCGGCGAAGTCGAAGAGCCGTGGCTTTACGACGCCGCATTGGGCGAAGCCGAGGGTGTGTCCTCCCGAGAGAACGACGACGTCTTTGGTGTCGAGACCTTTGGCCGCGAATTTTCGGGTTATGTTCTCGAGCGGCTCGAACGGACCGGGGAGCTGCTCGTTGGCTGCGGTCTCGCTCGTGGTTGAACCGTCTCGCCGGCCGAATGCGAGCGACCAGTACGGCCCTCCCGTCTGTGAAGCAACAAGGAAAATGAGAAATTTCGACACTAATAACTCAAATTTAATCTATTTTCAAAACCAGATCGCGAATGTTAAACCGAAAAAAGTCAGTGATCTATTGTTCAGTAGTTAAGTGCTATAGATATCATTGGTTAACCATTGATAGAACCGTTCATGCACTAAAACATAAAAGATATATTTAATTAACCAATTCAGGACTAAATTTACCACTTCATCATAAACAATTTCAAATTCATATTATCCCATAAAAAAAAAAATTCTAAAATAAAATTCATACTATCTCACATAAGAAATCATAATTAAAATTCATTAAATTTAAGTTAGTAATATGGGTGACAATCCGTATCCGCAGGCAGAAGTAACATCATTAATTCATGTTGGATGGTCTTAATTTTGTTAACGTATTTTTTCCTTAATTTTTTTGTGTGGTTAAAATAGTGAGTCATTGGCCCTTACAAACCAGAGGGGTTTATCATCTGGTTTCATGTCAAACCGTTAATTAAAGACCATTCAGTCTATCTTCACACGTCATCTAAGTAAATGAATTTAATCGTTATTATAACCGACTTGATGATTCTACCAGTCCAACCACTAATCCGGTTCAATCCTTATAGCAATGCTAATTTCCCTCCTACCAAAAATAGAAGGAAGATAAGAGTACGTTGTCCTTACGAGATAAACAGCTTCTCTTGCCGCGAGAGTGAGAACATCGGCACACGAGACAACTCCCGGACAAGCTTTCTCCAAGTTGGACTTGATGGAATCAATGACCTCAAACCCTCTAGCCGAGTTCAGATTTGGGAGCGCATTCTTCTCTCCACCGTCCAGCAAAACTGACCCATCACAACCCTGTGAGAAAAAAAAATCGACACTAATAAAGTAAATACTCAGAATCGGTATATGCTAATATTGTGAGCGATGGAGGGGCATACATACATTGACGAAGCAATCGTGGAAGTGAAGGCGGAGGAGGGAAGCTGCCATCCTTGTGTCGTTGGAAATGGCGGTCCAAACGCCGTATCGAACGATCTTTGTCAGGCTGGGGCACGAATCATCGTAGAAGGTGTAGTTAAGTTGGCAGTTCACCAGAGAGGTTAAGAACAGAAGGCAAAACAAGGGAGCTATGTGAAGTTTAGGCAGAGAATGATTCTCCATCGCAAAGGGAAACTATGGTAAGATTGGGGCAAAGCTTGTTTTGAAGAGATGATGTGTGCTTGTTGTAGTACTTCAAAGTGAAGGCATCTAAGGTTATATATAGCCACAAGCCATTAGTCCAAGTGTCAAGAACCGGTTGGTCTCTATCAATGCAGCGATCAATAGCACGATTCTACGTTAAGAGCGTTTTGGTGACAAGCGTAAAAGTGCGTAAGCTTTTAATCTTTAAAGCGCGCTACTTTGAATACATAATCAGGAAAACACGATTCTACGTAAACAACATTTTGGTGATCTAGAAGCGTAAAACTGTAAGCTTTTAAGCACGATTTTTTGACTACATTATCCTCAATAACTTGAGTTGTTGAAAGATGTTCAATTATGGATCATATACTATTTACTAACCCCCACCCCACCACAAACAAGAGCCATCATTTATAGGCTTGAAATGTAAATAGGTTCCAATACTATATGTTTAACAAATGAGAGTCGTCATCAGATTCGAAAAAAGACCTATTTGTCACCGAAGACTCTAATACCATGTCAAGAACCAATAAATCTCAATAACTCGTGTTATCAAGAGATGTTAAAATTATTGATCATAACCCACTTATTAACAACATGTACTTTTCAGAAGGGTTTGGCACGATTCCAACTTGATAGTTCTTTAAACGGCGGAGATAAGGGGAATTAGGGAGGGAAGAAATGCAGCAACCCACTTGATGGAGGAGAGTTGCAATTGCTCCAAAGTGCTTGGGTGATGCCATCCCCATGATCTCTACTCTCTAGTACAGTTATAAATTTGTATATCTTAAGAGTGAAGTGGAAAAGCTAATGCATCCAATTGAGACTAGAATGTGTAAAAAGTCAATGTTCTTTGGGACTTAATTAATTTTGCATGCTTTGTCTACGCCCTTCCACTATAGGCTTCTCTCATCGTCGCCTTACCTAAAAATCCACCGGAATAGCAATTACTTGCTTATCAAATGATCAAACAATAATTAGTGGCCTATTTGTGATTTGTTTGTAGTGCATAGGGTTAATGGATTGTTAATAGCACACTTTCTTTTAATTAGATCAAGGAGACACCACCAGTAGTGATGGCAACAAAACCCGAACCCACCGGTACCCATCCGACCCAACCCGGTTAACTCGGGTAAAACCCGTGTTTGACGGGTTTTGGGCCGGGTTGGGTTTGGGTTTAGGTAAACCCACCCCATGGGTACCCGCCCCACACACATATAAGTATTTTCCCGGTATTTCTAATATTATAAATAATATATCTTCCTTAAACAACTTATATTCTTTATGTTTGTGGAGACATGTATAATTTGTTCTTTCTAATTATTTAGAATGAAGTTGATGTTAGAAGTGAAGAGTGAAGAAACTTAGTTGACGAGGAAGAAGCTTTCAATTAATCTTATTGTTTATCTTTAATTTTGAACAATTTGTATTGATCATTTGCGGTTTGCTTGTATGCTCTAGATTGGTGTTTTTTGTATGAGAAAATTGATGTTAAACTTTTATTTTGAAAAAAACTTGTTATTGTAAATATTTTATCACAAAAACCCACGGGTACCCATGAACCCGCGGATACCCAGCGGGTTGGGTTGGGTTTGAGTTTTTCAAACCCAACGGGTTTTACCCCGGGTTTTTTGACTGATAAACCCATGAGTTTGAGTTTGGGTTTGACAAAACCCGCACCAACCCGACCCATTGCCATCCGTAACCACCAGTGACCATAATTGGTATTTGATAACCATAAGGGAGGCACACTTCCTTTTAGGTTAATGTCAATTAAAGTTTTTTTTTTTTTAATAGATAAAACTTGAGATCCATTGATATTTGATAACCATAGGCCCAAATAGGCTTACAAAGTTGGGTAAAAAAATAGAAGTACATGGATGGAAAGCAAAGCTAAAAGGCCTAACAAAAAGAAAAGGCTGAGCCCAATTCCACATTAAGAGGCTTAGCAAACCCTAACAAGCCCAACTCCAAACATAAATCATCTGCTATTCCGGGGCAGCATCACTGAAACTTGGGGCTTTAGGTTCAAATTTTGAGTCTCAGACTCTCAGACTCAGTGCAAACAAGTTATTTCGGTCAAATCCTATATGCAAATTCAAGACATATTTAATCGATGGATTTAGGAAAATTCTTAACGGGGGCGTGAATGTCTTTTCCAAATTGCTGTACATAATTTGAAGTTTCGAGCTCAAAATTCGAGTTCGCGGTTTCGCGGCCCCAATATAAATCGGGCATCACAAATTCACAATTGACGGAAAGGCTCAGGTGCCCCAAGTTTTCGAGTAGAACAAATCAGAGAGAAAATGAGAACGGGGAACACCAGGAAGCGACTGCGCAGTGAACGATCCATCTGCAGCTGCAAATCTCCTCGACATGCTTCTCTTCGCCCCTTCGACTTGTAAGCTCTCTTCTCTCTTCATTTCCCTTTCTAGGATTGGAAATTCATCAATGGCGAATCAATGTTTCATAATGTTTGAGCTGTATGTTACCTGCTCGTCCGAAGCTAATTTCTAGAAGAGTCGGTTCAGATCTCCAAATAGGTTGTGGCTGCTTTTGATCTATGAACTCGCTCTGGTTTTGTATCGAATCCACGGAGGTTTCGTTTAGTTGTGCTTCTGCATATCTTTGTTTGAGCACTGTTTGGCTGCTAAGAACAGCGAGGAAGTACAATTGAAAATCAAGTAGATTAGGAGCTACTGTGGAACCTAGAGATTGATTTCAAATCTGATGTCCGGCCGATTCTCCAATTTTTCCGATTGTTATTCAAAAATAGTCAGATCTTACTGATCTCCGGTAGATCAAATTTTGGCAAAAAAAAAAAAAAAAAAACAGTTACGAATTGGACGTGTGGACGGAGATCGCCAAGTTTCTGGATGGTAAATCTCTGGTGAAGCTCGCGGTGACCTGCCGGTGGTTCCACGGCGTGATTATGCAGGACTCCGTGTGGAAGTTGGCCTGCTTGAGCCATCTTCAAGTTCCAGCTCCAGATCGTGTGGAGTTCAAATGGATTCAGCTCTACGCTTCGGCAACCAGTGAGTTTCTTGCTACTCTGATTCAACTTTCCTGCATCTGTAGTTATTCTTCCTCAGATTCAATCTCTCATGCGTCTGTCTCCTGCTGTTGTTACAGATGGAAGCCATTCGTACTCGTTTCACGAGAAGGAGAAACATCTTGGTGAATTCCCAAACGATGGATGCCATTCTAGTGAAATTATTGTTTGCGATCTAAGAAGTTTGCCAGTTCCTGTGCTGAATGTGTTTGTTCGTTGGTTCTTCTGTGTGCCTGAAAATCAGACTGGATGAGGGTCGGTGCCTTCTTCCTAGACTCACCATCAGTAATTCTTACCCAGAGACTGACCTTACCCTTGAAGATCATGAAACGTGAACAGCTCAGGACCATGTTGGGATCCAATGGGGCATGTTTGCTGAGCGGCCTTAAAACAGGCATCTGGATGGCAGGTAAGAAAAAAAAACAAAATTCAGAACTTGATTGGCCTCGTCTTGTTGACATTCACTATAAAAATTCTTAATCTGAAAATCCAATCTGGCTATTGATTGATGGATGATATCTTTGTCAGATCTACATCTGGTTCGTTGCCCTATCTGCAAACTTGATACTTGCGTGGGTGAGTAGTCAGGTTACTGTAGTGGATTCTGTTCTTATTGTTGCAACCATCATTCATTACTGAGCATGACTTTATTGGGTTGGTAAAATGCTCTGCATAATGACTCCTTTGATTGATGTGTTGGTTTCTTCTTGTACCGAGATCAAGGGTCGAGAGTCTGCTCCATTGCATACCCTTGTTGCCACTGAAGATTGGAGTTTCATCTATGTATGCAGGAAAAATGCAGACACTTGATGCAAGGCATATAGAATTGTTCCTGAGTGAGGAGTACCAGAACTGCATTTGGGTGTATGAGCACATAGGATCCCACATAGTTAAAGGAGAAGCAGCCAAGGCAGCCTCTGCAGCCATGCTGGACCTCAAGCACATCTCTGACCACCCAACCGCTGGTACAAGATTTGGTGTTTGCTATGCTTTTAGATGAGTGATTGATTGTCAATACTTAACTGAAATTACCATGTTTTTCCAGATGTGTTCAATCTCAAACTCTGGGCTGGACGACCAGACGATTTCCAACCGAAAGCTATGATCACTTTCCACGCCCTTGCAGTCAGCACCAACTTACAGGCCAATCAAGGTATATAGCCATAACAGTACTAAGTACTGAACAAACACTCCTTCACTCATTCAAATTCTACTGTCTGCCCATATTTCAGCAGGACTTCTATCAAAGTTCTACGTGATGCGAGATGGAACTGGCGGAGAAATTGTTTCCATCAGAGTCTCTCAGCAGCTCCTGTAACTCCCTCTCCTTTTGTCAATTCCACCCCGGTGACGGTGAGTGTCAGCCATCATCCTTCATCAGTCACAGAGAAAACAACTCAGATTTTTAGCTAGTAAGTTCAAACAAGCAACATATACATATGTCATCATACTTTTTTATTCTCTTGATTATTGAACTCCCTTACCTTCAGTCAGATTCTACATTCAGTACTTAGACAGATAGCTTAGATAAACAAATGGGGCATCAGGGTCAGACTCAAGACTTATCCTCCCTTTTAGTTTAAACCAGCCTCCCCATTTCCCAGTTGACCCTGTATTAGTAAACTGCAAGGAACAAACAGGTTGCAAATTCTTTAGTGATATGGAATAAGAAGAAGAAGAAGATGCTTAATTCATATTAATTCCTCCTTCTGAGTTCTGACTTTCAACAGTTGCTGCCCTCAGTCCCTCAAAATTTCAACTCCATTTATTTATTTTTCTAAAATTCCCCCCCTTCACCTGCTTCCATTCTTTTTTATTCCCTGCTCTATTTCAACGGGCGAGGACTTTTGGAAGCTAGAAGAGGGTTTTCTTTCTCTCTGAAGAGGGTTCTTCTCAGTTGATGAGCTCCTATGGCCATCTCAGTTGTAGTACTCCTTCTCCTCCTCCTCCTCCTCCACCAGAGCATTTCCCTGTCCACGTCATCGTCACCACCGTCGCCGCCGCGGCAGGACTGCAAAATCTCCACATGCACCGGCCGTGGCTCCATCCCAGTCCGATTCCCCTTCCGCCTCGCCGGCCGGCAGCCGCGGACCTGCGGTTACACCCCCGGATTCGACCTCAGGTGCGACGCGCAGGGCCAGACTGCCTTCCAGCTCCCTCTCACGGCCGGAGACTTCGCCGTCCGGAGCGTCGACTACCTGACCCGGCGGGTCTGGATCAACGACCCGGATAACTGCCTACCCAAACGCATCCTCACCCTCGACCTCGCCGGCTCGCCGTTCTCCGCCGCGTTCTACCACAACTACACTTTCCTCCGCTGCCCGACCCAGCTCGTGCGCTCTCGCTTCACCACCGTCGCCTGCCTCAGCAACTCGACGACCTCGGTTCTGGCCACGTCTTCCTCCGGCTTCGTCGGGTTCATGACCGCGACGGCGTCCTGCGAGGTCGCCGGGACGGTAAGGGTGCCGGCGTCCTGGCCGGTGCCGTTTAGCGACGGGTCGTCGACGGCGCTGGACGACGATGTGATGTTGGTGTGGGACTCCCCTGACTGCACGGATTGTGAATCGCGAGGCGGATCCTGCGGATTCAAGAACAACGCCACTCGAGTTATTGGTTGTTCAGGTATTATATAATTACATTCTTACTCACTAGAAATTTTACAATGCTATATAGTATTGGTGCTATAGGATTTTGCTTTTATGGTACAACTTAAAATTGTACATTTATATTATGGTACAACTTTATATTGTACCTACACTTTTTGTACAAATTCTTTTATGGTACAACTTGAACTTGTACCTTTATGTGATGGTACAACTTCAAGTTGTAACGTTGTACCATAACATAATGGTACATTTTCCTTTATGGTACAACCTAAATTTATACATTTAATGTTATGGTACAACTTTAAGTTGTACATTAAAACACCAATACTATATAGCATAGTAGAAGTGCTCACTATATTTTGAAGGAAGAATAATAATACGGTTATATTACGAGTATAATTTGACATAATTATATATATTTTTTACCAAAATAGTATAAGTTATACATTTTTTTGTATTAGTGTTAAGATGAAATCAGTTGTTGTACTTTATACAAAATTATCATGGTTTCAGTAATAAAACGTGAAATTTTTTACTGAATTTTGATTTCTCAACATGGTTTCAGTTTTCAATTTGTTCGTAAGCTATTGCCATCAATTTGGGAAAGAGTATTAGAGTATGAGTAGTAAGAGTAGTATTATATTATACTACGAGTATTATTATATAATTTGATAGAATTATATTCGTCATTAGAGTCGTAATATGTTATGCATTTTACATATTTTTTTTTGGAGAGAAATGCATTTTCCAATATTAGTGTTAGAATTATTATGAAATTTGTCGTTGTTCTTTATATAAATTCATCGTGATTTTCAGAAATAAAACACAACAATTTTCACCGATTCCGAATTCTCATATTTTTGTAGGTGTGGGGTCAGCGTCTGCTTTGAAAGTTCTGAAGGTGCTCTCTCTATCCCTAGCAATCCCGGCAGCAGCTTGTGCCACCGGGATCGCATGCTTCGCATTTTTCATCGGCTGGGGACGGCGCGGAGCTACCACCATGACCATCAATTCCGGCCACCGGAATCCCGCAACGGCCGTAGTGCCGGAGCCCGTGCCGGCGATGGTGACGGTGGGCCTCGACGAGGCCATCATCGAATCGTACGAGAAAGTGGTGCTGGGAGAGAGCAAGCGGGTTCCCGGACCAAACGACACCGCCTGCGCCATCTGCCTGACGGAGTACTGCAGCAAGGACACCATAAGGCTGATACCGGAGTGCAAGCACTGCTTCCACGCAGAGTGCATCGACGAGTGGCTGCGCATGAACACCACGTGTCCGGTTTGCCGGAACTCGCCTTCTTCTCCGTCAAATGCCGCCCATGCCGCCGGAGGAAACCCAGGAGGAGACACGACTGTCTGATTGGAAATGTGACAAAACTCTCTCTCTTTCTCCCCTCTCTGTCTATCATTTAAATAGTTTGCATCATGTAAATTACATATCGTAGTATAGGAAACGACCACACGAAGAGAGTTGACTAGTTGTTTACGAGTGGTTCATTCAAGGATTTGTGTTATGATGGACGATAATGCGACAAAGTGAGGAAAATAAACAAGAAGTGGAATTATGACATAATCTGTTCTAGCTACATTTATGGACAGGAGAGAACATATTTTCATTAGTTTAGGAGGGTGCGCCTTACATCAATAAATTTCGAAACTAGTTTGGAATGGATTAAGGTGGCTACATATTCGGATGCTAAAGAGTGTCGTAGTCATCCCACATAGATAAAGGGGGGAAACAAGGCTCAAACTGGAGAATATATAAACGAATTATGTTTGGAGACTCAAAGCATCTTACAGCTTTGGTTGACACAAACGAAAAATTTTGGCATTGAATTCTTACGTCTAAGAAGGGCTTCTTGGGCTAGAATCTTCTAATCCTACCTAAAGCTACTTTGGTGTGTGACCCGTTGATCGGAATGTCATTTGAACAATGACGTATTGATGATGTACATTCTGTAGGTTTTAAAATATTTGAAATGTGTATTTCTACCTAGTAGTTAAATTAGTTGATAAAAATGAACTAAATATGAAAATAGAAATAAAACACTAAAGAAATACTTGCGAAGGAGTTAGTGGGTTGATTAAACATAGTGAAAAAGTTATATGTTTTTAAAATTTTCATGATATAAATATATCAAATTTATTTAGTGTAATTAGTAATGATTCATGTTCTTGTTTGGAGAAACCACAATTCAACTTCTAGACAAACAATTGTAAAAACAAATAAACTTTTCCTACCTTTGCTTTCCTTAGAGGACATTTTGAAATGCCGAAAAACTGCTTCCAATTGTATTTTGTAGATAGATGCAGATTAGGGTGGGCTTAGCTCTCTCCCCTTGATCCAATCACATCTTCCCCTATTCATAAACAAAAAACTCTAAAACCAAAGGTGCAGGAAATGCATTGATGGATTCTACGGATTCTACAAACAAAGGGTTAATACCACTAGGAAATCCGAACTATTAAGAATGTATCATTTGTATCATAAAGTATTCAAAATAATTAAAAACATAAACAAAAATAAAATAAAACGAACAATTTTTTTTTCCTTTCTTTCTTTCTTTCTTTCTCCCGACCTACTTATCACCCACCCACCACCCACCACCCACCACCATCCCTTCCTTCCTCGAAGAAATCAGAAGATCCAACCCGCAACAGATCTTATTTCAAAAATCACCTATAGCTAGCCACCTCATCTTAGCAGATCTATCTCCGCTGCTCCTTCCACTGAACCTTCTTGATAGTTGAGAAGATGGCGAGATGATTTTTGGGATTTTCCGGCTTGGAGATGTCAAATGGAGGAGCAGTAGCTGAATAACCTGGGAGTAGAAGGAGAGGTCGGGATGGATTCGGCTCCCTGCTGTGGCATCATCGTGAAGAGGATAATTGTTGAGGAGGGATTCCACAACAACTGCGCCGGAGGATTTGAGGTCGAAGATTGGAGAGAGAGAGAGAGAGAGAGAGAGAGAGAGAGAGAGAGCTGAAGGGGCGACTCTGTTCCTCTGTTGTTCATCATCGTCCCTCTCTCCTCTCCCATCTCCGCTTACTGCTTCTTTCGACCGCCGAAGCTGTTCCACTGGTTGTATCGGAATCAGAGCTTTGTCGTCTTCCTCCTCGCCTTCCAGTTCCACTTATTGTTCTGCTTCGTCTATCTCCCAATCGAAGGATGTCCTCACCAGACAGAGTGGCAAGAACGGGAAACTGAGGTGAGAAATGTGTTTGGTCTTCAATTAGGGGAAAGGAGGGAGTATCGTAGGCGATAAAGGGAGAGAGGGGAGGCGGGGAGTCAGGGCAGAGGAGAGGGCGAGAATCCAGAGAACTGTTTGTTAATAGAATCGAAATTGGGGACGGAGTTGTGAAGGTAGCGCATGTAAGCAGAGACAGCTGACTCGGCGGCCGCATGGAGTACCGGAAACGGCGGTAATAGAGACATGGGAGCGGGAGGGCGGTGGAGGAAGCCTTGGGCGGCGGCGGCGGAGGGATTGAACGGCTGGGGAGGGACATCGAAGAAGGAAGGGTTGTTGAGGGCTTGAGGGGGACGATTGGTGAGGTGGGCAAGCAGCGGAGGGCAAATCTGCTGCAGGCGAGAGCTCTGGGGTTTTGGTACGTGAATGGGCGGCGGAGCAGAGAAGCGCTCATTAGGATGAGGGAGTGTCAAGAAATAGGTGAGGGGATGCGGCGGGTCTGGGGAGAAAGATGAGAGGATAGTTATTTTATTTTATTTATTTATTTATTTATTTTAGTTTGTATTTGATTTTGACTTAAAATAATGAGGTTTCAATGACGTGGCATCTACGTGGCTGTCACGTCCACAAAATTTCAATGTCAAAATTGACTTTCTTCTGGTCAATCGTCATTTATAACGGTCAACAAAATCGTCGGGACATAAATGACACAATTATTATAGGCTGGAACACAAATATCATATTAGATACTTTAGAACACAAACGACACATTTTTCATAGTTTGAATTTCCCGATGGTATTAGCCCTCAAACAAATTACGAAAGCCGGCCAACACGAATCTGCTGCCAGCGATTCCAGTTTCATCAACTCCGCAACACCACAAGAGAGACGAGACAATGGCTGCGAGAGCTATATATACACACACGTTCAGCACAATCGAGTTCAATAACACCAACAGAAACCAATATGGAGAAAAGCAGGAATTACTCGCCGATGCTCTGTTTCTCCGTGACGCTCCTCTGGTTTCTCCAGCTGGGATTCAACGGCGTAATTACTGCTGCTGATTATGTCCCCGACGACGAGCCATATGTTCTTTACTGCAGCCAGGACATGTACTTCAGGGGCGACCGCGATCTCAAGGCGAGCATCGCGGTGGTGCTCCAGAATCTGATCCAGGCGACGGCGGCGCCAGGGGGATCCGAAATCCAGTGGGGATTCCACTACCCTGCCGACGATCCTCACGTTTACGGTGCTTCCTTCTGCCAGTCGTCTGATAAACCGGCGGACTGCGGGCGGTGTCTCAGGATGGCTAGAAACATGCTTCTCCATGGATGTTTCCACGGCGCCGGCGCTGAGTTCTACTCCGAGCTCTGTTACCTGAGATTTGAGTTTTACAACTTCGATTCTTGAGTTGATGATAGCACCATACCATAATTGCTGTTACTTTCCGAGTTAGTGCACTACTATGTATGAATGTATCCTTTCCTATTTCTGGTTAATAAAAAGACAAAAGTTGATTTCAAAATTTTGTTCGAATTTAGAGAATGTAATGAACTCTATTTTGCTGCCCGATCATTCCTTATCACATCATACTAGCAAAAGCTTGCTCGTAGAGGTGGCAAATGGATTGGATTGGTGGATTGGTGGATTGGATTGGTGGATCCATGGATCAAATGGATTGGATCAAATGGATTGGTGGATTCATGGATTGGATCAAGTGGATTGGTGGATTATCCATGAATCCAAATGACATCCTCAACCAAGGACCAATATGTAAAATGTAAAAAGTTTAGGTACTAAAACGTCATAATGAAAAATTTTAGGTACCAAAACGTAATTTTCCAATGATATTTTTCGTATAAAAAATTAAATTTTAGATACCAAAATGTAAAAAATAAAAAATATAGGTACTAAACCGTAATTTGCCAATGATCCATGGATCCAATCCATGAATCCACCAATCCAATTGGATTTGGATAAAATGGATTGGATTTAAATGGATTGGATTAGGTGGATATTTTTAATGGATTGATGGATTGGATTGGTGGATTGGATTGAAATTGCCACCTCTACTTGCTCGCTATCGCTTCACGTATCACATAAATAAATATTTTAAAAAGTAATGATTTTAATGTTGATTCAAAAGTAAAGTCTATCTTATTTCATTGCTAATCATTCTTTTTATAGGTTTGTTATTTACAATAGCATAAGGTCGATAAACTTGCGCAAGGTAGAGGGGTTGTTAAATAGATTATTTATATTTAAATTTCTTTCATGACGGTAATGTTTCAATTTGTACGTCTTTCTTTTTTTGGGATTGAGGTAATCGTTGTGTTCCTTTATGAAATTTTTGGACTGATTGCAAGTTTGAGGAGGTTCAACTCGTATTGATCGGGTCAAATTAGGTTAGATACTCATGGATTTTGGGTTCAATTGTCATTCTCAAACAAAAGAAAAAAGCGAAATGAAAAACACTAAAGCTAAAACTCGCTACCGACTAAAAAACAAATAAAACTCGCTCCCTCCGAAAACCAGTAAAATCGGGTTCAAGCCGCTTTGGTCTGGTCGAATTAGGTTGTATACCGATGCGTTTGAACTCAATTATCATTCTTAACCAAAAGGAAAAAGATAATAAAAAAAATACTAAAGTTGATAAAACTCGCTCATGACCCCAAACTCTTAACACTTACACTGCGTTCAACTCTTGACATGCTCGACCTAGTTTTAACAAATTCACAACTTACCCAACCTGTCAATTACAAAAGTGGATAAAACTCGCTCTCGATACGAAACGCGTCAACGATGGGTCAGAGTTCAATTGTCATTCTCAACGAAAAAGAAAATGAGAAATAAAAAAAATTAAAGCGTACGAAACTCGCATTCGATCTAAAACTGGTCAACAACGTGTTCAACTCGCATTGAACAATTTTTAACAAATTAACACTTGGTCCAACCTACCAACTACAAATGCGGATAAAGCTCGCTCACAATACAACACTCATCAAAACCTTAGATTCGAGTTCAATTGTCTTCCCAACCAAAAGAAGAAGAAATAAGAAATTTATAAATGCTAAAGTCGATTTCAAGTCGCTTTGACTGGATCGAATTAGGTTGGATACAGATGGATTTGGGTTCAATTGTGATCATACTAAATAAAAAGGAAAAAAATAAAGAAAAAAAAACACTAAAGAGGATGAAACTCGGTCCTGATACAAAACTCGTGGTAGCGGCCTTGGGAAACGATGGTGGGGGAACAATTTAAGATTCCGCCGACATTATTTTGAGATGGGCTGCGAAATGGTTGGCAAATGCGATGATTTGTACAAAACACTAAAGAGGATGAAACTCGGTCCAGATACAAAACTCGTGGTAGCGACATTGGGAAACGATGATGGGGAACAACTTGGGATCCCGTCGACAGTATTTTGAGATGGGCTGCAAAATGGTGGACAAAAGCGATGATTTGTTTTCAAATTAGGATACCCTTGTGTTTGGGGTCAATTGTGATCATGCTCAACAAAAAGTAAAAAAATAAATAAAATAATACTAAAGAGGATGAAACTCGGTCCTGATACAAAAATCGTGGTAGCTGCCTTAGGAAACGTTGGTGGGGAACAACTTAGGATTCCGTCGACTGTATTTCGAGATAGGCTGCAAACTGTTGGGCAAATGCGATGATTTGTGCAAAAAGCCATAGATGGAAACCTAGCGAACAATAACTTAACACAAAGATAATGATTGTGCAAAAAGCCATATAGGAAAACCTAACGAACAATAACAAAACACAAGGCGATGATTTGTGCAAAAATCCATAGACGAAAACCTAGCGGACTATAACTAAACACAAAGGTTGTAGAATGAAGAGTGGGGTAAAAGAATGAGTTGGAACTTCCCCACTTGCACTTGAAGGAGTGTGAGAGCCACTAATGAAAAGTAACTCAAACCTAGACTTTTATATATTAATATCACCCTTGGTGAAAACATATACTAGAAAATACCTCGGGCGAAGGCGCGGTATGTTAAAAGTTGCATGTGGGGTTTGGTTTCATTGTAAGAAATTTTAAGAGAACGGCTAGGTTATAGGGTATGGTTTATCTATCTATCTATCTATCTATCTATCTATCTATCTATCTAGGGCTGGTAGTTGGGTTAGCCGGTTAACTTTTTTAACATGTTATCGAACATGTAACAGGCGATTATCGGTTAAACCGTTTAACCGATGATATCGGTATGCGGTTTGCATATCAGGATCTAACGCCTAAGATTAATTATAATAATTAGTAACTACACTTATAACACCTTCTTGCCCTCCATACCATGGTTTAAGTTTCATATGCAAATTACAATTTAGTACCTAAACATAATATATTTTATGAACTGATGCCTAAAATTGATTATTTTTGTATTCAAGTCCTAAAAGAAAAAAATACATTTTAGTACCTAAAATTTTTATGTATAACATTTTGATACCTTGACTTTTTAAAATTTACGAACATGTCCAATTTAATGAGATTTCGGGTATGCTTTAAAAAACTTATAATATGTTTTATGAGATTCCTGACTTGTTATAAAAAACTTGTTGTCTGCTTTAATAAACTCGTGGTCTGATTTATAAGGTGTATTATATGTTTCCGGAAATTTGTGGTATGTTTTATCATTTATGAGATATCTTATTTGCTTTATAATTTTGTAACTCTTTTCTTAGTTAAAATACTAAAATTTTGGAATCTTGACCTTCATCTGTCTCTTCCAAGTCATTATCATAATGCCAAGTCAATATTATTAACAAAATTGCTAACTGGAAGTTAACATTTGGCTAATTTTTAGTATTTCGATAGGATTTGATGATATAAAAGAATCTGAAAAAAGTTTGGATAATATAAATGACAAGTTGATTTCAAAAGCTTGTCCTTCGGGTTCGAACTTAGAGAATGTAATGAACTCATTTTTGTTGCCCGATCATTCCTTATCACATTGTATATCACCATGGTGAAAACATTCTAGAAAATACCTTGGGCTAAGGCGGGGTATGTGAAAAGTTGCATGTGGGTTTGGTTTCAATTGTGATAAATTTTAAGAGAACGGCTGGGTTATAGGGTATGGTTTATCTATTCATCCGGGGATGGTAATTAGGACTGGAAGTTTGGTATTGGTATTTGGGATATACCGAATACCGTATCGAATTTGTCTATATTTGATATTATCGAATACACGTATTATTTTTTGGGATTGGGATTGAGTTTCAATTGTTATTCGGTATTAGAGATTACAGGATTGGGATCGGTATATACCGAAATACCGATCAATACCGAAATATAAGCTAGTGTGTATTTTATCCTCTTTACTAGACTCTCTCATTCACTACTACGCGACCCTCAACCACCAAGAGTGTCATTTAATTATACATAGATCATTACATCACTATTTCACACTAATATTAGTCGTCTCTCAACCTCAAATTCATCAAATTAAAGATTACCAATTACAAAAACTTGAGATGTTAGCTCTAGGAAACTTAAGACTCTTTGCTTAGTCTCTTTGCCCTAAATTAAACAATAAAATCTAATTTAAATATTTAATTATTAATGCCAAACGTAATTAATTTTGTATTTGATAATACCGATTGGGATACCGAGGTACCGATTGGGATAGCGAAATATTTAGGGATTGGGATTGGGATACCGAAATTATTTAGGGATTGTGATTGTGATTGATTTCATGGTGTAATTTGGTATTCGGGATTTCGGTATTGGGATATCGATACTGTACCGATTTCCACCCCTAATGGTGATTGGGTTAGCCGGTTAACTTTTTTAACATGTTAACGAGCCGGTAACAGGCCTTAATTACCATATCTCCTCCCAGAGTATAGAAACATGTCACGCGAATTCGTTTTGTGGCCATGAATTTTCGAAAAATAAAGATATTTATTTTAAAATATATCAAAGAGGATATTATTATATCATTATGTAAACCCTATAAAGTTTGATATTCTATAAAAAGTGACCTCATAAGATGCTAACAAGCATATGTAAGCACACTACTAACACTAATTATAAGATTAATTATAATATCACTTATAACACCTCCTTGCCCTCCATACCATGGGTTTGAGTTGTATATGCAAATTACAATTTGGTACCTAAACATAATATATTTTATGAATTGGTGCCTAAAATTGACTATTTTTTCATTCGAATCCTAAAATAATGATAAATTACATTTTAGTACCTAAATTTTTTATGTATTATATTTTGATACCTTAGATTTTTAAAATTTACGAACAGGTCCAATTTAATGAGATTTCGGGTATGCTTTAAAAATTTATAATCTTCTTTATGAGATTCCGGACGTGCTATTAAAAAACTTGTTGTCTGCTTTAATAAACTCGTGGTCTAATAAATTAGGTTTATTATATGTTTCCGGAAACTTATGCTGTGCTTTAAGAAACTTGTGATATGCTTTATGAGATTCCTTAATTGCTTTATAAATTTTGTAGTGTGGCGAGGTTCTCATCTGCTTTAGAAACTTTCTGTTCTACTTCATGTTATTTGTGGTATGATTTGTTGTGTTTCTGGTATGCTTCAAATTAAAATAACGACAATCATATCATCGCTTCACAAATTCACATTAATTGTGGCCAACTCTTTTGGTTGGAGCTATTGTTCGCATCATTTCAAGAAATCGAATGTTAACATCCTAACATCGGCCTCCAATGCAAACATATAAGAATATATGTGTTTGGAAACATTAATTATTTTTTTTCTTACATTATTTTTCTACATATGTAATTGGATGTATATAAATATGCTAGGACAAGAAGCAAATGATTATAGAAAAAGAACACAACAAACAATTTCCTTCCTCTGCCTTGCAAATCACATCTTCCCCCTATTAACAAACAAACAAAACTCTTAACACCAAAGATTCAGGAAATCGATTGCTTCCTTCTACGGATTCTTCAAACAAACCAAAAGCCGGCCAACACGAATATGCTGTTTTCAATTTCATCAACTCCAAATTACTCATCATCCCTTTTTCCTTTCGCCAACACCGCAAGAGACAGAGAGGGCTGCGAGAGCTACATATAGAACACGTTCCATTTGCACGAACAGAGAAAAATCAAACTAGCAGTATGGAGAAAAATAGGAACTCGCTGATGCTCTGTTTCTCTGCGATGCTGCTGTGGTTTCTCTCCGCCGTTGCCGCCGGCGGCGGCTATCTGTACACTTCCTGCAGCCCCGACAAGTACTTCAAGGGCGACAACGAACTCCGGACGGGCATCACGGTGGTGCTCCAGAATCTGGTTCAGTACTCATCATCGGATCCAGGGGGAACCGAGATCAATTGGGAATTCCAATACCCTGCCGACGATCCTCACGTCTACGGCGTCGCCTTTTGCGGGCGGCCGGAACCGGAGGAATGCAGGTGGTGCCTCAGGAGGGCGAGGAAGATGCTCCTCCATGCATGTTACCACAGCGCCGGTGCTGAGTTCCGCTCCGACCTTTGTTACATGAGATTTGAGTTTTATAATTTTCATAAAAGGACTAATAAGATTTTTGCCATGAAAGAGCGGGGTTTTCGATGATTCGAATTGTCGAGAGAGGTTCAATCATTTGATCGTATTATCAGTCACTAACAAATACGGCATAGGTTGTATTCTCCGCCTTTCGTTGATGTACTGTTCGAAGGTAGTGCAATGCTTATGTATCCTTTTTTTACTGTTTTGGTTAATAAGAGAGGAGGAAAATAAAAGAGTGATCGTTTGGTTTTGGTGATAGTTTAGATGAGATTGTTACAATGTGTGCATTGTATATCTACTAAAATTTGAAATTGTTGAGAGATAGTTTTGACGAGATTGTTGGATTTCTTTTAAGTGATAGTAATCGCTCAAAAGTCACAAGCAAAATTCATGTCATACGCACGGCACAACGTCAATTAACCAAATCACACCCATACGTGATAACTAAAAACCAGAATATCACACATAAAAGCGTATATGTCACCAACTTTTTTTTTTACAATCTATATGTCACCACCTAATGCAGCCTATAATGTTACCTTGTTGGTTAAGTCTTTTTGGATTTCTATTTCCCATGAGACTCACTCATGCAATCCAAGCCTTTTACCATCTCCTCCAACCTTTGAGATTATCATGTGAGTATAATCCAGTTGCCACTGCCTGGTTATCATTATTCTCATCCTCTTGTTAAACTCAAGCTGGAGTAGGTAAACTAGTTATAAAAGCAGACAGAATTAGAGGAAAAAGCAGTACTGAAAAACAGGGGCAGGCAAAAAGATGGAAGCTTTTCTCACTGATGGAGTCTCCGAAACCAGTACAATACGTTATCTCTCTCTCTCTCTCTCTCTCTCTCTCTCTCTCTCTCTCTCTGTACACGTGAATCTATTATTAGCTGCTGCAGAGGTAAGAGCAGCACAGGAAATCCAGGCAGCCCTCAATGCAGTCGTAGAAGCAAGAACAACTGCCACAGGAGAAGAAGAAGAAGAAGGGGAAAGAGGAAAGAAAGGGATGAAACCCATTAGTGATAACCAGTGAAAGATAGAAACAAAATCAATGGAGTTGAACTCAGTGGAATGGGATTCCATTACCATTCGTTGATGGCTTGGTCCTGGGCGTCGTCCCCTGCGTCTAAATCCCTCTCTATCGACTGCCCTACTGGCGGCTCCATCTCTGTTCTGTCTCCGTCACTCTCTGTTTTCTGTTTGGGAATCGGCTAAGAAAAAAGGGGCGGAAACAGACTGACAATAACAGAGGATGGGAACAAAAAGGAATTGGATTTGGATTGGAATTGCAACCTTCTTGATGCTGTTCTACTGTTAGTCTTCTTCCTCTGTACACCGACTTGTTGATGTTTTGTAATGGAATTGGAATTTCTTCGGAATTCTAAAAATTTCTAATGGAAAGAAATTATTTTTCCTTATTTGTATGTTTTTAATATGCTTTCTGTAAAAAAAAAAAAAAAAAAAAATTCTTGCCTTCTTGGAGATTTTAACGACGACTAATTTGCCTCGAATTTCGCATATTCATGATTCTTGTTAAATGATTTTGCCTTGTAAATCTCTCACTCACGGGAAAGGACAGGCAAAAGGGTAATACCGTAATAGTGTTCTGCTTATGGGTTATGGCCATAATTATTCCCTAAACGGGAAAATAATAAGTTAAAAAAAACTCGGCCCATCCCACTAATTAAATGAGAAAATAACTGGGCCTGGAAAAAAGATCCACCAGTCTGTTGTAGTTGATTCGGCCCAACTTAAATCCAGAGTCCATAAACCTGACCGAGACCAAACTCAAACTGTCAAACACATGTTTTTTTTTTTAATTGTAACCTGGGAGAAGCTTTTATTGCTCGGAACTAGGGGTGGCCGTTCGGTTACCGGTTAACCGGCCGGTTAAACCGATAACCGACCGGTTATCGACTAACCGGTAACCGAAGTAACCGAACTTCGGTCGGTTATCGGAGGCTCGACGACATGGTTTTTGATCTTAAAAGTGGGTCGGTTAACCGATAACCGAGATAACCAAGAAACCGAAGCCTATTTCGGGCGGTTTTCGGTAGGGAGAGTGATTATTTTGGTTAACCGATAACCGGCTGATCGGTTATCGGTTATAACCGAAATAACCGAAATGCCACCCCTACTCGGAACTAGGAGTTACATTATCAGCAACCAGCTGATCTAAAAGGTAAACAGGGGATCTTTCAACCCAAGTCACTCGCTCATCCCATCTCGTATTAGCATGCGCCATAATGTGAGCAGCTGCATTACTCGTTCGAGGGCAATGTCAATGTCAAACACATGTTAACGTATGAAATCCGACCGAGTCTCTTCCTTTTTCCTACACTCTTTTCCTCTATACAATCTGTTCTCCTCCTCTACACAACAATGGAGATGGGAGGCAAAATGACACCCTTCCTTTTCCTCTTCTTCTTTAGGGCCTTATAACACACATTACATACAACAAGAAGCCATTGCGATCACTATCACCGCACCACCGGCAGCTCGGTACAAGTAAACCAATCAATCAGGACAAGCCTTCATCTAAGCTGAGATTCATGCCCTGAAAGTGGTTCAAAAAAATTATATATATACGAGTATGAATTTGGCAACTGGGAGGGTCTTTGATGCCCTCTACTCGGCCTACTTCGTCACCAAGCAAAAAAAAGACTAGGACGAGGCTTGCTTCGGTGATTCGACCGAGTTCGTTTGCAGTTGTATATTGAGAACTTTGCCCACAACAAAACAGGGGAAGACTATACTGCCAAGGGGTTGGAAGTCTCATGAGATCATCGGGCGCTCTTGGTGGACTGCACGAGTATTTAACATCGGGGAGCTGCCAAATCCAAAACATGGTGTTAAGAGTAACAGCATCGGCTTGCAAGACCTATATGCTCAAAGTCTTACGCAGCCACTGATGAGCCTTTCGTAGTTTTCGACAATTCCACTTGCTATGACAACCATTTCGATAATTGCTTACTGACTGTTCATAATTACTTGGAGCCAGCAATTGGGTGAATCTATGTATTCCTCCCAGTAATTAAAAATGGCTAATCGATATAGGGATATAAGTGGCTTGAAATTGTTCAATAAACTACATGCTAAAGTTGTTAACATATTGCAAAGATGTGGAATTGGGGATACTGTTAATGGTAAGGCATTGCCAAGTAGAGACATGGGTTAATGCAGGAAGAAAGTTCTTACTTGTCGGAGACGAACTTTCCCTTGGAGCTTCGTGAGGTTGGAAGTTGAGGAATCATTGGTTCGGCCCTACTAGTCTTGTCATCGGTTACTCTAAGGCTACGGCTAGTGTCCTGCCAGTGTCATATGAAACACAGAGTAGCGAATTAAACGAGTTATATATGTTTTACTGGATATGAATGGATTAATACATTAGTAACGATTTTTAACATTGGTATTCATAAAGAAAATGATTTTTACCATTGGTTTAATGCCATTAATTTGTGGGGTAGATGAGGGAAGAGCATCAGGCAGCTGTTTCAACCACCGATGTTCTAGTAACAAGCTAGCAGAAGGCCGCTCTGCAGGGTTTCTTTTGAAGCACCAAAGAAGGAAATCCTTGCCGTCTGCTGACAATGTTTCGGGTATAGGTGGAGTGTCCCTCATTACTTTGAACATAGCTGCAGCCTGCATCATGTGAAGTAGAACCTGTGACTATCTGGATTATGTAAAGTTTTGTGACCTTATCTGCAGGTTTTTATTAGTGAAGGCGAAACTGAAAAAAAAAAAAAATCTAGGGGCCACTCGGTTAACTTGCTTTGTAGAATGCGTGTATTTTAGGAAGTGCATGTAGTTTGAAATGTGTGATTTATAAAAATAATGTATACTGTAGGAATGCAGTTTTTGATTGAAAAGGATTAATCATAAAAAATGCCGAGAGAAGAAAACAACGATCTATTGTCAAAACCAGGCATTCTCGAAATCAGTGGACAAAAATATATGGGTAGCAAACAAGCTGGTACAAAATTTGTTACTTACACCCTCAAACTCACTCCAAGGAGGTTTCCCAGTGAACATTTCGATGATCGTACAGCCTAAGCTCCAAATGTCAACAGCAAGTGCAAGATCAGAGTTATGATCCTTCTGGATAACAGCTTGCATAAGCTGTGCATAGAGAAACAGTAGTTAGCGTTAGAAAATAGAAAACACCATCATATTGTTCAGATGTGCGGGCGGGAGGTTTACCTCTGGTGCCATCCAGTAAGGACTCCCCTTCATTGAAAGTTCAGCTACTTGTCCAGTAAGCTGATCAAGCAACAGGTCCATGAAAATTACCATTTGTAGAATAGGCCACTAACAAAAATGGAAAATAGGCCACACAATTGGAACTCACATGTTTTGACATCCCGAAATCTGCTAGTTTTACTACCCCAAATGCATCCACAAGTAAATTTGCTCCTTTTATGTCCCTATAGAACACAGAGGAGTGAAACAGTACGATTAAATATGTGACAACTCTGTATCCATATTTTAAACTTGTGAAAGGTATGGATGTTATACTCACCTGTGTACTGTCTTCATGGTATGCAAGTATGCCAATCCAGAGAGGATATGGCGGGTAAAACTACGAACAATTGATTCTGTTACAGCTCCACAATGATCACGGACATATTTATTGATTGACCCGGGATGAACGTACTCTAAATATATATAAAAGTGGTCCTCAACCTGCATAATAAACCGTTGATTACTCAAACAGAGAAACCAAGCAGATACCTGAAGATAAAATAAAAACACAGCAGGGGAGGTACTCACTATTTCACTACCATAATACTGCACAATGTTTGGATGCTTCAGCTGGCTAAGAACTTTAATTTCCTGAAGAGAAGAAAAGAAAGTCAGCAAGTGGAAACAGCCATAACACTCAATATAATGAGCCGTGTTGTGCATTCCACAGATATGGAAGATAACCTGCTCTAGTTGCTTTATGCATTCTTGAGATTTTGGGTCATCCGGAAACATATCAACCTCCTTCATCGCACATAAGGCCCCAGTTTCCCTGAAAATAGTATACTGCAATTAGCAATTATGCAATGAGGAAGACAGGTTAGAGGGCAAATACATGAAATCCACAACCACCGAAATCTCCCATACCTGTTGGTGGCAACAAACACACTTCCAAACGTGCCACGTCCAATAAGCTTCCCTTTCTGCCACTGACTTTTCATGGGCACATACTCTTGTTTAGCAGCAGTAGCTGCAGGAGCAACAGGAGGAACCACAGCTGCAGCCGCCGCAGTTAGAGTTGGAGATATCAGCAGATTTGCTCCAGGGGGGAGAGGCAACTTGTGAACCTCTACACCTGCATTGCTGTCACGTGGCCTAGCAGCTGAAGTCTCAAACGAAGTTCTAGCAGTCACAGGAGATGGAGGACTTCCGTTTGGTGCCGGGCTTTGAAGGGGCGAACTATCACTACTCAAATCGAAATATGCTGGCGGTGGGAGCCCTGGTATATCTAACGTAGACATCTCCGGTGCAGACCAACCTTGCTTCCCGTTTGGAATCAGGTTGTGGTATGGAGATGTGATGAAAGCATGGCTTATCCTCTGTGGACTTATTTCGGGACTTGCGTAGGGACTCATAGATGTACTCTTAGCGGCTTTGTCATGCCTAAAATTGTTTAAATCTAGACCAGCAACTGTCGCTGTACTTGACCTCGGCTCCTGGTGCTGCTGCTCGGCCGTCTTCTTTGTTTCTCGGCCAACCAATACACTATGATTGTTCCCCGAACTACAAGCAAAAGAATAGTATTCAATCCAAGCAAATTGGAGTATATTGAAATTGCAAAATGCCAAACACTCTAGAAGACGTCTCCAGAATCTTAGTGAGCCGAAATAACATCCTAACCATTGTAATTCTGTTGTTAATCACAAAACTACAAGCAAGAGAATAGTGTTCAATACAAATTGAGAAAGCGATCAAAGCTTTTGGAATGTTATCTATTGGAGTAAATTGAATTTGCAAAATGCCAAACGCTGTCGATGACGTCTCCATAATCTTAGTTCTCATTCTGTTATTAATCACAAAACTCAAAGAACAAGAACCCTAGAATCGTCTGATTTCTCCATGAATCGGCGGGAAAATTGAAGTCAAGAACCAGGATACAGAAAATGGAAAGAGGAATTTACCTGCAAGGCGCGGAAGTGGAGAGCGAGGTGCCGATTCCACCGCCGTTACTTCTCTCCCTGGAAGAATCGTGCTCCTTCTCCTTGGGAGACCGCAACCGCGAGTCGGCCTCGCCGGCGGTGTGGAGATTCTCGCCCCGCAACTTCTGCGGCAGCGGGAGAGGCACGGGGAGGGGGACAGGGGAGGTAGGCGCCTTGGTGGAGATCCTCGGCGGCGACGAGGAAGTGCTGTGAGACCGCGAGAGCTTGAGCGGCTCCGGCGGCGACGATTTGGACGAGGCAGGGACGCCGTCGCTGCTGGCGACATCCTGGTCGGTCAGATGGCGGAGCTTGCGCTGGCGGGTGAGCTTGGGGGCGGCGTCGGGGCTGGAATTGAATCGGAAGCCGAAGGTGTTGCTGCGGAGGTTCTGGCCATGCTTCTTGTTGCCGTGGTGCTTTTGAAACGCGGCTTCGTCGTCGGCGGGTTTAGGAGAAGTTACGGAAGAGGAAGGGGCGGACGAGGAGGAGAACGCGGATAGGCTTGGCCAGCGCATGGTGGCGAGAAATCAAAACAGCAACAATCATGTTCGTCACGAAAAATTCACTTGCCGAGGTCTTCCGTTCTTTCCATGGCGTAATCAGCGACGCAGGGGACGACGGACGGGAATCCAGCTCACGGAGAACGACGACGGAAACGAGAGCTGAGGAAACGAAGCGACGGAGAAGAAGAAGAATGGTGTTTGGCGAGAAGCGGTTGCGGGGGAGGTCAAACTAATTGGGAGAAATTCGGAATTTGATCTTTGAATTTCTTTTGTTTTTCGTTGCTCCCGCTGTTTTTTTCTTCTTTTTCCTTTTTTTATTTTCCTTGGGAGAAAATCAAAGGAAAAAGAAAGAAGAAAAGGAAGTCAAAGTGGGAAATGGCGAGGGAAGTCGCCGCTCGCTCTCGCGGCTCGCCTCCGTTCTTCCTCTTTGTCGTTCTTCTGTCTTTTTCTCCAATTGTTTTCCTTTTTTCCCTTTTTATTTTCTCTCTCTACTTTTGTTTATTTCTGGTTTTTGCTTATTATATTATTGCTTGCATTTTTTTTGGGGAGTGAAAGTTCGTTATGGTAGTTACGTCCGTTTCAGCAGTACTGTCTATGAAAGAAATAAAGGAGAAAATTAAATTTATTATTTACTGGTTTTGATACCACTGGTGAATGGTGATCAATTTTCCATCAACGATAGTTGTTGGAACAACCCAAATTGTCATTGCGTTCATTCAACCATCGCGCGAAGCGAATAACTTCTAATCGAATAGTCCGTGGACGTTTTAACGACGTCCTTACAGCAGATGGTGTTGTAAGCATCTTAGTTAGATCTACCTTACATAAATATACCAAACAAACAAATTTTCTACAAGCGAAAATGCACATTATTGCTGCTGAATCTCAATAATTTTCATGCTCAAATATATCACGAAAGAAGAGGGCAGAAGAGTACTCTGTCGGGTCTTTTGCATGTATGCACTCTTGGATCGATCAATCATATTCTGCAGCAACTGCTATCACTCCACATTGCTTACAAGAACAGCTCCGGGAAAGCTTGAAGGGGGCCATGAAACTGAAGGGTAAAAACATGATGTTGATCAACTTGACTGGAGACATATATATATGGATCAGGTTACGCTCCAAGGACGAATTCTCCATGTTGAATTGCAAACCCCCCGAAGTGCGGTTTCTGGCAGTGCTCATTCTCCACTATGCAAAAACAGGTTTTGTTGATGTTTTCAAAGCTGTCGAAACGACCTTACAAGCAGGGGTGGTCTCTCGTCCTTGTGCAGAAGCTTCAGCGAGGAATGGAAACATTCTCTCTCCAATGTCCAGACTGCTCAGGTCGACCTCGACCTTTTGAGGGATGTTTTCCGCGGTGCAGAGAAACTTGAGGCTGGTTCTGACCTGGTTCAACCGGCCACCTGTCCACCAGCATCAAAATGGTAGCACATTGGTTGAGCATGTTTGATCAATTTGGGTACATAACGAGATTGTTTTAAGCTAGCAATTCTGTGAAAGCATCGCATGGAGGGATATTGTGTTCGATAAAGATCAAATCAAGTAGCTGTGGCAAGCAAACATAAGTTCTTCAGCCAAGTAATGGAATGCCAAACGATAAGAGAAATGCGAAATCTATCATGAAGTTAGCAACCAGGTGGCCTAAAACTAACAGCATTGCATGTTTATCAGTAGAAAGATGCAGCGGAACTTCACTCATGCTTTTACAGGGTGAACACATACACAGCAGGATACAGCAACAATAACCATGTGTCCCATGGATAGAACTCTACTGCATCAATCACATTCCCACTTATCCAACCAACTTTCGCTTAAACCGCCTTATGAACACAACGAACCAGCAGACTGCGCAACCTCACTCCATTTCTACATACACTGACTAAAGGTACTAAAAAAAAACACACAAGAAAATCCGCAAATCACTACTCAAACAGCAGCCAGTGCCAAGAATCTGCAGCCATTGTGGAAAGTTCCCAAAAAAAAGGAATGGAATGTACACACTGGCGGACCTAAACAACGTTATGAACTACCAAGCAGTGGTGACCAACTTAGCTCTCTCTACTTACTTCCTTCCATTTCCAAATTGAATAAGGGAAGTAGCAAATTACCTTTCTGAAGACCAGGGCAATTCTCTTCTCCTCTGAAAGCAACTTTTCAATTCAGGATAGATAGAATTTGCTTCTTCTCGGTGGTCAACATCCGCTTCCTGGAGGCCGAGGAGGAGCGAGCATCATGATTCTTCGTTATGCGAAAAAAACCACCGCCGGGATCCTCCCCTGAGTTCTGTCTCGTTCCGCGTCTCGGCTTCCGGTGGCTTCCCGAGGTATGGCTTGGATCGTGTGGTAAGGAGAAGACGGAGAGTAGAGCGACTGAACCGACGGCGGAGGGAATTTCGCCGCCGTTCTCATCCCATGCCACCATTTCGACATTGCGATCGTCGTCTGCAATTCGTTCCCGAGGGTTTTGTGCTGGTTCGAGGTTTAAGGGTAACTAGATTAGACGAAAGGAAAAAGGGCTTCGACATTGGGCTCAAACGTTGAATTGGGCCAGTAAAGCTCATCGGACTGAACCCGTCTGGGGCCCATGTTAACCATTTGCGCGCCACTGTCTAGCTATTTGAAACAGAATCATTACCAAAAAAAAAAAAAAACAGTTTCCATGGCAGCATAAATTGCTCTGCTCCGTTCCATCTCACTCTCCAGTTCACAGAAGAAGAGTCTCCATAACCATCTTCTTTGGCCTATCTCTATTCTCTCCACAACCTCCACTGTTTCTTTCTGCACTCAAGAAGACGATTCAGTTTCCCTTTTCCTTCGTTTAGCTTTCTGGGATTTCGTTTCCGCCGTTTCTCTGTGAATTTCCGGCTCGAGAATTCACAATGCCTTTCTCGGTGAGTCTCCATTAATTAAGCTTTGGTTTCTTGATTGCATTCTTTCCTTTCCCAGTTTCCATTTGATGGGTTCCCCATCCTTCTTTCTTCTCACTCTGATTCCTAAACCTCTCTCTGCCATTGCTTTCTTCGATTCCTGTCAGTCGCTCTAGTACTTCTACCGCGTTCAAACAAAGACGAGTTGCAAGCAAATCTGTAGTGAGCGAAAAAAAAAATGGAGTCTCCATAGCCATCTTCTTCAGCCCATCTCTCTACAGCTTCGACTGTTCCTTTCAGCACCAAAGAAGACGACTCAAGTTGCCCCCTGTTCTTCGCTTAGCTTTCTTGGATTTTGTTTCCGCCACTTCCCTGTGAAATTCCTTCTGCGAAAAATCGATCGATCAATCCAATACTCAATTCCACAGACTAACAATGGGGTTCTGGGTACTAATTCTGTCTTCTTTAACCACATTATTATTTCTTTCTCTGTTTTTTTTTTCCCTTCTCAGTTCCTTCCATGGCGGGTTTTCTTATTTTTTTGCTATTTCCGTTTCTTCTTCCTGTTGATGATGCCGACAGGCTAAGTTCGTGCTTCTCCTGCGGAGGGTTTATCCAATGCGAACCGACCCAGTACAGCTGAGGCAGTTCTTCAGTGAAGAAATACGGCAGCTAACGGCGATCGAGCTACAAAGAATCTGGATGAGGCATCAAACAGCGCCTCCACAAACCCGCAGTAATGATCAAGAAATGGCGTCGGCGGAAACACCTTCCAACCCGCTTCCGTTTATGCCTACGTCACAAAGTACTGTACCGCCGTCGTCCTACTTCACCGGCGAAACCAGTGCCGCCGGGAGCACAAGAGCAGCAGCAAAGGAAACGGACGAGGCGGGCGCTGGGAAGAGCAAGGAAGCTTGAAATGCAGACAGACAGAAAGATTCATACCCATCAGTCCACTGGATCGATCTACTACCTGAAGAAACAGAGGCTTGCTCTCTCTTTTTTTTTTTTTTTTTTTACTTCGATTTTACAGTTTCGCGGGTTACTTTTAGTTTTAGATTTGGACCTAAGAGATGATTTCGATTGTTTTTCCATCGATCGCATCACTTCACATTCTTTTAGCATCATGATTTGATCTCCATCTCCATATGTTTCAGTTTCAAAATCCTGGTCCCATTCGGATTATATCTTGATTAGTACAGGGGATCTTCTGTTGCAATTCAACCCCATAGTATATGGAAGTTCAAGGAGATAATCCGCTAGAATTGTTCATCAAAGCTAACGAACAAAGCTGATATTTTGGAAGTTCAAATTTGGGCCTGGTAAAGTCAGAGGTAGAGGCAGCCATTAGAATTAGTTGACATTAACCATCAACGTGCCCATTAGTAGGATTGGTGTTCTTAGAGGGATCCATTAGTCACCATTAAAGAGTTCTTTGCGCAGATGCTCTAGTTCGGCATTCTTTCACCATCGATGCTTGAATCAACAAGGAAGAAGAACAGAAATTGCGTGTTCAAGGAGCTCCCTCCGCAATTGGGTCAAAGAGAAGCAAGATTTTGACGATCTTACTTATATATAGTAGTATAAATCAGCATATCATGTGAATATCTTCTGACTTCTATTTAGAGTAACCTATAATCAGTAAACAGTCATTTTATTTCCACCCTTTTGGGTTTTCGGTCTCTTCCAATTGTCATTCTGAATGATAAGAGCTAACATCCATTCCATTCTACCAGTACGAGGAAATTCGTAATCCGAATTCCTACTCAGAATTACTTAGCAAACTTACTGTTAAAGAGACCAGGGTGATTCTCTTCTCCTTTTAAAGCAACTTTCAGTTCAGTGCCCAAACAAACACCAAATTCAGTATCTTTCCACTTCCATCTTATCAGTAGTCAGCAGCCGCTTCCTGGTCAAATTCCTTGACGAAAGCATCACACTGAGGTGTTTCGAGGTCATCAATGGTAAAATCGAGTAGCTTCAGCAAAGGAAAATAACTTCTTTAGCCAATGAGCGCAAACACTGATAAGTACCCAAAAAGTAACGAACTTAGCTCTGAGAGTAGGGCGACTGAAACGAAGGAGGGAAATTTCGCCGCCGTTCTGATCCCAGGCCACCATTTCGCCATTGCAATCGTCGTCTGCAATTCGTTCCCGAGGGTTTTTGCTGGTTGGAAGTGTTAAGACCGAGGGACTATACCAAACGAAAGGAAATATGTTGGGCCTTCTACATTGGGCTACAACGTTGAATTGGGCCGTTAGAGCTCATCAGATCGAACCCATCTCTGGCCCACGCAAACCATTTGCGCGCCACTGTCTAGCTATTTGAAACAGAATAAATTGCTCTGTTTTTGCTCCCACCCTCTCCTCTTTCTCCAGTTCACAGAGAAGAGTTAGTTACAAGCAATCAGTAGAGAAAGAAAAATGGAGTCGCCATAGCCATCTTCTCTAGCCAATCTCCTCCACAACCTCCACCGTTCTTTCAGCAGCCAAGAAGACGATTCAGTAGCCCTTTCCTTCGTTCATCTTTCTGGGATTTCGTTTCCGCCGTTTCTCTCTGTGAATTTCCGACTCGAGAATTTCACAATCCCTTTCTCGGTGAGTCTCCATTAACAAAGCTTTGCTTTTCTTGATCGAATTTTCTTTCTTTCTCGATTGCCATTGATGAGTTCCCTTCCTTTCTTTCTTCTCGCTCTGATTCCTAAGCCTCTCTTTGCCATTGCTTTCTTGATTCCTATCAGTCGCTCTAGTAGCTTTCTTGGATTTCCTGTGAAATTCCTTCTGCAAACTCGATCGATCAATCCCAATATTCACTCCACATACGAACAATGAGCTTCTGGGTATCAATTCTGCCTTCTTCAATCCATATAATTTCTTCCTCTGTTTTTTCCTTCCGAGTTTCTTTCATGGCGGGGCTTTTCCTAATTTGCTACTTGCGTTTTCTTCCGGTTGACGACGGCGACAGCTGAGGCTACTGATGCTCATGTTTAGCATGTTACCAATGGGAACCAGCCCGGTCCTGAATTTCATGGTTGCCATGCTGGTTATGAAGTCCGCGTTCCGTTATCGCTACTCGCCGGAATATCGCGCTGCCGCTGTTGCCGCTGCACGATCCCTGAACGTGGTTGAGGAAGGAGCCGGAGACGAACCGCCGCCGGAGGGATTTCGCGTAATTGACAGAGAATCCATGGATGAACTCGGGAGGAATTTTGGGCCTTACCGCGAGATGGTCGAGATCCTCTGCTTTATCGGTGAACAGTTCCCTCCCCTCGGAATAGAGCTGATGCATTTCTTCTTAGAAGCTGTTCCCGAAGAAATCCGGCGACTGACTGCGGACGAGCTAGCAATGTTGCATGAAGCAGCGCCTCCACAAAGCGGCGGTAATGATCAAGAAAGGGCGTCGGCGGCGGCGGGCCATGTTGCCATTGACATCCCCGATCCTGCACCGGAAACAGAGCCACCGTCGTCGGTCATCATCGGATCAGGAACAGAGCCACGTCCAGCGGCCCAGGTCGGGGGTCGTATTCGTCGGGAAATCGAGATGACCATCCCGCCATTCAACCCGCTGCCGTTAATGCCCACTTCACGAACTGTACCGCCGTCGCCCTACTACTTTACCGGAGAAAGCAGTGCCGCCGGGAGCAGAAGAGCAGCTAAGGAAACGGACGAGGCAGGCGCTGGGAAGAGCAAGGAAGCTTGAATCCAATGGAGACGCAAAATTGAATGCAGATAGACAGAAGAAGATCATTACCCATCAGTCCACTGGATCGATCTACTACTTGAAGAACAGAAAGCTTGCTCCTTTTTTTTTTTTTTCACTTCGATTTTTAGTTGTGCAGTTTGCCGGTTTACTTTCAGCTCTAGCTTTGGACCTCATAGATGATTTCGATTGTTTCCATAGATCACATTACATCCATTCATTTTTTGAGCATCATGATTTGATCTCCATCTCCATATGTTTGGGAGGTTGAGTTCGAATGAATGCTTACTACTCTTGTATCAAACTAATCTTCCAGTTTGCATATCCTGATCCCATTCGGATTACATTACCCTTGTATCAAACTAATCTTCAATACAGATCTCTAGTGATCACCTCTCTCTCTGCCTTCCTATATCTGGATTGGTACAGGGGATCTTCTGTTGCTAATTTGCTATTCAACTCCATTTTAGAAGGAAGGTCAAGGAGATATTCCGCTGGAACTGGTCATCAAAGTTGAGTCTGGTAAAGCAAAGGTAGAGGCAGCCATTAGAGCAGTCACCATTGGCGCCAAGAACCATGTCTGGTGGAGCTGTGGCTGTTGCTAACTAGCAGGGTATTAGTAGACATTAACCATCAACGTGCCCATTAGTAGGATTGGAGTTCTGAGAGGGATCCATTAGTAGCAAATGGAAGGTCGAAGTAGCCTATGCTCGAGTTCCTTGTTCTTTCACCATTAATCATTGATTTGAAGAAGGAAAAACATTGTGTATGAGAAACTCCCATGGTGGTTGGGTCACAGAGAAGCAAGATTTTACAATCTTACCTATACATAATACTCTAAATTAGCATATTATTAACAAAGCTCGAGTTCCTTGGTCTCATCAAATTATCGCAAGCCGCAAATGTGTGTACATAAACAGTCATTGTGAATGAACACTATGGAAAACCTATCCTGCACTTCATATATGAACCAGGAGGGGTAGCAGCAAATCGACATAAGTTTGTGCCCAAAAAGCCTTGCATACAGGGGTGATCTCATCCTTAGACGCTTCAGCGATGGATTGACATCGATCTCAAGAGAAAATCCGCTCTCCAATGTCCAGACTGCTCCAGTCAACCGCGATCTTCTGAGGGATGTTTTCAGCAGGACACAAAAACTCGAGACTGGTTCCAGATTGGTTGAATCGGTCACCTGTCCATCAGAATCAAAATGCTAACACATCAATTAAGTGTATTCGATCAACAACGGTTCGTTTTAGTATATTATGAGAGAGTATATGCTCAGGCTCATCAATGGTAAACTCAAGTAGCCTCAGCTAGCACATTAAGTTCTTTAGCCAATGAATGCAAACTGTGGCAGCTAACCAATATGAGAAAAGTGAAATCTAGACATGAAGCAGGAATCAGGAGACAGGCGGAACTAAGGGCATAAAGCATGGGGTATTACCGTATTAGTACAATGATGCAGCAGGGGATATATTCTTACGTTTACCGCATTACAGCATTGCGGCGACATAATGTAATTAAGGAGAACAACAATATTGTACCACGTAAATTTGTAACTGATCACAGCCATTAGGGGAACTTTGCGAAAAGGAATGTCAAACAGAAAGACATCTCTTCCGAATTCTGACCAAGAACTACTTAGCAAAGTGACCAATCTAAATAAAGGAAGTTGCAAATTACCTTTGCAGAGACCAGGGAGATTATCTTCCTTTTTAAAGCAACTTTCGTTTCAGTGCCATGACAAACACCAAATTGAGTATCTTTACACTTCCTTCTTACTGGTTGTCAACAGCCGCTTCCTGGAGGTGGAGGAAAAGCAAGAATTAGGTTTCTTCTCAACGAGATTCCCACCGCTCGGATACTATCCCGAGTCCTGTCGCATACCACGACCCAGCTGCCAATGAGTGATTGAAGCTTCGTAATCCAGCACTACGGAAAACCTGTCATGCTAGTCATATATGAGCAAAAGGAGGGTGAGCGGAATCGACATAGGCTTAGGGAAACTGCAATTAACTTCTATTTAGGGATGTATTCTTAGGTTCACGATGAAACAACATTACATACAGGGGACAAATGCACATTGCCACCCACATGAATATTCACTCACCAATGTCCATATTGCTCAGATCAACCTCTATCTTGTGAGGATGTTCTCCACAGGACAGAGAAGCTTGAGAGTTGTTCTAAACTGGTTCAACCGGTTACCTGTCCACCACCATCAGAATGATACCACATCAATTAGATACATTTGATCAATATCCCTCGAGTATGTAATGAGATACCAATGCCTTGAAAGCATCATAATCAGCCATTTTGAGGTCATCAATAGTCAAAATCGAGGAGCTTCAGCAAGCAAAACAAGTTCTTCAGTCAATGAATGCAAACATTGGCTGCTGTTCAACATGATAAAAGCGAAAACTAGACATGAAGCAGGAATCAGGCCGAGGAACCTTTACGGACCTTATTCTACAACTTTTACAGGAAATCAGAATAGAGCCACACACAGCTTTGCTGTATCAATCACGTCCCACTTATCCGATAACCTGCAGCTTAAGCTTAAACCGCACCGCAGGACAGCAACTAAATAGCAGACACTGCTAACATTCTAGACACACAGTGATGTGATAAAAGCTACTGGAAAATGCAAGGCAATGTAGTACTGGCTACTCAAACAACAGCCAATGCCACAGATCCACAACCACAGAGCAAACATTTCCATAAAGGAATCTCAAACACTGGCAAAGCTAAAATCAAAATTATGAACGAAGAGCTCGTTTCTTTCCAATTCCTATGACAACTACCAAACAAAGTAACGAACTTAGCTCTACTTGGTTACCCCTCATTTCCAATCTGAATAACGAAAGGTGATTCCACCGAATTAAGGATGGCTTGCATTTTGCTTCTTCTCCGTCGTCAACAGCCGCTTCCTGGAGGCGGAGGATCGAGCAGATCTCGGGAGAGAACCAGCGCCGGAATCCTACCTTTTTTGTCCTGTCTCGTTCGGCGACTCGGCTCGCCGTGGCATCGAGAGGAATCGCTTGGGTCGTGCGGTGAGGAGAAATCAGGGAGTGCATAAATACACACCGGCGGATGGAATTTCGCAGCCGCTCTGGTTCCTCGCCGCGCCAACCATTTCGCCATTGCCATCGTCGTCTGTAATTCGTTGAGGAGGGTGAAGGCGTAGGAAACAGACGAAAGGAAATAGATTGGGCTTTCAAATTGGGCTCAAAGGCTGAATTGGGCCGTCTAACACTTAACCGATCTGCGACCCATATCGCCCATTGCGCGCCATTCTCTACCTATTTGAAACAGATTCCATCGCAGCATAAATTGCTCTGCTCTCTCTCTCTCTCTCTTTCTTTCTTTCTCCAGTTCACAGAAGAAGACTAGCAATCTGTAGAGAGAGAGAGAGAAAAATGGAGTCTCCATAGTCGTCTTCTTCAGCCTATCTCTCCAAAACTTCCACGGCTTCTTACTGCAGTCAGAGAAGACGATACAGCTGCCGTTTCCTTTCGTTTAGCTTTCTGGGATTCCGTCTTCCGCCGTCGCTCTGTGAATTTCCGACTCGAGAATTCACAATGCCTTTCTCGGTGATTCTCCATTACGCCTTTCTTGATTGCTCTCTTTTCGATTCTGTTTTGCTGTGTTGAGTTTCTTTCTTTCTTTCTTCTCGCTCTGATTCCTAAAACCTCTCTCCACCATTACTTTCTTGATTCCGATCAGCCGCTCCAGTACTTCTCCCGCGCTTCAGCGATAGGAGTCTTCATCGCCATCTATTTCTTTATCGTACAGCCGCTGAGCCCCGGTGAATCCAATGGAGAGCAACCCTATTTTGTCGAACACCCAGACCCCGACGACGACGACGAAGAAGAAAGGCCCGATGGAGGAGACGAAGTGCCATCCTACGTTCAGAGAAGCATACACCGAATACGAAGAAAGACCCGATGGAGACAGAATGCCACGCTATACTGTCGAAGAAGCTTACAGCGAAGACGAAGAGCCATCCACCGAAGAGGTAGAACCATCCGCCATAGAGCAGCCTCAAGATTCGGTCTCTGTTTCTGCCGGCCAGGGATTGATCGGCGCCGAAGGATCTATGACGGCGGCCGATACGTTGGAAGGACAATTACAGCAGCCAATTGGGAATCCTAACAACGAGGAACAAGATCCGGAGCGTCAGTTCTTGAAGCTACCGGAGGAGCGGGCGATGCCGGATATAGCAGAGGGACGGAGCGGCAGCGTCGTGATAACTGGGAATCAGAATACAACTTGTAAACTCAAAATATGAGATGAAATGACCTAGAGTCAAGAACGGATTGTTTTTTATGACTCTCTTGAAATTGAAGGAAAAAGACACTTTTATTCAAATCGCAAATTCGGTACAAAGAAACCTAGCCAAAGCCAAGTAACTTGGCTCTTTCGACGAACAGAAACACTCAATATACTCACTTCTCAAGATTGAATCACTCAGTACAATCCCATATACTGTGATTCTATCTACTAAAGTGATCTCGCCCTTTGATCCAAAGTGAAAGAGATTCAAACCCAGAAACTCTCACTACTTCCCATCAAAAGTACACGATCCAAATAACCAGAGAGCTTACAATTTATACTGTGATCAAAGGGTAACCGTTGCCTAAAGGAGAGCTTTCCCATAGCCTTCATCATGCTTTCTCGTAGAGACGGTGCTAGGTGGAGCGGATGCAGAAAAGCTGGAACTCTCGTGAGAAGGAAGACGATCGAGAAGGATGATCTGAGAGATCATCAATCGAGGAGTCCAGTTTTGACTTTGAAGGATGATTCCTTTGATAAAACGGTGTCGTTCTTAGTGTGAGGGTGGTTGAGAGAAAAACGTCGTCGTAGTGCTTTGTGGAGAAAGATACCGTGCCGTTTTGTCAACAATTTCCCCCTTCATCCGAGAAGTCTCCTGCAAAACAGAACAAAACCAGAAAACAGCAGCACAAGCCATCCAGAGGGAAGGGGTAATTCATTCATATTAAAGCAAAAGGTACAGCAGGCTGCGTCCCTAAAGAGGACCGGCAGTACAAAATATCAGGACAACGTCCTGAGCAGAATTCCCCCTGAGCAAAATACCCTAAATAAACTAGACCTAGGTTCCCCCTAACTAAAGGAACATATCCTACCAACAGGATATATGAAATAACAGAAAAACAATAAGAGAATTAAGAGGCAGGAGAGGAGGCAGGAGCTGTGGCAGCAGAATCAGTGAGGATGAATCTCCTTCAGAAATGGTGAAGACCAAATCCCCAGTTTTGCTTGGTTCACCCACTGACTTGGTTTTCTTGACAGCAGAGGGCTTAGGAGGAGGCCTGAGGAGAGAAGTAGAAGGACGAGGAGGGGGAGAGATGTCAGTGGGAAGATCCAGCACCATCAGCACATTAAGTGCACTAATGTACATAGTGGAGGAAACACTCCTGAATTCAGAAAGATCTACCCCAACGTTGATCAGTAAACGAGTGATTAGCGACCCAAATGGCACTAACCCTCTGTAATTTTCATCCCCGACAGGCAGAAGTTGTCCAAACACAATGCTCGAATAATCCAGCTTTCATCGAGCAGTGGCACTAGCAATGATCCATAAGTCCATGTGAAGGACTCGATCTTGGTTGAAGGATCGTGGAAAGAGGACATGCGTGAGGAAATGATGAAAAATCCTCAGCCTTGGAGGCAGCCAGGATACAGGGATAGGAACGTCTGACCCTCCAGTTGGCTCGGTTGAGAAATTCTCATATTCCACCTCAACCTTGAACTCATGCTTCCAAAATTCAGAAGGATGAGCAATGCCGAGTCCTTGTGATGGAAAGCCTAAGATGCCATTCATGGCATCAACTGGTATGGTCAAGAGATGACCATATACCAGAGTGGTGAGGCTTCTAGAGCTGATCCCTTGGCTTTTGAGATTGGAGTAGAAGTATTTGACCGCACCAGGGCAGGCCGGGTGCACTGGTTGGCGAAGAAGAAAATCCCAACCGAGACCCTCAATGAGTGACACAATGTCATACTTGTAGAGGTTGAATTCATAGGGGTCAAGCTGAGTGATATGATGGAGCCTTCGCTTATCAAAGTGCTGAAGATAGCGATGATGGTTAACAACCAAAGGCTCATGAAACATGTAGCCAGAGAATGTGTGCTCCAAACCATCAAAGCGGAAGGGTCGAGGAAGGTGATCACTCATTTTGTGCAGGGACTGGATATTTGTGGCTTTTACACTCGGTGTGTTTGTGGAAACAAAGTGGATGTGTTTAGGAACAGTGTGAGAAGAAAAAAAATGTCTACTGTGGCCTTTTATAGAGAAAATAGAGAAGAGAGGTCTGGAAGGTGAAGAGTCTCTGCAGGCAGTAGTTTAGAGTGAATGATTAAGCTAAGGCAGAGTTGTATGAGTCGAGGCAGGCATGAGCCGAAATGGAGCGTTTAATTTTGGTTAAACCAAGACACGCAAAAGGTACTTTGGATAAAAGACCCAATCCGCTTACTAAATATTAGATTTTTGGTTTAGAAATTTGTAATCATTGCTTACTGCACCAATGCATGTAGCATGGGAAAACAATGAGATGTTTATTTTAAAAGATTTTCAATCCGGCTCAAGGATCTTAATCCTATTTCTGTGCAAAGTTGTATGAATCTTTCACTTGCCAAGGGTTTTGTTAGTAAATCAGCCAGTTGATATTCAGTTTCAACAAATTGAAGTTCGATATGACCAGCTTGTACAAGCTCCCTGATAAAATGATACTTTAATTCAATATGTTTGGTTCTAGAGTGTTGAACAGGGTTTTTTGTCATACTTATTGTACTTGTGTTGTCACAACATACTTGAATATTGTTTAATTTGAACCCATAGTCTGAGAGTTGAGCTTTCATCCACATTATTTGTGCACAACAACTTCCAGCAGCCATATATTCTGCTTCAGTTGTGGAAAGTGCTACTGCACCTTGCTTTTTTGCTAAACCAAGAAACAAGTGAAGATCCAAGTAATTGAATAGTTCCAGTTGTGCTTTTTCTATCTACTAGGCTTCCCCCAAAATCTGAGTCACTATACCCGATTAAGTCAAATGAGTCGGTTACAGGATACCATAGTCCCATATCCATGGTTCCCTTCAGATACCTAAAGATCCTTTTAACAGCTTTGAAATGGCTTTCTTTAGGATTTGATTGAAAACGTGCACACAAACCTACACTGAATTGGATATCAGGTCGACTTGCTGTTAAGTACAAGAGGGATCCTATCATTCCTCTGTATTTCCTTTCACAGAATGGAGTGCCTCCCTCATCCTTGTCCAATTTCAAATTAGTTGCCATAGGAGTAGTACTAGGATTCACTGAGCACATGTCAAATTTCTTAAGCATCGATTCAGTGTAATTAGTCTGACTGATGAATATGCCTGAGTCTAGTTGCTTAATTTGCAACCCTAGAAAGTGAGATAACTCACCCATCATGCTCATCTTAAACTCAGATTTCATTAAATCACAGAACTTGGTGCTCATAGATGGATTAGTTGACCCAAAAACTATGTCATCTACGTAGATTTGCACAATTAGTGTATCAGCGTTTTCTTTCTTAATGAAAAGTGTTTTATCAACATTTCCTTGAGTAAACCCTTCTGTTTTCAAGAATGAGGAGAGTTTTTCATACGATGCTCTAGGGGCTTGCTTTAATCCATATAAAGCTTTAGATAGTTTGTACACATGGTCAGGATATTTGTGATCAATAAAGCCTGGTGGCTGACTCACGTACACTTCTTCTCTTAATTCTCCATTTAAAAATGCACTTTTTACGTCCATTTGATATAAGGGAATTTTCATAAAGCATGCATAAGCACATAACATTCTAATTGATTCGATCCTTGCAACAGGGGCAAATGATTCCTCAAAATCAATTCCCTCTTCTTGCAAGTATCCTTGCGCAACAAGTCTGGCTTTGTTTTTAGTGACTTCCCCTTCTTCATTTGTTTTGTTTCTAAATACCCATTTTGTGCCTATGATCAGTTTATTAAGAGGACGAGGGACAAGTTCCCATACTTGTAACCTAGCAAACTGTACAAGTTCCTCTTGCATAGCATCCAACCATTTATCATCTAGTAGGGCTTCTTTGTAATTTCTTGGTTCTAACATTGAAAGAAAAGCATACTGACCTGGCTGGTACTTACCTCTGGTGTGAATCCCAGCATTGAGTTGTCCAATGATTTGTGAAGGGGGATGTCTCTTCTGGATGTGTGGTGGTGCTTGCCTTTCTTCTTCAATTCTCACTCCATCTTCTGTCTCACCTTCGTCCCTTTTAATTGATTCTTGTGGGGAATCTTCACAGAGATCTTCAGGCTTTTCTCCTTCATTTGATACAGGAAACAGTAGATCTATACTTTCTGCCGAAACCTTGTTAGTACTCCCAGATTCATCAAACTTAACAAATACTAATTCCTCAACCTTTTTGGACCTGAGATTATAGATTCTGTAAGCCTATCCTTTAAGAGAATATCCCAGAAATATACCTTGATCTGATTTTGAATCAAATTTATACAGGTGATCTTTGGTATTTAAAATAAAACATTTACATCCAAAAGGATGAAAGTACCCCGAATTGGGCGTTTTTTGCTTTAGAATCTCATAGGGTGTTTTATTGATAATTTTTCTGATCAAGACCCTATTTATTACATATACAGCAGTCATGACTGCTTCCCCCCAAAAAAACTTAGGTGTTCCATATTCTAGTAACATTGTTCTTGCAGTCTCAATAATAGTTCAATTCTTTCTTTCAACAACACCATTCTGTTGTGGTGTTCTAGGGGCTGAAAAAGTGTGGTTAATTCCTCTGTCATTACACAGATCACTAAACTGTTCAGAAATGAACTCTCCTCCGTTATCACTTCTAATAGTTTTAATACCATTTTTGGATTCATTCAATATGAGGTTCACAAAGTTCTTAAAACAACAAAAAGCTTCATCTTTTGATGCGAGAAGATAAACCCAAGTATACCTAGAAAAATCATCAACTAGAACAAGGGCATAGGACTTACCTCCTAAACTTACTACATTGGTTGGTCCAAAAAGATCCATGTGAATTAGCTCATATGGTTCTGAGGTAGTAATATCCCTTTTGGGTTTAAAACTCTTTTTAACCAGTTTACCTCCAACACACGCATCACAGAAAAATTTTGAATTTTCTTTCAACAAAGGAATTCCACGAGCTGATTCTGATTTAGAAAGTTGTGATAATCTATAAAGACTTATATGACCAAGCTTCCTATGCCATAACATTTCCAGATCACACTGTTTGGCTTGAAAGCATGTTTCATTAAACGAGCTTAGACAATTTAAGTCAACCACATACATATTGTCTTTCTTAGTTCCACTAAACAATTACTTGTTGTCCTTTATTCTGATGATTTCACACGAAGATGACTCAAACACAACTCTATTTTCAGAGTTGTATAATTGACTAATAGATAGAAGATTATGCTTAAGACCTTGAACAAACAACACATCTTTAATAGTGGGAAGGAGATTTTTACCAATTGTTCCATTTCCCATAATAATTCTTACACGATCATCACCAAACACTACCTTACCTCCCTTTTTGTAGCTTAAAGAAGAGAAGAGTTCATTTTTACCTGTCATGTGGTGGGAGCAACCACTATCAAGATACCATGTGTTCTCATTTTCTCCCACATTCTGCAATCAGTCACAAATTAGTACATTTTGGTACCCAAAATGTTTTGGATACACTTGTTTTTCTGGGATTTAGATCATACCAAAATTTTGCTACGTTTCCTTTTCTTTTGCAATAAGAACAGGTAAAAACTACTGGATATCTTGAATACTTTTTGTGTTTTTCATAGTTATGCTTGGTGATTCTGTTTTGAGAAAAATTTCTGTTATTATAGCTTGAATTAATCATGCCAGAATCTTGTTTTAAAAAAGTAGTGTTGTTTTTGCAAATACCTCTTAGCCTCTGATTCTCATCCTTGAGATCAAAGACTTGTCTGTTCAGCTCCTTATTCCATTCACTTTGAGCATTCAAGGTTCTTTTCAAAGTTGCAATTTCATCTTTTTGGGCTTGATTATCAGTCATAAGCATACAATATTTACATTTGAGTCTGTTACATTCTTCTTGGAGATTAGTTAACTCATGCAGAAACTCAGTTTTAGTTTCAGTTATATCCGAGTCTGAGTAAGAGATTACCTGGTAGCATGAAGGTACTAGTGGACCATGACTGCATGAAGACTGATTATCACTTTCATCTCTGGTGGCAAATGCCATGTACGCCAGATTCTTTACTTCTTGCTCTTCTTCTGAACTAAAGTCGCTCCAGGAGGCTGCAAGTGCCTTTTCCTTTGCTTTAGTAGGGCACTTTGATCTCATATGCCCTGACTTTCCACACTTAAAACAAATGATTAAATCTTTCTCATTGGAAGACTTGGCGTCTTCCTTATCAAGTCTGAACCTTTCTCGACATTCAGGAGGTCTATCATAAGATTTAGACGAATTTTTATCAAAATAGCTCCTGTTTGATACATATCTTTCATTAGTTCTAGGAGTTCTCTCGGTTCCTTCCCTATCTCTTTTATAGTCATAAGAGTTATTGTTAAATCCTCTCGAATCATGGAATGACCTTCTTGCCTGAAAATCCTTTTTCATTTTGAGCATTCGATGAAATTTCCTACTTACCAAGGCAAATTCTTTCTCAAATTCCTCTCCCATATCAATTTCAGAATCACTATCACATTCTTGTGCTTTAAAAGCTATGACTTTTCTCTTCCTATGATCATCTTTGTTCATTTGTATTATAACTTTCTCGTGACTTAGTAAAGATCCTATTAGTCTTTCTATAGATAGTACCTTTAAATCTTTGGCCTCTTCGATTGCAGTACGTTTAGGCAACCATTCTCTAGGTAAACACCTTAATATTTTCCTGACTAAATCCTTGGTTTCAAAGACTTTTCCTAATCCTTTTAACCTGTTTATCAAGTCATTGAATCTTTTGTACATACTAGAGATTGACTCTCCTGAACTCATTTCAAATGATTCATATTCATTTAGCAGTACATCTATCCTACTCTCTTTAACTTCAGACGTACCTTCGTGGGTAGTTTGAAGAGACTCCCATATCTCCTTGGCTGACTCACATTGAGCCACTTGACTTCTTTCTTCAGGACTTAATGCAGAGAAAAGGATATGCATAGCTCTGGAATCAAGCTGAGAGGAGATTTTCTGCTCTTCTTTCCAGTCTTCTTCATCTTCATCTTCCATGGGAATAGGTCATTTTCTTACTACTGCCCATAGTTCTCCATCAACACCACGAAGGTAGATTCGCATTCTTTTCTTCCAAACAGTGTAGTCCGTTCCATCAAACCATGGAGGGTTTGTGTTTGCTGAGTAGGCAACCGCTGTTGAAGATGATCCAGACATCTCGAGACCTTCTCTTTGGCGACGGTTAATCCTTCAAAGAGTAGGCTCTGATACCAATTGTAAACTCAAAATATGAGATGAAATGACCTAGAGTCAAGAACATATTGTTTTTTATGACTCTCTTGAAATTGAAGGAAAAAGACACTTTTATTCAAATCGCAAATTCAGTACAAAGAAACCTAGCCAAGCCAAGTAACTTGGCTCTTTCGACGAACAGAAACACTCAATATACTCACTTCCCAAGATTGAATCACCCAGTACAATCCCATACACTGTGATTCTATCTACTAAAGTGATCTCGCCCTTTGATCCAAAGTGAAAGAGATTCAAACCCAGAAACTCTCACTACTTCCCATCAAAAGTACACGATCCAAATAACCAGAGAGCTTACAATTTATATTGTGATCAAAGGGTAACCGTTTCCTAAAGGAGAGCTTTCCCATAGCCTTCATCATGCTTTCTCGTAGAGACGGTGCTAGGTGGAGCGGATGCATAAAAGCTGGAACTCTCGTGAGAAGGAAGACGATCGAGAAGGATGATCTGAGAGATCATCAATCGAGGAGTCCAGTTTTGACTTTGAAGGATGATTCCTTTGATAAAACGGTGTCGTTCTTAGTGTGAGGGTGGTTGAGAGAAAAACTTCGTCGTAGTGCTTTGTGGAGAAAGATACCGTGCCGTTTTGTCAACACAACTGAGCAACAAGATCCGAAGAAACGCCCACCGCCGGCACTATCGAGAGCGGCGGCGCAGAAAATTGCAGAACAAGGATCATCTGATTCTGATGGAAAACCATCCACTGGGCACGAAGAAACATCCACCAGCGACGAAGACCCAACCGATGGACCCGAAAAGCCAGCCACCGGAGACGAAGAATCATCCTCCGGAGACGATAAGCCATCTTCTGGATACAAAGAACCGAGCGGTAAAGACGAAGAACCATCCAGTGAAGGCGGAGAAGAACCGATCATTAGAGTATCTTGGTATAGGGAACTCCCGGAGGGAAAACAGAGAATCGGGAAACAGAGGAGAAAGAAGAACCCGTCATCGAGCTCGATTATCTCGTCTTCAAGAGCTGGGAAGATCCTATGGGAGAAGCAAAGCAGTTGCAAATTTTGAATCCCCTGCCGACGCCGGCATTGATTTGCTTGGAAGAATCTATAACGATGGCGGATTTGTCGACGCAGCCGACTGGGAATCAAGGAAATCTGCCGCTGAACTTGAATTTATTTGAGAACGGGATGCAGGACATATCAGAGCAATGGAGCGGCCGCGCCCTTCATCCACTTGCAGTCCCGGAATTCACAGCAACTGGGAATCAAAGCTATCCGTCGCTGAATTTGAAATTACCGGAGTCGGCGATGCAAGACATAGCAGAGCGATGGAGCGGCCGCGCCGTCGTCAATCCATCTGTAATTCCGGGTTTCGGATTTCCTGCAGCCGTGCTGGCGGTCCCACTGCCTCAGCTACCAGCACATTTTGGGCATGCTGCGACTAATGTGCCTGTGCTTATTCCTCCACCGCCGGTGAACGTCGGAGTGCACATCCCCGCTCCCGCTATCGACGACGGCAATCTTCAGGATGTCGAGATGATTCCCGTTTCTGATTCGCCGCCTTCCACTGATTGGGAAGTGGAAGAGAAGAGAAGAAGCTCTTTTGTTCGTGGGGAGGAAGAAGAAGAACCATAGCAGAAGAAGAAGTCCCCCCTGTTTGTTTAGTCAAAACTTCCTTTTATAGTAAAATGGCAAAATACACTTGTATAGCCAAAACTTTTGCGTTTGTGCCAATAATAGCCAGATTTGGCGAAATACCACTTATAGCCAACTTTTAGAATTGTTGTATGACAAATATAGCCATTTCCGTTAGATACTTTAACGGTGTCATTCACACCGTCAACTTATTTGACAGTTTGGTGATTAGGCGCCAACTCAACAGACACGTCAGCGCTACATAAGCAAATAGTGACACGTCATATATTTCAATTATTTAATAATTATAAATCATAATTTTTTTTTAATTACCCTCATATTCCCATCTGCACAACCATCTTCCCCAAATTTTCCCCAAATTCGATTTTAGGGTTCTTCCCCAACTTTTCCATTCCCCACGACGAATCCTCTACTCCTTCCCCAAATTGATATCTCAAAACAATTCCAAGACCATAAATTTTATAATTGTCATCAGAGGCACAACTTCCTCCGGGTGTTCTTCCCGGTACTTCTCCTGCTCAAATTCCACCCAAAAATTAACCGCCCACAAATCAGAAATCATTCTTTATGAAAAACCCAGGAAGCGAATTGAAGAGGGCGATCCATAAAAACCAGATCCAATACTTTGTAACACTGCTCGGTAATGGCGGCGTCGATGACCCCTGTGTAGAAGTCGGCGACGAAGATGGTGACGAGAGGGGTGAACCCAGCGATGGAGATCTTGTTGTTGGGGGAAATGACGATGCGGGGGAGGAGATAGCTCTGATTGAAGAAGGGCGGGAGGCAGAAGAGGCCGGAGGAGGCGCCGAAGATGAAAACGAGCTGGAGGAGGAGCGCCGGCAAGCAGGTGGCGGAGATGGAGAGGACGGCGCGAGATCCGCGCGGCGTTCTCTTCTTGACGGAGATTTTGACGAGGTAGAGCAAGGCGACGAGGAACCTGGGCTGGAAGAGGCCGAGATTGAGGGAGACGTGGAGGCGGCAGAGGCAGATCTGCTGCGGGATCGTTAGGGATTTGGGGAGGTAGTGGCGGCGGAAGGACGGAATCACGAGGAGCTCGGTGAATGCCCAGAGGGAGACGAAGAGGACGAGCATAGGATGATGCGTTGGAGCGGTGGATTGTCGGCTGAGAGGAAGTTGCGGCAGGGGAGATTTGCGACGATGGAGGAGGATAGCAGAGGGATTGGAATTTTTTTGTTTTCCAGTGTTTGGACTTTGGATTTCAGAGAGAAATAAATGGTATTTTCTTTTTTTTATTAATTTAATAATAATAAGAAAAGTCAATTTCCACCTAGTATGATTTTGGGGAAAAAATGCCCATGTGGCTGGCCACGTAAGCGGCGTCGTTTGTCCAGTCACACTTAACGTTAACAACATTAAAGAATTGGACGGAAGTGGCTATAAGTGTTATTTCGCCAAATGTGGCTATTATTGGCACAAACGTGAAAGTTTTGGCTATGAAACTGTATTTTGCCTAGTAAAATAACCTATTGTAGCTTATTTTGTGTTGTAATTTGATTGGTTTTTAGCTGAATTTGTTTTGTAATCTGATTGGCCGTGAGACTAAGTTGGTGGATTTTTCTGATTGGTAGTTGAGTGGGCTGGGCCTATTCCGGTTCGACCAGTCTGGTTAGGCCGAGTTGGGCTTGGTCCGAGTCTGGTTTGGGTTTCAGCCCAAGATGACTAGTTTGGCAGATTGGGCTTGGTTGACCTTGAAATGCGCTTGACTTGTGGCCTGTAGGCTGGGCTTTGACCCTTGTTGTATTGGGCTGAGTTGACTTGGGTTTGGGTTCTTGTGCTTGAGCCCAATTTCTTTTATTGTATAATTGTAATTAGAATGTAATAGCAAATTAGCATTGTAATTATTATGGATTGTAATAATGATTTTAGTATTTAAGAGGTATAAAAAGTTCTTTTAAAGACACCACGTTTTGACAACATTAGAGATGGGTTGATTGTTTGGTTCTGACGATGCATTCAAGTTGTTTGGGATAAAACTAGCTAAACAAATTGAAAGATGGTATAAGAAAGCACTCAAGTTGTTCGGGATGTAACATGCTAAACAAATTGAATGAAAAATACAATCACGTTGTCCGGGTATGACGGGCTGAACATTTGTGATAGCAATGTGATAAGGTTGTCCGGGATATGACACGCTAGACATTTTCTGACAATGGCATCAAGTTGTTCGGGATATGACGGGCTGAACATTTGTTGATGGCAATGTGATGGGTTGACCGGGATATGACACGCTAGACATTTTTGGACAGTGCAATCAGGTTGTTCGGGATATGACGGGCTAAACATTTATTGATGGCAAAGCTCTAGGGTTGTCCGGGATATGACACGCTAGACATTTTCTGACAATGCAATCAAACTGTTCGGTGTATGACATGCTAAACATTTATTGATGGCATAGCTTACGGGGTTGTCCTGGATATGACATGCTAGACATTTTAATGCATGGTGATTATGAGTATGAGAGTGTTTTGTGAGACAATCATGGGATGAGTAATCTTAATGAACGATAATGTCGTGTTATGGAAGATATGTGAGGGAAAAAGTGTGATATAGTATGATTTGGAAATTTTTCATTTTCATGGAGGTGTAGGCTGACTTGGAATTTTTTTGTGGCGGTATAGTCTGGTTTGTTTTTTCATGGCGGCAGGGCCTAAGTTAGCTTTTAGGTATCTTGGCGGTAGGGCCTGTGTTGGTATTAGGTATTTTGGCGGGAAGACCTGAGTTGGTATTTAGGTATCGTGGCGGTAGGGCCTGAGTTGGAGCATCGTATGGCGAGAAAATGCAAGATGTTGTATGACGTGATATGACATGATGTAATGTCGTGATTCGAAATGTTGTTGAAAGGGTATTGCCTGATTGATATTTACTTTGGCTGTGAATTCCTTGAAGCTAGTCATTTAATGAATGATATGATATGAAGTGCATTCGATAAAATGTTGTATGATAAGTCATATGATGATGTCTTGAAGAGTATGCGTATGAAAAGTATGATTGCTCCTCATGGTTTATCTATTTTATGTCGAGGATTCTCTTAAATCGACCATCCACAAGGAACTATGTCATTGTCCCTTTTAGTAAACGTTAGTTTTGGTGGTGCTGGAGTAGCATGGGTGCTACTAATGGGTTCATTCTTCCTTCGGCGTGAGCCATCATCGCAAGATATTGGGTTTTCCAACTAGTATCTCTTCTTTGTCTTCTTTGTCTCCTCAGTGATCCCAAGACGGGGAGCAATGAGGAAGAGGCGCTGAGGAGAGGCGCGCAGTAGATGGGCACGTCAACGACGAATTGTTGCAGGGAGGAGGCAACAATGGGAAACCGGATGGTGTCGACAGAGAGGTGCTTGGCGGCTCCGCCTTCGTCTCCCACCCACCTGGGGGAGTTGTCAACATCGGCGATTGAGGAAAAAAGGGCGCTGCTAAAGAAGCCATCAGCGAAGGAAGAGAAGTCAACGCCGGGCGTCGAGTCGAAGAACGAGATGAAGAAGGAAAAGCCAACGCCAAGGACGATATCGGACGGGAAGAAAGAGGGGGTGACCGGTGCGGCGACTCCAGCCATTCGATTGGCGGAATCCCCAATCGATGTCGAGGAGCTGGCTAACGATGAGGAGAAGCGGGAGGTAAGGGCGGCGGCGAGCTTGTCTCTCTGCTGCCTAGCGATCTCGTCAGCGGAGACCAAGGCGAAGGGAGCGCCGCCGGTGGAGGAATCTACGATGATGGAGATCGGCGATCTTTGTCTTGAGAACCCTAGGTCATCACGCCGGGTTGGGGAGCAGCAGCTGCAACGAGTCGGACGGGCCGCGCTCGAGTTCTTGGGCCGCTCTCCTCACCGGACTGCAATTCGTGATGGGCCAAAGCTTAGTATCGGGCTTGTTTTGGATTGGGCGGACTCGTCGGATGGACCCGTCGATCTGTATAATATGCTGGTCTGTAAGAACAAGTTAGTTAGGCTCATTTTGACCCATATGCATCAGCAAACTAAACCAATTCGCGGGCCGCAACTAATAAAGAAGTGGGCTAATAAAGAGTTTGGTTGTGGGCTGAACAAAAGAGAAGGAAGATGTTTGCAAGAAAATGGTGGGCCAATATTTTCAGGAGACTTTTGGGTCACAATGGGTTGTCTTGTTGCATTTATTTTGCAGGAACGCAATATAGAGGAAGAACGAAATGGACTTATTGGATTTGAATATGGGCTTTCAATAAAACTTGGAGGAGAATGTAGCCCAAAAGAGTTGGTACGCACCACCATAGCGGATTCGATGGAGCTATCCATTAAAGATTTCATGATGGAGGATGGGCAAAAGGAAAAACAATTCACCGATTCATATTTCGTGGCATTTGACAAAGACGAGCAAGAATTGTTCGGCTATGGAGGACATGACATTTGTTACTTGCGTGGAGAGGAGACAAGAAAAGTGGGAGTTGTGCGAGAAGAGTTCATTCAAGGGATCGAGCGCAATTGGAAACGAAGAAAGCGGAAGGTCAAGAAGATAGAAGTCAACTACAACCTTGAGGGCAAGGTTGGTTTCAAGAGGGGTGGATTGTCAGAAACTCACCCTATTGGGGTTTCTATTATTATATTAGGTAGGATGATTATAATTACGGTTAGTAGAGATCTAGTCGGATTAGAGATCTAGTCGGATTAGGATTATTATTAGGGTTTTCCAGTATTTCCCTATAAATATATACTTTGGGTTTACGTCATAATCAGTCAAGAAGAATATTAAGAAGAATTTCCTAAACCATAGTTTATCCTCTCAACTCCTAATTTATGTTCTCTCATAGTCCAAGGCCTCGAGTGATTCTTTCACATCTAAACCCCGAATTTCTTATCTCGATCCCTAAATCCTTCTTTGTTACGTATAATCACGGGTGCCGAAGGTCAGTCCCTAGAGACCCTAGAAGCGGGTTTCTTACATAATGCTTATCCCTAACTGCTGCTCCTATAAAAGTCAAATTTTGATGATGAAATTGTAAGTTCCATGGGAAAACAAATAGCACAAATGGTTAGTAGATAAGATATAGGGAAGCAGTAGTGATTGGCAACAAATAAGTGAGAAGAAGCATTGCAACAAAATTCTCCCTCACCGCAAAGTAATCTTTTATATTACGAACATATCTGTAAAGAATGGAAGTAGGTAAGCATAGAATGATAAATTAGAAATGAAAACCTAAAAGAAGAAGAATCGCATTCGGAAGGGAAAAACAAATAAAATGGAGTACATAAGTTAACAATCGAACGATTGGCAATTTGAAGTTCGGACAATAAATGACAATCATTTGGAAAGTTCAGTAAGGAGGGATTCTTCTGTAAACTCACTCACAACTGCATTTCCAAGATCTACTCAAGTACTTGTGCATCCACTGTAACTTCTAGAGTGGCTACAACTTTTTGAATCATGATCCTCCAAACTCGGATTCATTTAAATTACCCATATCCCACAAATCCAAAACAATCCAAACCTTTCCTAGCTCGTGGTTACTGGTGGCGTAATTTTGATTTACCATAACTTGGTAGCAAATTCAGACTTCATACAAATTGGGTTCCATGAAACAAAAAGGAAAAATATAATTCACTCAACTTGGATATTGCTGCTGGGATTTCTATGCACCAGAATCTACGAAGAAGAATCATCCAAATTCAATAGGATATGCAAGAAATTGATCAGTTCCATCCAACATTTTGCATAAAACTTGCTCAAATTTTAGAAAAGTTCACAGAATCAAAATCTTAAAATTGAAACTAACACCTCCCAAGGTTGGAGAAGAGTGGAAAAATGAGAAATTATAGGTTGGTCTATGCTGATTCCTCTTCTTCTTCATTGGCCATGTTGGAGAGGAGTGGAGAGATGATAAATTATTTAACACACCCACTAATAACAAATATAATATTTTATTACCTATAGATGTGACACTATGAAACAGTAAAAGTGTTACTTGTGCTTTTAAAGTACTAACTAATAATAACTAATAACTAATAACTAACTAACTAATAACTAATAATAACTAACTAATAACTAATAAAATAATAATTTTCTGTTACCCTGTCAATGTGATTTCGGTTTTGAGGGGCCTCCTTAATAGCTTCCTTGTCGAGAAATTAGGCTCGTAGATGTTTAGTCGTTGCAATCGGTAGTAGAAGTAATTCAAAACAGAGGTGTGCGCGAATTATGTAAAAAATGAAGCATTTACAAGAGTTATCAACATATGATATCATCAGATAATACAAAGGGAGGTGGGTCGAATTGTCTGGACAGTGACCCTAAGTTCAATATGAAAGGAAAGATGTCGGAGGTGTTATGGTGCAGATAGAGTAAAGATGCCAGATTGCCAGTGCAGTTAATAGCTCAAGTTCGTTCAGAAGTTGGATGCTATATATTTTTATTTTTATTTTATGAATAGTTAGATGCTATATTGATAGTAAAGTGGAGTGACAAGGCCTTACTAGCTGATTGGATTTTTTTCCAGTTTTACATTGTAAACAGTCCATGTAGGTGTAGTACATTCTGAGGGGACCCTTAGTTTAAAAGGGAGCTTGGAGTTAAGTGCAATTTTTGATTAAACATATAACAAAAATTATGATATTTTGATGCTAACCATTCGTTTATTATTTAAACCACAGCCGAGCCGACTGCGTCATACAATTTGGATCAGGAAGAAAGATGTAATGTATTTTGGGAGGGAAGTAGGGGTGTCCATTCGGGTTCGGTTTTTCGGGTTTACCCGAAACCGACCCGATTATATACATTTTCGGATTTTCGGGTTCGGGTTCGTTTCGGGTTTCGGGTTTTTCGGTTTCGGGTTCGGTTTTGCTTATCGGTTTTTCGAGTTCCGGATAAAAATCTCCAATGAATAGAACTCAGCCCGTATTTTTAAGTGTTCGGGTTTTCGGGTTTCGGTTTTGCTTTAACCGAACCCGAACCCGATAAGGAATTTTCGGGTAAGGTTTCGGGTAACCGAAACCCGCAAGGCCTTATCGGGTAACCGAAACCCGCAAGGCCTTATCGGGTTCGGTTTTGGTGATTTTCGGTTTCGGTTTTTCGGGTTTCGATTTGGGTAACCGAACCCGACCCGAACCGACACCCCTAGAGGGAAGGAGTCCCTGGATTCATGTGGGACTTTTGCGCTTTCGATTGAAGAGCACAGAGCTTCATGGGTATATGATACAATACATTACTTTCGAAATCCAACATACAGCATGACCCTTCCATGATAGCTACCAATTCCACTAGCAATTCCAAACCAACTGATAAACAAATTTCCTTTAATCAAGAGATAACACAGACCTTCTTCCGCCAACGTCCATCCTATCCTTGAGAAGAGGTGAGCCATTCGCCACCTTTGGCTTCTTCCAGTTACCAGATTGTTCAACTCCTTGCCATTCTTCTATTAGTTCAGAAAAATAAAACCAACCACAACAAAGAAAAGAGATGGGAAATGTGATTAGATACCAAGCCACAACGAGAAATAAGGAGAACAGATTCAGTAGAAGATCCAATTGACACATTCCTAGTTGTTTTCGTTAGACCACTCTGCTAGGAAAGACGCAAAGAAGAAGGTAGATTCTCACAAGTACAAGTACCAGTACCAGTTATTGAGGGGGCTATTGGTTCATTGCTCTGAACCCAATAGTTGTAGCTTCCATTGTAGGCAACTCTCAGCTTCTGGTACCTTGGAATCGGAGTAGGCCAGCAAGAGGCCATAGGCTGGAACACCTTCCAACCGGTAAAAATTTGAGTTAGTCGAGCGACAAACTCTAACTTTCCCCCCCTCCTTAAATCGCAGGACACACGACAATCCCTACCACCACCAGCAATTAGAGCAAAGAAGACAGTTTGCGGCTTCTCTGGATGTAGAGTAGGAAACAAAATGGACTCCAGTCTGTACTCACCCTTTGGCTTCACCGACCCCTCACACACCTTCCTCCAACAGTTACTGGCTTCATTTAGCCTCCACACACTCAAGACAATCCTCGAACTAGCAGGCTTAGTGCCGTCCTCAAACACAATCAAGTGCAGAGCACCTTGTGAAACCGAGATATTCCACCACCACCATTTCTCAAGGATTGGGGAAACATCAATAGGAGTGGGAGGTATATCAAGGCGGAAAAGATTGAAACCAGTAATGAAAGGCTTAGGCAAGCCAACATATTTGTCTTGTGTTCTAAGATAGGGCACATATAAAAGCCCATTGCAGGAAACAACATCAATCATTCGGTGTCTGCGACAACCTTGAATAACGAGAGCCTCCTTCTTCCATTTTCCAGAGTCGGAAGAGAACACATCTAGCTTCATGGAATTCCTATCTTGATATATGCAGACCACGCGGAACCGATACTCATAGCCACCTCCTAGATCAAGACTATCAGAAATCAAGGGTTCGCAAACTAACCTTGCACACAACTCCGTAAGCCCGACGGGTCTTTCGGGGGCCAAAGGGAGAGCGATCCATTGCTTCGTAAAAGGATTGCAGATCAAGTACGATCTGGCAAGTTCAGCATTAGTATGGCGGTCACCTAGTTCCCCAAACCCGCATAAAAGCAAGTCCTTGAAACAATCAAAAACTGCGAAAAGCAGTGAACGGTAGCCTCCCTCTTCAACGGGTGTGGGGAGAAATCTCAGGACGGCCGATTCCCTGTCATCTGAGAGAAGAAGTTGAGGAGGAGGTGGTTTGTTCATGCGCTGGTGGTGAGAAAGGAAACGACGACTGAAGCAGGGATCAGAAATCAGGGATCTCCACAGCTTGCAGACGACTTTGCTCCGGCAGGCACATCTAGGATTCGGGAGGCGAATCAGAATTTCGACGAGGAGATCGTTTCCGAGTTTGCTGATCATCGGAGAACGAGGATTTACCTCTGAACGGGACCGTCTCTTTCTGCAGCCGCGAGGAGGTAAAAAAGCTGCGTCTAGCAGTTGATCCAAAACCGTGGTGCAGTTCTCAGTCGCCATAGCGGTAGACAAACAGGCGGGTGCAAGATAGCGCCACCGGAGGAGTAAGGGTTAGCTAGTAGTGCAGAAGACAAGGAAGAGATAGAAATCCCTAATTTCCTAGATCCATTGAGTAGATAATCTCTTATAAACGAGAGCCTAAGCCATGTTGTCAAAAAAAAAAAAAAAAAAAGCCTAAGCCCGGTCCAGAATTTACCGTTGATAATCTGATTCATTAGTTGGAGAAGGGCTTAGAGTTAGAAGGACACAAGAAACGGTACATAACATGTCCCTCATGGGCCATGGCTACAGACGGCCTGGCATCACAAATTAAAAGGCTAGGGGTAGTTTGGATGTGGAAATTTGAAAAAGTTGGAATTTGTCTGAATTTTTATGTTTTACAAAACCAAGGAATTAACTTATGGAAATTGAAAAAATTTAACATGGGAATTGATGGTGTGAAATTTGGAAAAAGAAGTAAGAAAACGTGGTAATGTCAAATTACTAGGGGGAGGTGTAGTATTCTCAATTACCATGAATGTGGTAATTGAAGCCAATTTCCATGGTCCAATTCTCATACCCTTTTTGCTCTCCCAAACGTGGATTTTTAACCCAATTATTGTATTATGTGGTAATTGAGTCCGATTACTGCATTACATTTCCACATCCAAACGACCCCTAAATTACAAGTTGGTCACTCAAATGTTGCAAATCTTTTACATTTTCCACTTGAATTATTTTTCTTTTTTATTGTTCATTAACTTTACAAATCGTTTCACTGTTAATCACCGACCGTCTTATTGATGTGCATGATGGGACCTTAGTCTTGAGAGATGGTAAGGAGCATATAACATTTTATATTGCTAATAATATTACTGTTACCTCGCCTGTGCATGCTTTATCTCACCAGGTGTACGAGTCTGTCGTGTATCATTTCGTGCGTTCCATTTTGCAGGATTCTCCACTCATTCCTTTGTTGCCACTACCGTTTGTCCCGTTACCAAAAGAAAAGCTCAAGGAGGAGTGGCGGCCGAAGCTGTAGGCTGCCGAGCCTGCCAAAAAGAAAGCTGGAGACCACTATGAGCTAGTCACAGCTCCTAAGCCACGACCACCCTGGCTATCCGAGTATTCACTTGCTTGCATCCTGCCGGATGGCCAGGTCGAGTTGACATGTGCTGATAGCCACAACTGTCGTGTGCATTGTCAACATCTGAAGTTGTACCTCAAGAGCGAGGTGGATCCGCTCTTGGAGGCACCTATTCTTCCACTGTCCTAAGCATCCACCGTAGGTGTCCAGCTAAAAGACGGTAAATAAGCGCTTGTGGGGAGGCAACCCCACCACGGTTTGCATTTTCTTCTCTTTGTTTTTTATTTTTGATATTTTGAGTCGGTTTGTGTGTTTGTCGAGCCCACCTAACGACTTGTGTTCGAGTGATTGTTTTTTGTTCTAGCCCGTGTCCTTGCCCTGACTGGTCCCACTTCTAGTCCTTTGCTGACTAGTCCCCTCTCCAGTCCCGCTGCAGTATGTTTTTCTCGATAACATCATTTCCCTTATCATTCCTCTTCTCCATTGAGGCCAATGTCGAACTTAAGTGTGGAGGGTGTTTCTATTTGACTGCTTATATGTGTCTTGTGCTTGGAGCCTAGTACATTGTCCAAATTTCGATTTGAGGGCTCCAAGTGCGTGTTCCTTGCAATTGTCTGCTCAGTATGCTTTGAATTGACAGTCTTTATAGTAATATGCAACATAGGGAGGTAGTGTAGCACTATGGAGGATGTTGATGCATTTAAGAAGTCTCATTTCTTTTTCATGTTGTGTTGGATGATTGTGTGAATTAGTGATCTTATGATACTTGAATCGTGTGGTATTGTGGACTTTCTACCTGTCATGGACTCTGTATCATGTTTTGGAAAAGGTGCTCTAAACTATGCTTTTAAAACAATGTCTCCCGTATGGAAATCGGTGAAAGTGTGTAAGGGGAGACGGAATTCGTTCCCATCTTCTACCTACTACCTCCAGGCTCTAGCCCCCTTACATTTCTTTCCCTCGCACGAGGCTTGAGACATCTGCTCCCGCATGGCCGGTAAGAGTTGGGATCCCGCAAAACCTTTGCTAGGTGGGAGCCCCGTTTTCTGAAAATAGCAGGTTGGAACCCACACAAAAGAAGAAAAAAACAAGAAAATAAAAAAGGAGTTCCAACCATCTTTAAAGAAAAAGAAAAAATGAGCACCTAAATAAGTGAGTCCATGATCTTTCTCTTTATCCATGGATCACTTGTCCTACGATCACTACTTGGCACGATCCCGACTCGGGACTAGAGTTCTCGCCGAATAAGCTAGGAGGTGCCTTATGCATTGGTTAACCTCATAAGCTGCTAAATGATCCAGGAAGTCCTTTACCAACGATTGGGGGTTGCGTTGTAACAACCTGACATTTGGATTTTGGTTCGACCAATAATAAATCATGAGTTGGTTAAAATCAAGACTAAAAAGGTTAAAATCATATGGGCCGCATTTAAGTAACTTTCTTCTAATTGTAATGGACGGATAACTAACTCTAAAGCGGAGCGAAATTGACACAGGACTGAGGTTTGCGTATTAGTTAGTTGGGCGTAACGTTAAGTGTTGGGAAGTGGTGTCACATGTGGCAGATGACATGGCGGCTGCACATGTGGCGTGTATGGAAGACTAGTAGCATAGAGATGCTCCTAGGATTCTCCACCTTAATAGAGAGCTTAATGGTGCACTTATGAGTCACATAATGGGTGACATTTATAGAGTGCATAATGGGGGGACTTAATGGGGTGTATTGATGTAGAGGGACATTATGAGGGGCATTGATGCCTTGTATGAGGAGAGGCCTATATAAGGAGCCATCTCCCTCACTTGTAACTCATTTCATCATTTTTTAGAGTAATACACACTAGAGAGTTCTTCCACTTCCTTTGTCTTTGTTCTTGTTCTTTGCTTGCAAGTGAGTTGAGAGAAAGGCTGCCTAGCGCTCTAACGGAATTGAGAGCTAGGGCCGCACGATCGAGAGTAAGGTCGTGACAAGTGGTATCAGAGCCTGGTTCGGCTTTGTGCTAGCAAAGTTGAACCTAGAGCCAGAAGGAAATGAAGAACCTCACCAAAAATGTCGGGATCAGATAGCGGCGTTACCGACCACGAGAAGCGTGGAAGGGATCACACAAAGAATCCCAAGCCAAAGGACAAGTTAAGCACTCGTGATCCTATGGCGGCTCTAGAGAGGCGTGTCTCTCGAGTGGAAGTGAAGGTGGCGGAAGATATCACTGCCATCGAGGATTTGGGAGCTAACTTCACCCAAGTCCAAAGCGATGTTCAAGGGATGGCTGGAAGGTTGACAACCTTGGAGATCAACCATGATGGGATGCGAGAGGAGCTTGTGGCCCTCATCAACAACACCATCACCACCTCCGTGAACAACGCCATTGAAGTTGTGAAAGAGCAAGTCCAGGCTGAGCTGGTCGGCGTGAAGGAGGAGATTGCAGACCTCAAGAGTGAGGTCACTCTCGTGAAGAGAGCCATGGCTAGCGGACCAACCCCGGTGCAATCCGTCCCACGTGCTGATGTTCCAAGATCGAAGAACTTCGGAGGTTCAAGGAACGCGAGGGAGTTAGAGAACTTCCTTTGGAGTCTTGAGCAATACTTCAAGGCATCCGGCATCCAAGAGGATGAGGTAAAACTTCGTAACGCTCCACTTTACTTGGTTGATGTTGCCATGGTGTGGTGGAGGCGACGTGAAGCGGACGTCGAAAGAGGTACTTGTGTGATGGTAACGTGGGAAGATTTCAAGAGAGAAATCAAGAAGCAGTTCTACCCGGAGAACGTGGAGTTTGAAGCCCGTTCGAAGTTGAGAAGACTCACCCAGAGGGGTGGAGTTCGAGAATACGTGAAAGAATTCTCGGAGCTGCTTCTAGAGATCCCGGACATCACGGACAAGGAGGCCATGCACGGCTTTCTTGATGGGCTGCAACCATGGGCCAAGATGGAGATGCAACATCGAGGAGTGCAAGACCTTGCAACTGCCATGGCCACGGCGGAGTCTTTTGTTAAGTACAAAAGGCAAGAGAGCAGCGGCAGAGAGAAGAGTTCGAAGCCCAACAAGGGTGGAGAACAGCAGAAGCCTTTCAAGGAGGGCACTCGCGCTCAACAACATCAAGGTGGTTCGAGCAAAGGGGGTAAGTACGAGCCAAAACCCATGTCTTGCTTCCTTTGCGATGGACCACATCGAGTGCGGGATTGCCCAAGTAAGGCAAGATTGGCAGCCATGGAAGTTCAAGATGAGGAGCCCAAGGCGGCGGAGGCCAAGATTGGCTCAATCCGCAAGCTTGGCGCGGAGAAGACCGACGTCGAGGAGAGCAAGCGTGGGAGGTGCTACGTTCTGGCGCAATTCATGCAAGGCGAGTCAAAAGCCTTGGTGGATACCGGTGCCACGGACAACTTCCTTCGCATCGAGGAGGCAAACCGGCTGGGTATTGCCTACGAGAAGGGGCAAGGGAGGCTCAAGACGATAAACTCGGAGTCCATCCCGATCCATGGAGTTGGTCACAACGTGCCAGTGAAGCTTGGCGAGTGGGAAGGCCTCATCGACTTTTCCGTCGTCACCATGGACGATCACCCAGTCATCCTCGGCATCAACTTCCTCGACAAGGAGGGAGTGCTCTTGAAGCCCAACTCCAACACGATGTGCTTGGAGAAGGAGGAGGAGTTTTATGCGGTCCATCTCTTGAGAGAAGATGGCCCCCATAGTGCTCTATCGGCCATGCATGTATTGAAGGGGTTCAAGAAGAATGAACCAACCTTTCTTGTGTCCTTGAAAATGGAGGAAGAAGGAGGCTCAACGGGAATCACAACTCCCATCATCAAAGGCGTCCTCGAAGAGTTCGACGACGTGATGCCATCGGAGTTGCCCAAGAAGCTGCCACCAAGAAGAGAGGTGGATCACAAGATCGAGTTGGAGCCAGGAGCGAAGCCCCCTTCGCGAGCACCATACCGCATGTCGCCATCGGAGTTAGAAGAGTTGCGGAAGCAGCTCAAGGACTTGGTGGATGCAGGCTACATGCGGCCATCGAAGTCACCTTTTGGAGCACCGGTGTTGTTCCAAAAGAAGAAGGAAGGGTCGTTGCGGATGTGCATCGACTATAGAGCCATCAACAAGTTGACGGTGAAGAACAAGTGGCCGATTCCCAACATTGGCGATTTGTTCGACCAGCTTGGAGATGCGATGTGGTTCACCAAGCTTGATCTTCACTCGGGCTACTACCAAGTGCGGATAGCAGAGGGCGACGAGCCAAAGACGGCTTGTGTGACGAGGTATGGCTCTTACGAGTTTCTTGTGATGCCATTCGGTCTCACCAACGCACCAGCCACGTTTTGCACTTTGATGAATCAAGTGTTCGAGCCATTCTTGGACCGGTTTGTCGTGGTCTACTTGGATGACATCGTCGTGTATAGCAAAACACTCGATGAGCATGCCGAGCATCTACGCCAAGTCTTCCAAGTCCTTCGCGACAACGAGTTGTATGTCAAGAGGGAGAAGTGCACATTTGCCGCCACGGAGGTTCCATTCTTGGGGCACATCATTGGTGGAGGCAAGTTGAAGATGGATGGGGCAAAGGTGCAGGCAATCCAAGAATGGGAGCCGCCGACGAAGGTGCCAGAGTTGCGGTCATTCCTCGGCCGTGCCAACTACTATCGGAGGTTTATCAAGGGCTACTCCAACATTGCAGCACCCTTGACGGATCTCTTGAAGAACAACAAGGCGTGGGATTGGTCGGAAAGGTGCCAAGAAGCATTCGAGGCCTTGAAGGCAGCAGTGATGAAGGAGCTCGTGCTCGTGCTCCCCAACCCGACGTTGGCCTACGAAGTGCAGACCGATGCATCCGACTTCGCGATTGGAGGTGTGTTGATGCAAGATGGGCATCCCATTGCCTTTGAGAGTCGGAAGCTTAGCGAGACGGAGAGGCGATACACCGTTTAAGAGAAGGAGATGACGGTCGTGGTGCATTGCTTGCGCACTTGGAGGCACTACTTGTTGGGGTCAAAGTTCGTAGTGAAGACGGACAACGTGGCAACGAGTTACTTTCTGACGCAGAAGAAGCTCACCCCTAAGCAAGCTGGCAAGACTTTTTGGCCGAGTTCGATTTCGTCATGGAGTACAATCCAGGCAAGGCGAACTTCGTTGCCGATGCTCTTAGCCGCAAGAGTGCAGCCGCAAGCATCAGCCAGCCCATGTTTCCTTTGAAGGAGCAGATCGTCGAAGGCCTTGGCCATGACCCCTTCGCCAAAACCGTAACGGAGTACATCGAGCAAGGTAAGACTCGACGGTTTTGGATGAAGGATGGGCTCATCATGACCAAGGGAGAGCGAGTGTTCGTGCCAAGATGGGCCAACTTGAGGAAGGAGATCATGAAGGAGTGCCATGATTCCAAGTGGGCGGGCCATCCGGGCATCGAGAGAACGCAAGCACTCATCGAAGAAGCATATTTCTTGCCGCGTATGAGAGACAACGTGGAGATGTATGTGAAGACTTGTCTTGTGTGCCAACAAGACAAGATGGAGCAGAGAAGTCCGGTAGGCTTGCTAGAGCCCTTGCCCACGCCTCAATGACCATTGGAGAGTTTAAGCATGGACTTCATCATCGGACTTCCCAAAGTCGATGGATGCGGTTGCATCATGGTTGTGGTGGACAGGTTCTCGAAGTATGGAGTGTTCATTCCTGGGCCAAAAGACTTGACGGCAGAGGATGCGGCGCGTCTATTCTTCAAGAACATGGTCAAGTATTGGGGCATTCCTAGCAACATTGTGAGCGACAGAGATGGACGCTTCACGAGCAGATTTTTGGCGAGAGTTGTTCAAGATCATGGGCTCAGACTTGAACTTCTCGATGGCATTTCATCCTCAAAGCGACGGACAGACGGAGCGGGTGAATGCCTTGTCGGAGGTGTACTTGTGACACTACGTGAGTGCAAACCAACGAGATTGGGGGAAGTTGATGGATACGGCACAATTCTCCTACAACTTGCACCGCAGCGAGTCGACCAACACGAGTCCATTTGAGTTGGCGACGGGGCAACAACCTTTGACACCTACGACGGTGGCAACGGGGTATAGAGGCAATAGTTCGGCGGCCTACAAGTTCGCTAAAGGCTGGCACGAGAAGATGGAGATGGCCAAGTCTTACTTAGCCCGCGCTAGCAAGAAGACGAAGAAATGGGCGGACAAGAAGAGGCCGCACTTGGAGTTTGAAGAAAGAGACATGGTGATGGTCAAGTTCTATCCTCATCGCTTCAAGCATCTCAAGAACGTGCACAAGGGACTGCTTCGCCGCTATGAAGGGCCATTCCCCATCGAGAAGAGGATTGGCAAGGTGGCATACAAGGTTGAGTTGCCGACGCACTTGGAGATCCATCCGGTCTTTCATGTGAGCCAACTCAAGCCTTTCCACGAAGACAAGGAGGATGAGCAGCGAAGAGAGTCGCAGCGCGCTCCAACACTCATCACCAAGACACACGACCATGAAGTTGAAGAAATCATGGCGCGTCGTGTCATTCCTCGTCGTGGCGTACATCCGAGCTTTGTGCAGTACTTGGTCAAGTGGCGCAACCTTCCGGAAAGTGAAGCAACTTGGGAGAAAGAGCTCACACTTTGGAAGAACAAGGACTTGATCGAGGCATTCCATCAAGAGGACGCGACGAGGGCGTCGCGAGCATAGGTGGGGGAGGATGTCACATGTGGCAGATGACATGGCAGCAACAAGGTGACAACATGGCGGCTGCACATGTGGCGTGTATGGAAGACTAGTAGCATAGAGATGCTCCTAGGATTCTCCACCTTAATAGAGAGCTTAATGGTGCACTTATGAGTCACATAATGGGTGACATTTATAGAGTGCATAATGGGGGGACTTAATGGGGTGTATTGATGTAGAGGGACATTATGAGGGGCATTGATGCCTTGTATGAGGAGAGGCCTATATAAGGAGTCATCTCCCTCACTTGTAACTCATTCCATCATTTTTTAGAGTAATACACACTAGAGAGTTCTTCCACTTCCTTTGTCTTTGTTCTTGTTCTTTGCTTGCAAGTGAGTTGAGAGAAAGGCTGCCTAGCGCTCTAACGGAATTGAGAGCTAGGGCCGCACGATCGAGAGTAAGGTCGTGACAGTGGTCAGAGGAGGCGGAGGCAGGCTCTTTGGACCTTGTCCCGGGATAGGGGTAAATTTAGGAGGAACAAAAAATACGCTATATATATTTATATGGTGATGGAACACAACATCTATATGTAGTATTAGAGTATTTTGTCACTCCAACACAACTCATTACTTGTTCATAAATTGACATAAAATTAATTTATTATACTATTATAGAAGTTTCAATTGCAATAAAGACCTAATCGAATCTCTTTTCTCCTTATGCCTATTAGATCTTTTCCCCAACAACCCTGAAATTGTCTAACGACAGCGGCTATTCCACTAGCTAGTATTGATTCTACCAATTACAAATACAAGTGTAGAAAAAGCATTTTCATCTTTGGGTTATATTAAGAACAAGTTTCCAAGTCGATTTAGCGACCAGTTTGCTAATGCTTGTTTAGTGATATACATTGAAATAAACTTATTTAATAGTGTAGACAACGAATGTTTTTACGTTTCTTTCACTATATGAAATCCATTCGTGGTTTTTATGAAAATAATGATTGTATAGTTGATTATTTTCAAACTATGAATGAATCGTTTGGATATATTTATTTTTATTAAATAATTATTATTAATAAAATACTTATATATTTATATTATAAAAAGAGGACAGGTGTGTTAAATGCTACCTGTGGTTGGAATATATTCTCATTAATTAATATTATACACAAATAGAGAATTTAATGGATCGGGTTACTATGGAGGAGAACGGAACGCACACTCCTTATGTTAGGTTTGAAAAGGAAGTTCCATCGTCTTCCCCCGTATAAATATGACGAGGGGAGGGAGACAAGCGTTACGTTGCCTAGAGAAGGAAAAGCCGCTTCCTTCTCCTACGCATGCCAGAGAGTGGCGGACCCGTTGCTGAGGAGGTCAACACGAAGACCTTCGGGCTGGACGTGGGTGGTCCTGGAGAGAGGGTTCCATGCGCTTGGGAGCTGCATAGCTCGGCGTCGACTAGAGAAACTCGAAAACAAAGAGAGGAATCGAGACCAGCTACAAGTAGGGATGGCAACAAAACCCGAACCCACGGGTACCCACCCGACCCAATCCGGTCAACGCGGGTAAAATCCGTGTTGACGGGTTTTGGGCCGGGTTTGGGTTTAAACCCGTTCACTATTCACTGGGTTGGGTTTAGGTAAACCCGGCCCGTGGGTACTCGCTCACCCATATAATTAATTTTTTCGGTATATTTAATATTCTAAACAACTAATCTTATTTATATTTGTGGAGACATGTCTAATTTTTTCTTTTTAATTGTGTAGAATGAAGTTGATGTTATGGAGTGGAGAGTAAAGAGACTTAATTGGAAGGAAGAAGCTTTCAATTAAACATGTTATTTATGGATAATTTGTGATTTGCTTCAATTTTCTTGAGTTTTCTAGATTGGTGTTGAACAATTGGTATAGTTAATTTGTGATTTGCTTGAATTTTCTAGAATGGTATTTTATATATGGATAATTTGTATTGAGAGATTTTTTTTTTTGGTAGGATTGTATTGAGAGATTGATATTTGACTTTAATTTTGATAAGAACTTGTAATTTTAAATTTTTTACGACAAAACCCGTGGGTACCCATGAACCCGCGGATACCCAACGGGTTGGGTTGGGTTTGAGTTTTTCAAACCCAGTGGGTTTTACCCCAAGTTTTTTTCAAAGATAAACCCATGGGTTTGGGTTTGGGTTTGACAAAATCCGACCCAACCCGACCCATTGCGATCCCTAGCTACAAGAGCTAGCGTTGGCAAAAGGGGGATTAATAATGAGGAAAGAGCAACGGCGAGTTCCCGATGCATTAATTATAATTTTTTCATTTTCGTGATAATGTGGAATTTTTAACAGATTAATGTAGAATTTTTAACAGATTAATTTCCATGTTTTTAATTAATTTTTTATTTACCACATAACTTAACCGTCAATTTTGAAAATTGACTGCCATATCATCAGAAGTTAATAGATAATGACTAAACTTAAACTATTAAATTAATTTAAGCGACTACAAATGAAATCTAATTAATTTTAGTGACAAATTTTAGTGACAAATGTGACATTTTTCAGTAATTTCAGTGAGACAACCAGCCTTTAAAAAAACTTTATCCAACAACCCCTACAAGATTACCAAACAATATGACAGATTACGCATGACTGCATTTTAGAATCCAAGAACCACTAAAAGATTACCAAACAATATGACAGATTACGCATGACTGCATTTTAGAATCCAAGAACCACTAAAAGATTACCGAACATGAGTGGTTACGCATTACCATAGGAATTCCAGTTACCAGTATCGAGTATCACATGCCAGCAAAGATAGATGATCAAATGCATCGTAAGTTCAAAATTCTATATCCTCAACTGAATCAAACAACATAGTAACGTGAACTGATCCTTCCATGTCTAGGGCAGGTCATTTCCAAAACGAGCAGCTGTATCACCTTCATCTGAATCACATGCCACCCATAGATCACGATTCGAAGTCCTCAACTGAACTACAGCTTAGTTAGTAGAACTTTATCCTTCCGAATTCGGGGCAGGAGGTCCTGCACTTGCATTACCAGGTAGTTCAACATCAGAAGCAGGAGTAGGAGCAGTTCCTACACGAACATTAACAGCTTGTCCACCAGGATTTCCTTCGTCCTCGTCATCGTCATCATCAAGTCTAATCAACACATCAGCATGAACAGTTGGCGAGGGTGGTTCATAATACTGATCAAGTGTCCTCAGAGTATCCAAGGCTTTGGTATCAAGCATACCCTTCAACATGGCCTCCGATTGAAGGCATCCCCTCAATTCCTCAATAGTTTTAGCATATCTGCACCAAAAGAACCAACAAGTTTCAATAACAAAACTATAGATGAAGAATGGATAAAAAAAACTTAAGATCGTTACCTCATTATCAGTTCAATGACAGCTCCAATGTTGGTACAATTACTGAGATTAGCCACTAGGTCGGTCGCACCGGTACGAGCATTCGCAACAGAAAGGACAGCTTTCGCATGGTCCTCAAGATAGCTACAATATTTGACATAAGTAGCTGGAAGCCCGTCGTCATCAATTCCAACAGGAGCAGATGTGTCACCTTCAGCAGGAGCAGATGTATCACCTTCATATGAAAACCCTTGACATGAGAACCACCAACCATGAAACATTTGACAACCAAATAACTGCCAATCACACAGCCTTACCAGAACTGCTGGCTGTTAAGTCATCAGATCGACGACGCTTGAGTCCTTGACCAACAGTTCCGATATTTTCCAAAAGTTGATGATGACGATCAATGATCTGAATCCTAGTGTTGCTGGCCAAAGAGTTAAGTTCATGGAAGATTACAGGCAATGCACTTCTTTTGTCATCATAAGAATCCAACTCTCGCAAGTACCTATGACAGCACATACAAATGAGAGTTTTGTATTTGACTACCTGAGTAATGAATCATGAATGTTTGCTAAACTAGAGTACTGGGAAAAAAACTTACGCATCGAGAGCTACAACTGCAGCAATTGGATCAGTAATCTCCTGCATGTCTCTCATATTATCCAACAGTAGAGTGTACATTTCCCCAAGTTTGTCATGGCTAAGTCTACATGCTTCATATTTTTCAATGAATTCATTTAAGATAGCTCCAAGCTCGAGCTCTATATCACAAAGAATAAACAGAACAAACACCAAATAAGTATCAAAACTGTGTAATAGAACGATGATTACCAGTTCTAACTGTAGAAGCAAATTCAGATTTTCAACGAAACACCTAAAGCAAAGTGTATACAAGCTAAACAAATACAAACACTTTACCATTAACTGCTGCCAGATCAGATTTGTTAAAATGAGGTTCAAGCAGGGGCCCCTCAGAAACAGGAATTGAGGGAGTGAGAGGTGGATGGTCACCAACTTGCCCCACAGCAGAGAGGGCTAGCTCCAACTTCTGAGCATCGACAAATTTCTGGACCCCTAGGTCTCGCTTATAAATGGTAGCTTTATCAAAATACCTGTCCCAAAGGAAGACATTCAATTCAGACGACAAAAATTATAAATATTACAAACCGCACCAAAATCAATAAATATTACCTCTTCACCAAACCGATTGCTTCATTTATATCTTTTCCTGAAGGCATCAAGTCAATTCGTATTTCGTTTAGGTCAAGAGTATGACAAATTAAATCCTCCTCAAGACTAGTGCGGGCCAGTACGAAGGACTTGTATCTCTGAAACGCATCTTGCCCCGGAGGAAGTTCTACATAACATCGAAAAACTAGTATGAAAAAAAACCGCAAAATGAAACCACTTATAACCTAAAGAATAACAATTAAACGAGCTGTACCTTCAGGAAGATCGAGAACAGAGAAACATTCTTGCGGCGGAGTTGAATTAGGCGGCATCTTTACAATGTTTTCAACATTATAATTGCGAATCTGGCGCACACAATTCTTGGTACTCAATCCCAGTGAGGTCAGAGCCCCGGAAGCTGCTTCTTTCGCCCTCTTAAGCGATTGTTCAGTTTGGCGTAGCCTATAAACACAGGATTATGGTTAACATAACCCTCGCCACTAATCAGCAACTGAAATCTCAAAGAACAATCAAACAATCACTCACTCTTCCAGTAGGTTCTTAGCAGCTTCCTGATCATTAGTAGCATCTACTTGTAGAGCAGTTTCCTTCAGAGCCAACAGCGCGGTATGGTGAGTATTAACCTCAGCCTTCCTTGCCTCGACTTCCTCGTAGTCCTTAGAGAAGATATTCAAGATCCGTTCAAGATCCATCTCTAAATCACCAAACAAAGAGATTATCAAACCATGTAAGAAGATTCGCACTAGGAAATGGACGGAGAAAAAGCACTACTAATAGCACAAAATCGTTATTGAAAGTGATTAGAACATCTCTAAATCACCAAACAAAGAGATTATCAAACAATGTAAGAAGATTCGCACTAGGAAATGGACGGAGAAAAAGCACTACTAATAGAACAAAATCGTTACTGAAAGTGAATAGAATGACAGATGAAGATTAGTTTGGCGCTGGCAAGATGATCAAAGCCGATGATACGGCCGGCGACAGCGACTCCGGCTAGGGCGGCGACAGCGATGCAGAGCGGCGGGAGATGACGGCCCCAGCTGCTCCGGCTAGGGCCGCGACAGAGAAATCGAGAAAAGTGAGGAAAGGGGGAGAACTGAAAGAGAGAAATAAAGAAAACGGGGAAATGACGGGTTGTTGGGATTCCCCACACACAGCCCACATCTTTGCGAGCCGCATTCCCAAAAATACCCCTAACAGGATTAAAAATCTACGCATATGCCCCTAACCCTTTTACCCGGCTGGCCAAGTGGCAACTTATCCCGTCCCGGTTTAAGGCAGGAAAGATAGGATTTCGCTGAAAAAGGATATTATTGGCATGGAGAATAGAAAAGCGCGATAGGCGAAAGGAAATCAAAGGTAGCAAGTAAGGGGCGACAGATTGACAGTAACATATCGCTGTATAGGATATATGCGCTTAAAAAGGGTAGATTGGTAGTTTCGAAATCCGAATAAATAATGTACGTGATATTAGAATTATCAAAGTAAAAAGAAAATTATCATTGATAATTGACGTCGAACGAAGGCACCGAGTTACTCTTTCCTTTTTTTTCTTTAGAAAGTTTACTTTTTTTATTCTTTTGATTAATTTCCTAGTTTGGCATGAAATTTAGCATAAATGTCAGCTTTGGTCCAATTTTTCTAATAAGACATTTATGGCCTACTTTGCAAATTATTGGACAAATTTGGGCTGAAACTTAGGTTGATTGGTAAAACTGACCATCAACTATTTTTCCGGTCGGTTACTCAGCATCAAAATGCTGAGTTGGATCCAAGGTGACTGCCACATCATTTATTTAGATTAAAAAAATTCAAACTAAAAAAACAAAACAAAAACAATAAAACCCCCAAAATCAACTCTCCCATCTCCACCCTAACTCCCTCCCCTCACGACCCAATTCAACCCCCACCCAATCGGAATCCCTAACCATCATCGCAACCTATCTCACCACCATTCCCATCTTCAGCTACCCTCACTACATCTACCCTATCGTTCTTTTTGCCTGTTCGCTTCTGGTGCTGCTCCTTCTAGATCCCGTCCACAATATCAGAAGCTACTGACAGTACCTCTTCTGCGGAGCCGAAACGGAGAGCGCTAGTGGCGGCGGTGCGACGCACATGCATCCGGCGAGCGCGAGTTGCCGAACCAAAGGGAAGGGGATTGATTGACGATCTCCCTATCCCAGATCTGCCGATCTCGTTGCCGAAACAGTAGGCGGCGGGACGATCGTAGGGCTGAAGAAACAGCCGGAGATGATGGCAAGGACAACGAGCTAGCTTGGACAACGCCGACATGTCCTGGTGGCGTCGACTTTGGGGATTGATTCAAACGTTGGGGATTGATTCCGATGCCTTCTATGGCGGCGGGTCGTGGGTTTCATTTAGGGCAGGGAATTTCGCCAGGGTCGGGGAGAAGAAGACGGGACGGCGGCGCTGAGTTTTAATTAAGGTGGCGATTTGGGTACGGGAGAAAGAGGGGAATGGGCTGGCGGGTTAGATTATTTAGGGTTCATGGGTAAAATTGTCCGGAGAAAGAGGAAATTGTTTTAATGTGTTATTTATTTTTTATTTTAATTGAATTAAAAAATAAAAAAAATCATTTAATGACATGGCATGCCAAATCAGCTGTTTTTGGCTGAGTCACTAACGGAATAGTGCTTGACTGTCAATATTAACCATCAAAGAAATTTATAGGCCAAATTTGTCCAATAATTTGCAAAGTAGCGAGAAATGTCTTATTAGAAAAGTCGGATCAAAACTGACACTTACGCTAAACTTCGAGCTAAACTAGGGTATTAACCCTTTTTCTTTCGCCATTAACACCTCCACTTGGTGCAGTTTTCGCCATTAACACCATCTATCTATAAAGTATAAATTATATTACTAGCTCTATACTTGGCCAGTTGGCCGAAACTTAATCTGTATCGGTTGGTATCAATTTTACTCCATTAAGTTGATAACTCGCTTTGATACCAACTAATATTAAATTGGTATGATTTTGTTAAATATATTACAACTAAATATTATGATATTGGTATTTGGTGGAACCATGTTTGTATTGTACGACTAAATCCTATTTTGTCAAGTTGTTCGGTACAATCTTCAATGCGGTTTTACATAGTATGAGTCGAGTTTCAATTATTCAAATTTATCTATTTAACTAGTTTTTTATCCGGCCCGTTGGCCGGAGAGATTTATTTTATAATTTATATTAATTAACTTATTTATATGTTTAAATCATTTTGGACGCTTGAATGCAGACATATAGAAAGATCATACTGTTTGAGGATCTGTCAGTCTGTCACAGTGCTACCTGAAGAATAGAGGCTTACTCTCGTTTTTACTTCGATTTTTACGTCGATAAGAACAGAGGCTTTCTTTATCTTTTTTGCTCTCGTTGAACCAGAGCAACAGAGACCACCCCTCCCAAAAAACAAAGATCTCTCTCTTGTCGACGAGAATGAAGGACATCAGAACAAGAAAAGCGAGGACGACGAAGGAGTCAGGCGACGAGCAACACAGTCGATAACCAGGAGAGCTTCGACAAGGAAGAATCTTCCTTCCTCGAGTTGTGTGTATTTCGACCGACTTTTCTCGCGTATTAATATTTAATACCGGTGAGGACGATTCTCTGTGTCATTTTCTTTCTAGGTGTGGGTTTTTCCCTTATTCTCTGTGTCCATCAATTAAGTGTATTCGATCAACAACGGTTCCTTTGAGTATATAACGATCTTACCTATAAATAGTTCTATCAATAAGTAGTTTAGTTTAAAAATGGTGAAGATATATTTAACAACGCTCGAGTTCCTTGGTCTCATCAAATTATCGCAAGCCGCAAATGTATGTACATAAACAGTCATTGTGAATGAACACTCTGGAAAATCTATCCTTCACTAGTGCACTTCATATATGAACCAGGAGGGGTAGCAGCAAATCGACATAAGTTTTTGCCCAAAAAGCCTTGCATACAGGGGCGATCTCATCCTTGGATGCTTCAGCGATGGATTGACATCGATCTCAAGTGAAAATTCGCTCTCCAATGTCCATACTGCTCCGGTCAACCGCGATCTTCTGAGGGATGTTTTCAGCAGGACAAAGAAACTTGAGACTGGTTCCAGATTGGTTTAATCGGTCACCTGTCCGTCAGAATCCAAATGCTAACACATCAATTAAGTGTATTCGATCAACAACGGTTCCTTTTAGTATATTATGAGATAGTATATGCTCAGGCTCATCAATGGTAAAATCAAGTAGCCTCAGCTAGCAAAATAAGTTCTTTAGCCAATGAATGCAACTGTGGCAGCTAAACAATATGAGAGAAGTGAAATAAGCAGGAATCAGAAGGTAGGTGGAACTAAGAGCATATAATGCATGGGGTATTACCGTATTAGTACAAAGATGCAGCACGGTATATATTCTTACGTTTACCGGATTACAGCATTGCGGCGACAGAATGCAATTAAGGAGAACAATAATACTGTACCACCGACCACGTAAAATTGGAAGACATTTGTGGTAAGAAGTTCAAATTTCAAGAGTAACTTGCCGCCAAACAGAACTATAACAACAGGGCTACAGCATAGCACCAGTAAAACCAATTGGCATGGAGCCACAGACAACTTTGCTGCAGTCGATTACATTCCCAATTATTTGATCAACAGTCAATTAAACCCCACCGTAAGAATCAACTTAAACAGCCGACTGCTAAGTGCTAACAAACACTCCATTCCATTCCACAAGTGCGAGGAAATTTGTAACTGATCACAGCCATTAGGGGAACTTTGCGAAAAAGGAATGTCCAACAGAAAGACATCTCTTCCTAATTCCTACTAAGAACTACTTAGCAAAGTAACCAATCTAAATAAAGGAAGTTGCAAATTACCTTTTTAAAGCAACTTTCATTTCAGTGCCATGACAAACACCAAATTGACTATCTTTACACTTCCTTCTTAGCGGGTGTCAAGAATTAGGTTTCTTCTCAAAGAGATTCCCACCGCTCGGATACTATCTTGAGTCCTGTCGCGTACCACGACCCAGCTGCAATGAGTGATTGAAGCTTTGTAATCCAGCACCACGGTAAACCAGTCATGCTAGTCATATATGAGCGAAAGGAGGGTTAGCGGAATCAACATAGGCTTAGGGAAACTGCAATTAACTTCTATTTAGGGATGTATTCTTAGGTTCACGATGAAACAACATTACATACAGGGGACCTTTTATTTTCGCTTAGAAGGTTCAGGGATAAATGCACATTGATACCCACATGATTCTTCACTCACCAATGTCCATATTGCTCAGATCAACCTCGATCTAGTGAGGATGTTCTCCACGGGACAGAGAAGCTTGAGAGTTGTTCTAAACTGGTTCAACTGGTTACCTGTCCACCACCATCAGAATGATACCACATCAATAAGATACATTTGATCAATATCCCTTGAGCATGTAATGAGATACCAATGCCTTGAAAGCATCATAATCAGCCACTTTGAGGTCATCAATAGTCAAATCGAGGAGCTTCAGCAAGCAAAAAATGTTATTTAGCCAATGAATGCAAACAGTGGCTGCAGTTCAACATGATAAAAGCGAAAACTAGACATGAAGCAGAATAGAGCCACGCAGCTTTGCTGTATCAATCACGTCCCACTTATCCGATAACCTGCAGCTTAAGCTTAAACCGCACCGCGGGACAGCAACTAAATAGCAGACACTGCTAACATTCTAGACACACAGTGATGTGATAAAAGCTACTGGAAAATGCAAGGCAATATAGTACTGGCTACACGAACAAGAGCCAATGCCACAAATCCACAACCACAGAGCAAACATTTCCAAAAAGGAATCTCAAACACTGGCTCGTTTCTTTCCAATTCCTATGACAACTGCCAAACAAAGTAACGAACTTAGCTCTACTTGGTTACCCCTCATTTCCAATCTGAATAACGAAAGGTGATTCTACCGAATTAAGGATGGCTTGCATTTTGCTTCTTCTCCGTCGTCGACAACCGCTTCCTGGAGGCGGAGGATCGAGCAGATCACGGGAGAGAACCATCGCCGGAATCCTACCTTTTTTGTCCTGTCTCGTTCGGCGACTCGGCTCGCCGTGGCATCGAGAGGAATCGCTTGGATCGTGCGGTGAGGAGAAATCAGGGAGTGCATAAATACACACCGGCGGATGGAATTTCGCCGCCGCTCTGATTCCTCGCCGCGCCACCATTTCGCCATTGCCATCGTCGTCTCGTATGTAATTCGTTGAGGAGGGTGAAGGCGTAGGGAATAGACGAAAGGAAATAGATTGGGCTTTCAAATTGGGCTCAAAGGCTGAATTGGGCCGTCTAACACTTAACCGATCTGCGACCCATATCGCCCAGTGCGCGCCATTCTCTACCTATTTGAAACAGATTCCATCGCAGCATAAATTGCTCTGCTCTGCTCTCTCTCTCTCTCTCTCTCTTTCTTACTGCAGTCTCCATAGTCGTCTTCTTCAGCCTATCTCTCCAAAACTTCCACGGCTTCTTACTGCAGTCGAGAAGACGATACAGCTGCCGTTTCCTTTCGTTTAGCTTTCTGGGATTCCGTCTTCCGCCGTCGCTCCGTGAATTTCCGACTCGAGAATTCACAATGCCTTTCTCGGTGATTCTCCATTACGCCTTTCTTGATTGCTCTCTTTTCGATTCTGTTTTGCTGTGTTGAGTTTCTTTCTTTCTTTCTTCTCGCTCTGATTCCTAAAAACTCTCTCCGCCATTACTTTCTTGATTCCGATCAGCCGCTCCAGTACTTCTCCCGCGCTTCAGCGATAGGAGTCTTCATCGCCATCTATTTCTTTATCGTACAGCCGCTGAGCCCCGGTGAATCCAATGGAGAGCAACCCTATTTTGTCGAACACCCAGACCCCGACGACGACGACGACGACGACGAAGAAAGACCCGATGGAGGAGACGAAGCGCCATCCTACGTTTACAGAGAAGCATACACCGAATACGAAGAAAGACCCGATGGAGACAGAATGCCACGCTATACTGTCGAAGAAGCTTACAGCGAAGACGAAGAGCCATCCGCCGAAGAGGTAGAACCATCCGCCATAGAGGAGCCATCCACCGGAGATAAAGAGCAACCCGAAGAGTTAGAGCAGCCTCAAGATTCGGTCTCTGTTTCTGCCGGCCAGGGATTGACCGGCGTCGAAGGAACTATGACGGCGGCCGAAGGACAAGTACAGCAGCCAATTGGGAATCCTAACAACGAGGAACAAGATCCGGAGCGTCAGTTCTTAAAGCTACCGGAGAAGCGGGCGATGCCGGATATAGCAGAGGGACGGAGCGGCAGCGTCGTGATAACTGGGAATCAGAATACAACTGAGCAACAAGATCCGAAGAAACGTCCACCGCCGGCACTATCGGGAGCGGCGGCGCAGAAAATTGCAGAACAAGGATCATCTGATTCTGATGGAAAACCATCCACTGTGCACGAAGAAACATCCACCGCCGACGAAGACCCAACCGATGAACTCGAAAAGCCAGCCACCGGAGACGAAGAATCATCCGCCGGAGACGATGAGCCATCTTCTGAATACAAAGAACCGAGCGGTAAAGACGAAGAACCACCCAGTGAAGGCGGAGAAGAACCAATCATCAGAGTATCTTGGTATAAGGAACCCCCGCTGGAGGGAAAATCAGAGAATCGGGAAACAGAGGAGAAAGAAGAACCCGTCATCGAGCTCGATTATCTCGTCTTCAAGAGCTGGGAAGATCCCATGGGAGAAGCAAAGCAGCTGCAAATTTCGAATCCCCTGCCGACGCCGGCGTTGATTTGCTTGGATGAATCTATAACGACGGCGGATTTGTCGACGCAGCCGACTGGGAATCAAGGAAATCTGCCGCTGAACTTGAATTTATCTGAGAACGGGATGCAGGACATATCAGAGCAATGGAGCGGCCGCGCCCTTCATCCACTTGCAGTCCCGGAATTCACAGCAACTGGGAATCCGAGCTATCCGCCGCTGAATTTGAAATTACCGGAGTCGGCGATGCAAGACATAGCAGAGCGATGGAGCGGCCGCGCCGTCGTCCCGGATTTCGGATTTCCGGCAGCCGCGCTGGCGGTCCCACTGCCGCAGCTGCCTGCACATTTTGGGCATGCGGCGACTAATGTGCCTGGGCTTATTCCTCCACCGCCGGTGAACGTCGGAGTGCACATCCCCGCTCCCGTCATCGACGGCGGCAATCTTCAGGATGTCGAGATGATTCCCGTTTCTGATTCGCCGCCGCCTTCGACCGATTTGCGCCTCCGACCCCCTTCCCCCCGCCGACGGTTGCCGTCCACCGATTTACGCCTAGGGCCGCCTTCCCCGCCGTCTGATTTCGCCGGCGGCGAAAACGCGTCCGGAGCAGAGATGAGTGAATGAGGCTTTTTTTTTTTTTTTTTTTTTGTGAACATAGTGGACTTTTTTAGGTAAACTGTAAATGGGCTTTTTCTGCTGAGCGGAATCGAAAGTTCCAACTCAAATCCATACAGAAACAGAGATGTTTTGCTGGTTTCAGATTGCTGACTTGGTGTAGTAGATTTGCAAGTGTTTCCGAAGTATCAAGTTTGGATTTCATGAGTTGGTATAGAAAATAACTACCTTTGAGTATAGAAATCAATAGAAAATGTAAGGATGCCAATAAGAAATTAATGTCACTAATGAAGCTCTGGAGAGATTATTCATAATGCATTGAACAAATTCATCCCAGTGGTTCTGAAAACAACTACAAAGCGAGATTCATTATAACGACGCGAAGATCGAAAATTAACCAGCTCCCCAGCAAAAGCTTTCTCAATCATATGCTACAACAAACTCGGAGTTTACATCATGAGATGAATTCGCATGAACCAATTTAAAACGATACAGATCACTGCTCTAATTTGATGGTAATGACAAAGCAAATTACAGCAGCAGCCTTTTAATCATGAACATCAGAACAGAAACATTCTAAACATCAAGTTGAACGGAAGAATTAAAAGTTGCATTAAGAAATTGCATACTAAGGTTTAGCAAAAGCAGGACATAAGGTTGGTATTCCATTCTCGCCTTGGCTGATCTCGGCCTCTTTAAGCTAGCTTCTCCGTCTTTCGTCCTTTTTGAGCTTGCTGCTGAGCTGCAACAACGGAGGAGTCCTGTAACTTCGAACCGAACTGCAAACCTGAACATTTAAGAATGTGATAGAATCACAATTAATAAGATTAGCGACTATTAGCAGCTGGAATTGGATAGCATATATATATACTTACCCGGGGTGATTGTCGCCCTGTAGAGACCCCAAGAAGGAGAGGGTGTGCAGATAAAACTCTAAACTCTCGTTTTCAGGTACCTCTTGGATACATCAAGGTCTCGAAAGCATCAGTTCATTGACCCTTTCAGAGTTGTTTATTGTGCCCACTTCCAGCTTCTGTGATCTCCTATTTGTATCGCCCTGTGCCTCCTTGGCTCACCAACTGCGGGAAGCAATCAAAATGGTCATGATTCATGATTCAGGCTTACAGAGCTTTTAGAATATCCAAAACCACAAAACTTCAAGTGAGGTGTGGGAGTAGTATCTAGGGCAATATACTGCAGATTCAGCTTAGCATGGTAGATTTGCTGTCAAATTAAGAGATGATGGAAAAAGGTTGTTTTGACCATGAAGCGGCAGGAATCAACCCAGGAGAAGCTACTGAACAAATAGAAACAGAGTAACAATGACGAGCTATAGGAAATATCGAGAAGTTCACAGCTAATACTGAACGCATTATGAGAGTCATTGGACATTGTTATAGCTCCAACTATTATCTGTTCTTTTCAACAACAAAAAACTCTTATCTGTTAAGTTCGCATAAATTTACACTAAAGAGAAGCATATTCTCAATTCTAAGAACGTTAATCGAGCTCGGTACCAGGAACTAACTGATACACTCTCTCTATAGGCTCGACTAAATGTGGTGGTGGGGCTGACACTAAGATCCAAACATAATTACATCAGCAATGACAATGCGTTGTATCTCTAGGTTTGAGGATGGAACACATAGCAAGGAGGAAAATAACCATGAAGGAAACGAAGGAAGCCTGAACTAAATGGAGTTCCATATTAGGGGAAAAAAGATCAGGCTGTGACATTACCTTCTCTTCCTCTTCTAAAAACTACAAAATGGAGTTCCATACTATTAGTCAAGGCATCATACTACCAGTCGTAATAGCTCGAAATTCAGATAAACAAATGCCCGAATTTGCAATAGAAACAAAAGGCGCACTATAACGAATGGAATCAGCAACAATCGATGAATGCTAAATGTAATTAGAGAAAGCAAAGTTGTGTGTACAAAGTTAATGGAGCACCTAATTAGATATGACCCTAAATTGGCACAATAAGTTACAGCAAAGCAATTCTGCTAAGTTCCTAATATGATACATAGTTCAAAATGACATAAATTTTGAGCAGCATAGATTAGCTACTGACGTCCATTTTGTGATTCATAAAAAATGTAGTACCTCTGGGTCATTCATTTGTCAGAAGCCCGGTTTATAACATATCTCATCAAGGAACAACAAACCAAAACCAATATAAGAAGAAAGGAAGCATCTTAAAGATCCATGAATCTCTTACCCGGCCACTTGAATGGCAACAATTGTAGTCGCGCCTCTGACAAAGATTTGTCGAGTGTCACTAAGCCATCAGATACTTCCCCAGAAGCTTCATTGTCCCTTCTTCCAGTCTCTTCTAGCGGTTTCCCTCCCCTACACCCTTCCCCTGAATGAACGACAACATGGAATTGGTAAGGAGGCGATAAGAATGACAAAAACTAAATACAACAAGCGAAGGTGAGCTGAAGCTAAGACGAACTATGATCGAAGCTCAATAAGTTCCAATGTCCAACATGCCAACAGAATGAGAGACTGGTGAAATGCTATATTTAGGCGTTGATCACCAATCACTGGCACTGACTACTCGAACAACATCCAATGACCAAAATCCGCAGCCGCAGGAGAAACATTTCCAGAAAAGGAATGTCAGACACTGGCAAACCTAAATCAAAATTACGAACGAAGAGCACATTTCTTCCCAATTCCGATGACAACTACCACACGAAGATCCCATTGGTACGTCAACTTTCAATTCAGTATCATTCCAGCCCCTTTGTCTCCATGAATCTACGCACCGAATTCAAGCTTCTATGAGGCTATTCAAAATCAGTGATAGAAAGGTATAAAAAGGGGCGGAAAAAGGGGTTTGCCTTAAAGGAATAACGTGATTGCACCAAATGAAGGACGGCTTCAATTCGCTACTTCTCCGTCGCCGACAGCGACTTCCTGCAGGCGGAGAATTTAGCCTTAAAAGAGTTCCGCGAATCAACTTCCGGTGGCCTCCCGACGAATTGAAGACTGAGAGTACAGAGATTGAACCCGCGCCACACAATCATTTCGCCGCCGTTCTAATACCGCGCCACACCACCATTTCGCCATTGCCATCGTCGTCTCTCGTCTGCAATTCGTCCCCGAGGGATTTTGCTGGTTTTGAAGTTTAACCCGGAGGGAAGAGACTAAAAAGGAAACAGATTGGGCTTCTAATTTGGGCTCAAAGGCTGAATTGGGCCGTCTAACAATTAACCGATCTGTGAGCCACGTCACTCTTTGCGCGCCACTGGCTAGCTATTTGAAATAGAATCCATGGCAGCATAAATTGCTCTGCTCCCACTCTCTTTCTTCAGTTCACAGAGAAGAGTTAGTTACAAGCAATCTGTAGAGAAAGAAAAATAGAATTAGAATCTCCATTGCCATCTTCTTTAGCCTATCTCCTTCACAGCCTCCACTGCTTCTTTCTGCACTGAAGAAGACGATTCAGTTGCCCCTTTCCTTCGTTTAGCTTTCTGGGATTTCGTCTCCGCCGTTTCTCCGTGAATTTCCAACTCCAGAATTCACAATGCCTCTCTCGGTAGATTCTCCATTACGCCTTTCTTGATTTCTCTTTTCGAATTCTGTTTTGCTGTGTTGAGTTTCTTTCTTTCTTTTTCTTTTCGCTCTGATTCCTAAAACCTCTCCCCCGCCATTACTTTCTTGATTTCGATCAGTCGCTCCAGTACTTCTCCCGCGTTTCGCTGGCCGGAGTCTTCACCGCCGTCTGCTACTATGCGATCGGCCGGACGCCGAACTCGAGTGAATCGGATGAAGACGAAGATCCATCTGACGACGAGGAGCCACCATATACTGTCGAAGAACCAGAACAAGAACCAGAGCCAGAGCCAGAGCAAGAGCCAGAAGACGGAGTCGAAGTACCACCCATTGTTGACGATCAGCTTATCGACGATATTGTCGAAGTACCATACACCCCAGACGAAGACGAAGACCAACCCTTTGTGCCACGCTATACCGTCGAACAACCACACAGCGACGACGAAGAAGAAACGCCCGATGGAGGCGGAAGGGACGAACCACCCACCGTAGACGAGCCATCCACCGGAGATGAAGAACCATCCACTGAAGATAACGAACCATCCGATGAAGTAGTAGAGCAGCCAATTGCAAACCGCAATGATGAGCAACCCGAAGACTCAGAGCAGCAGCTGCCTCAAGATTCGGTCTCTGTTTCTGCCGGCCAGGGATCGATCGGCGAAGAAGTACAGAAGCCAATTGCGAATCCTAAAAATGAGCAACAAGACCCGGAGCGCCAGTTCTTGAAGCTACAGGCGGCGGCGGTGCCGGTTACAGAAGAGGGACAGAGCGCCAGCGCCGTGGTAACTGGGAATCAGAATAAAACAGAGCAACAAGATCCGAAGAAACATCCATCGCTGGTGCTATCTGGTGCGGCGGCGCAGCAAAAAGCAGGGCAAGGATCATCTGATGGAGAAACATCCACTGGGCACGAAGAAAAATCCGCCGCCGACGGAGAAGAAAAGCCATCCGCCGGCGACGACGAACCATCCGCCGGAGACCAGCCATCCACTGAAGACAAAGAACTGATCGGTAATCACGAAGAACCATCCAATGAAGACGGAGAAGAACCGGTAATCAGAGTGTCTTGGTACAGGGAACCCCTGCCGGAGGGAAAATCAGAGAATCGGGTAACAGAGGATAAAGAAGAACCCGTCATCGAGCTCGATCATCTCGTCTTCAAGGACAGGGAACAGCCTAGGGGAGAAGCAGGGCAGCAGCAGCAGCAAGATTCGGATCCCCTGAAGACTCTGAATTTGATCTGCTTGGAGGATATTTTTAATCCGCCGCCGGCCCAGCCCGCTGTTAGCCAGAGCAGTTCGCAATATGCACAGGACGTCGTGGCTCCGGAGCCGTCGACCGGAGAAGTAGACCAGCCTGCTGCCCGCCTGGCGCCGTTTCAATTTCAGCTTCTCCCTGCGAATTTGAATGGGGCTGGCACTTTCGGGATGCTGTCGTTCATCATGGAATACCCCGGCGCCGCCGCCGCTGCCAACCCCGTTGAACCAGAGCAACCGGGGCCAGGGCCTGACACCGATTTACACCTATAGCCCGCCTGGCGGTGGCGGTGACCCGGAGACATATGGGCTGGGCTTCTTTCTACTGAAGTGAATCGGAAGATGATCCAACGCAGAGTCCATAGAGTAAACAGAGACTTCTTTCCCAAATTTTGGATTTTTGTTTTTGCTGTGGTAGTCTAGTCAGTCGTCAAAAGAGTTTCAGATTTGATTCTTTGGATCCCAGTTGTAAAGTTCTGTTCATGCCACAGAGAGCAGATACGCTTTCTACTGTAGTTTGGGCGATTATGATTTGCGAATGATAATAAAACCTCTTGTGAATTGCTCTTCAAAATATGCACAATGAGTATTTTAGAGGTCACAATTACTTGATCAATCTCGTGTTAGTATACAATTCTCGAATTTGAGTACTATGGGATGACTCGAATATTATAAACGTTCTTTTAATTGTCCGAGTTTTCTCAAAACGATTTCGATCTCGATGTCTTAACCTTGTTTCACTTGGCAAGTCTGTACCTTTTTTTTTTCTCCAAAAAGAAACGTTTCTGTGTCTATGTTCTTTGTCCTGAAACGTTTCGGCCTATGCTATCCTTGACATTGTTTCATAGTCCCGCCACTGTGTAGGCTATTTGAAATTGTGGCGAGAAATATATAAGGAAAAAAATTGCCCTGCTTCAGTCCTCTGTCTCCCTCACTCACTCGATCACCTCGAATTCTCAGAGAAAAGGAATTGCAGTCTTAAATAGAGAGAAACAGAGCCTCTGCATCATTCAGTTGCTTATTTCTATTCGGGATTTTCTTCAATCGATCGCAATTATCCTTGTTTGAATTTTCCCACTTCACGAGTAAGCTTTCAAGGTGAGTGCTAATCTTCGTTTCCACTAAGCTTTCTTGTTTTCTTGTTTCCCTTACTGATTATCACCATAAAGATCTTCTCTTTCTGTTTCTGGGTTCGTTGATCTCTGTGTTCTTACGATTCATCAGTAAAGGAATTGCAGTCTTTCGAGAGAGAAAACGGAATCGTCACCACAAACCCATCTTCTTCTTCTTCTTCAGCCTAGATACACAGTCTCTGTTTCTTCAATTGCTTTTTTTCCTTCTGTGGATTTTCGCGCTCGAAGAATCCACAATGGGCTTCTTGGTGAGTGTTAATCATCGTTTCTGTTAAGCTTTGTAGAGTTCTTGTTCGATACTGATTATCAGTAATGACGATTTCCACTTTTTCGGGGTCGTTAATCTCTGCCTTTCTTGATATTTGCGATTCCTCAGTTTCCACTCTCCCTCCGCCGGCTCTTTCCTTCACGGCTCCGATTCGCCGGCGATCACGTGCCCGCGATTCTGGTTTGGATCGCCTGCTGCTTTCCCGTGTTATCGCCGGCGATGACGCAGACACGATCAGATGATGAAGACGAGAAAGAAGATGTCATGAAGAAAGGAGCCGGGCAAGAACCTCTGCCGCTAGAAGAAGAAGGGCAAGGTAACGACCACCGGCGGCGAGATTTGGGTTCCCCGGCGCCAGGACAGATTAGCGGGAAAAGGTCCATTGCCGCGGCAAAGCCAGTAAAGAAACCGCGGTCTAACCGTAATCGCGTCAAGCAACAAGATTCGGATTTCCCATTGATTGACGGCAAAGAAATGGTACCGGGAGCGAAGAAAGGAACAGAGCAACCGTCGGATCTGCATCTACCGTCGTTCATCCGCGAACTTCAAGCTGTCGCCGAACGGGAGAAGGATCTCGGGACAGTTTTCGAAGACGAAATCACCATGATTCCGAATTTCAATTCGCCGGTGTTTTCCCCCACCTTACGCCTACCGCCGTCGTATTTCACCGGAGGAAGCACTGCCGGAGACGGCGCAGAAACGGCGCCCGATGCAGAGAATCCAGAAGGAGGAAAGCAACCGGGTGACAGCGGCCTTACGAAGATGAAATCATCAGCGGTTTCAGGTCCACCGTCGGTCATCAGCGAACTTCAAATCCCCACATCGGAAACAGAGCATCAAAAGCTAGAGAACGAGCCAGAGGCAGCTTCCGACGACGGGAATGAGATGATCCCAAATTTCAATTCGACGGTGTTCTCGCCCAACTTACCCCTACCGCCGTCGTATTTGACAGGAGGAAGCACAGCCGGAGACAGCGCGGACACCGGCCCGAAAGCAGAGAAGCCCGAAGAAGCAGAGCAACAGGGTAGCGGCGGCCTTACGAAGATGAATTCATCAGCGGTTTCAGATCCAACGCACCGCCGTGGAAACAGAGCATCGAAAGCTAGAGAACGAGCAAGAGGCAGCTTCCGGCGATGGAAACGAGATGATCCCAAATTTTGATTCTGTCTTGAGACGGCGCCGAAGTCACCGGAAACAGGGCAGCAAGTCTTGAATTGCATCGGAGTTCAAATTGCGAAGTGCACAGATTGATATGCATATACCTACTTAGTAACATTTACTTCAATCTTTAGGGTTCACGTTTGATTGTTGTGGTAGTACTCTTTGCCTTAGAACTTTAGGATTGATTTTAGGTCTCAGTTGTAACCTCCTTCTGACGCCAGTGCTACAGTACAGCTGCAGTGGGAGTGTTCATAGATGTGCAGCAGCCATGGCGGCTATATACGATCTGTGCTGAAGTCAACATGACTTTTACTTGTCCGTGGCTTGATCCGTTTTAATATGTAAAGCTCAAGCATTTTGAGTTGTTAAAGTTGGATGTTAGATTGCTTTGTGATATGATTTTTCTTCTCATGATGGACACAATTTTACATAAGAACGAAGGGATTGTAAGACCGTAACGATTGTACGTGAAAAGGTAGCGACATGATATATTACTATGAAACTGTGATTTAACCGTGATCCAGTCGTTTAATAAGTTAAAATCTACCTACCAGTTTAGACTACAATAGGAGGTTTTCAAATCGGACCGTTGATACCTCCTCACTAACACTACCTCAAACATCAATACGTCTTGTTTCCTCGGTCACTGCACATATCTAAGAGAATACAAACTCTCACCTATTTGTTGTTTTTGTATAGGTTTTATTTCATGTATCGTAAGGTAATCGATTGGGTTTTGTTTCCTCTCCATAATCTAATTGTTAGTGAATCCTACAAGACACTCTAGTTCTCCTAGCGGTTTTCACCTTCTTGCAACTTTTCGAGATACGGACTCAGGTAATCGTAACACCTAGCATAGATGTTGTAACCCTAATCATGCCTCGGGCATATTAGGAGTTAGAGAGAGTTTCCTAGGAACAGGTTTTGCTCTTAGAGTCTCTTTTTCTAATACTCCAGTCTACTCTAAGGGCCCCTATTTTCTTAATCTCTCAATTTCACCTGGATACCTGTAAGGATTAGATGGGAGTATCCTTTGAGTATAAAAAAGGATTAATTGCGAGGTTGGTCACTGGGATTACTAAAAACGTCCATGTTTAGTCACTAGAAATATTTAATTTCATTCATAGTCACTGGGATTAGTTAAATATTTCAAGTTTGGTCACTCTCCGTTAGTCTCCGTCAATACCGTCAGTTTTTTTGCTGACGTGGCTAACAGAGATGCTGAGTCACCAAAATTTAATTTGAAAAAAAAGTAAAATGAACCACCGCATCATTATATCGGCCAAGTCAATAGTCATAAGACCCAGCCTGCAAATTAAACCCATCAAGTAAACCACCCAAACCCATCAAACCCAAGCCATTAAACCACCAACAATGAGTAAAAACCCAACCTCTCGTTCTCCTCTAGAAAATCCGGCGCCGAACTAAACCTCTTCCCTGCCCACCACCATCGCATGCCCAACCTAGATCAATGAACCCACCACCATCTCTCTTCAATGGCATATGCAGGAGGAAGATGCAGAGATCATTCGCGACGCTCATCGGGCTAGCATAGCAGCTTCTGGCCCGTCAATGGCGACGACACAAGCCATCATCTTCTTATGCCACTCTAGAACCTCAATTCCAATTCAATATTCCAGTTTAGAATTCCAGATTCCAATTTGGAGGCAGAGGAGGAAGCGACAATGAATTTCAAGACCAAGCCGTCAGCGAATGGTATGCTTTCCCCTACGCAACTCAACTCCTTTTTCCTCTAATTTTGCCAGATTTGTTTACTGGTTATGATTAATTGGTCTCTCTATATCAGAGTTGAAGGAGTTGACAGAGTTGCAGAGAAGGAAGTGATGCAGCAGAGAAATCCGAGAAGGCTCAGGATTGAATTGAAGTGAAGAAACAAAGAAGAAGAAGACGACGTCGTTTACAAGAGACGGAGTCGTTTTATCAACAGCAACTTACCACGTTTCCATTACGCTGTCGTTTTATTTATTTCCCTGTTAGCCGTTAAGAAAGAACTGTTTAATTTTCTTAATGGCCTATGTATGCTGGACAAGTGGCATATTACTGTAATTGTGTTTGAATGCTATATATATACGAAATGGTGAACTCAGAAATCTCTGAGCTTCATCTTCCACAATCTCAACTAAATTTGTTATGGTATCAGAGCGAAAGATCTAGGGTTCCTCAAACCCTAACGCCGCAGCCGCCGCCATGGCGAACACTCCTCCAAATACACCACCCAGTGGTGCTGCAGGATCTGCAGCTATGGCGTCAGAAGTGCAATTTGGATCTTTCAATCAACAGACACAGCAACCAGAAACAATCGCATTTGGTAACCCATTTTACCTCAACCCAAACGAAAATATGTGCCAGTCTTTAGTTTCTGAGTTGTTTGATGGCACAAATTATACAATGTGGAGTCGATCGATCCAAGTTGTTCTGAAAACCAAGCATAAGCTGGGTTTCATTGATGGAAGCATACCCATTCCACCACGCGGCACAGATCGCTTCACCTTGTGGGATGCTTGTAATACCCTAGTTCTATGCTGGATTCAGAACTCTATGAACAAGGATCTTAAGAGAGCTATGCTAACCCATACAAATGCTAAGGCACTATGGGATGAGCTGAAGAGGCGTTTTGGTCAACCAAACGCTCTTAGAATCATCAACATTGAGGATGAAATTGTTGCTTGTAAACAGGGAACTAAGACCATCAATCAGTACTTCATTCAAGTGAAGGGTCTTTGGGAGGAATACCTTGAGTATAGTCCAGTGGTTCCTTGTCCCTGTGTTCCAGGAAACCCACTTCCTTGTCCTGCAGTAGCAGCATTTATACAGAAACAAGAGACTGATTACTTAATCAAGTTTCTTAGAGGGCTAAACCCTGATTATGAAATGGTTAAAACCCAGCTGTTAATGCAGAAGCCTTTGCCTACAGTCTCTACTGCACTTGATGACCTGCTGCAACATGAGCAGAAACTTAAAGGAGAAGGAAATTCTGGTGGAAAGAAGTCACAATCTGTAGCCCTAGCAGTTGGAGGACAACAGAGCAGAGGAACTGAGGAATCAAGACAAGGGAAGAAGTATTGCAGATACTGTAAGAAGACAAACCATTACATTGAGGATTGTTGGATTTTGAAGAAGAAGAATTCTGAACAGAAGGAGAAATCTAGCAATTCAGGCTCTAATTCAAGTTCCAGTTCCAGTTCAAATACTCCAAGGTTTGCTGGTTCAGTGGTTCAGAGTTCCAATACAGAAACTCAGTCAGAGGGAAGTTTAAGTGCAGAAAGCAACATGGTACCCAACCCACCTGGATTCACAGGTGAAGAAATGAATCGTTTGAGATACATGTTGCAAATTGGTGCTAATTCTTTCCCATCACCACCTACCTCACCAACCATCAACCATCAAGCCTATTATGTTTCCCAGTATTTACCTTCTTATCCAAACCACTCAGGTAAATACACTTTGTCTACTCTTAAACCTAGTCCATCTCATTTGCATAACTTGTGGATCTTAGATACAGGAGCATCCGACCATATAACCTGTAGCTTATCCCTTTTCACAGACCACAAGTCTATCCCAAATTCCTTTGTCAACCTTCCCAACAACACACAAGTGCTAGTTACACACATAGGAACAGTCACTTTACCTTCAGGATTGATCCTTTATGATGTGTTGTGTGTGCCTAGTTTTACCTTCAACTTAATTTCAGTAAGCAAGCTTACACATGATTTACCTGTACCCTTACACTTTCAATCTGACCATTGTTCTATCCAGGACCTACTAAGTCAGAAGAAGATTGGTTTAGCAAAAGAAACTAAAGGCCTCTACCATCTCTCCTTTCCATCCACTCAACAACCATACTCCAGTTCACCTACTCAGCCTCATGTAGCCACACTTTTCAACTTCAATCCTCACCAACTAGAGCTGTGGCATTGGAGACTAGGGCATCCCAGCCATGAAAGACTGAACCTGCTTAGCCATAGTTTTCCAAATGTAACTAGTTCTAAGACAAAACATTGTGATGTTTGTCATTTATCCAAACACAAACGTTTGTCCTTTCCAATTAGCACCAATGTTGCACCAAACAGATTTCATTTACTTCATGTGGATATTTGGGGTCCATTATCAATAACTTCTTATGATGGATTCAATTATTTCTTAACTGTTGTGGATGATTTCTCACGTGCTGTTTGGGTGTATCTAATGAAACATAAGAGTGAGGTTAGAGGTTTACTGGAAGGGTTCTGCAATCTGGTTAAAAACCAGTTTGGTACAACAGTAAAAGTCATCAGAAGTGACCAGAGGAAGGAATTTGCTATGTGTGATTATTTCTTACAAGAAGGCATTGAGCATCAGATGAGTTGTGTAGAGACCCCAGAGCAGAATGCTCGTGTAGAGAGGAAACACCAGCACATTTTAAATGTGGCTAGGTCCTTGAGATTCCAGTCAGGGATTCCACTTACCTTTTGGAGTGACTGTATCTTGCATGCAGTGTAGCTCATTAACAGGATTCCTGCACCCATTCTAGCCAATAGATCTCCTTATGAACTTCTCTATGACAAACCACCCTTTCTTTCTCACCTGAAAGTGTTTGGCTGCTTGTGTTATGCCAGCACATTGTCTCATGGAAGAACAAAATTTGCACCTAGAGCTCAACAGTGCATTTTCCTGGGAATTCCTTCTGGTATAAAGGGCTATAAAGTCCTAGACCTTCACACTAAACAGGTCTTCTTCTCTAGAGATGTTATCTTCTATGAGAACATCCTCCCATACAAACTTTCTGAACCATCAACTTCCACTTCTGAATCTCCTGAACCTACCTATACACCACCAACAAACAGTTCTGCTCCACCCATTTCTATACCTTCCACACTTTCTTCTCAACCTTCTTCCTCACATACCAGCCCTACACCAGATAAAACTCCATCCTCTACCTCTAGACAGTCTCAAATTGTTTCATCCTTTGATGAAGGGGGGACTGCTGAGCCTGTTTTATCCTCTGTTGAAGATCATTATGAATACTTTGACAGTGACCAGCAGGAACTTATAGCTCAGGCTGATTATGATGTAGATGAACATAATGCTGATGGCAGTCCCTTACCTAAAAGGAAAGTCAACTTGCCATCCAAATTTCAGGATTATCAACTGGATCCTTCTCTTAAATTTGGTGCTTTTGGTAAAGCTAATGCATCTACCAGGTATCCACTTTGCTTAAGTGTTGATAAACTGAACTTAGCTGACAGGCATTATGTTTTAAGTGTGATCAATATGCAAGAACCTAGATCATACTATGAGGCTATACAGGATGATATCTGGAATCAAGCAGTTAAGTCTGAGATCTTTGCTTTAGAGGAGAATCAAACCTGGGACATTGTAGAGCTGCCAAAGGGGAAGAAAGCAATAGGAAATAAGTGGGTCTTTAAGATCAAACTTAAACTAGATGGCTCACTTGAGAGGTGCAAGTCAAGACTTGTAGCTAAAGGTTTCAATCAAGTCTATGGGATTGACTTTTTGGACACTTTCTCACCTGTTGCTAAGATAAATACTGTTAAAGCACTGTTAGCAGTGGCTAGTGTGAAGAATTGGGTTTTGGAGCAGTTAGATGTGTCTAATGCTTTCTTACATGGTGAACTACATGATGAGGTGTATATGAAGATTCCATTGGGAGTTGAAGTGTCAAATCCAGAAGGTAAGAACCTTGTTTGCAGACTGAAAAAGTCTTTATATGGGCTTAAACAAGCCTCCAGGCAATGGTTTGCTAGACTTGCAGGCTTTCTTCTCAAGAATGGTTTTACTCAATCAAACTCTGATTACTCTCTTTTCTCTAAATGGGTGCATGGAAGAGTAGTTGTCCTGTTGGTGTATGTGGATGATATCATCCTGGGAGGAGATGCACAAAAGGATATTGAGCAGGTTAAGTTGGCTCTAAGCAGAGAGTTTAAAATCAAACTACTAGGACTTCTCAAATATTTTCTGGGTTTGGAGGTTGTTAGAAATGATCATGGTCTTGATGTGTGTCAAAGGAAGTACTGTGTTGAACTTTTGAAAGACACAGGTTATCTGGATTCAAAGGGATGCAAATCACCTATGGATACCAAAGTAAAGTTGTCTGCTCAGGGAACACCAATGGAAGATGGAGAAGCTTATAGGAGATTGGTTGGCAGGTTGCATTACTTGACTATTACCAGGCCAGACATAGCTTTTACTGTGCAGCAGCTTTGCCAGTATCAGAAGAATCCCTGCCAGGAACACATGCAAGCTGCTTACAGAGTTTTGAGGTATTTGAAGTCATCTCCAGGTCAAGGAATTCACTTCAGCAGTAAGAATGAACTAAGGCTGACTGGTTATTGTGACTCAGACTGGGCAAGCTGTCCAGACACTAGGAGGTCAACAACAGGATACTGCACTTTCTTTGGTGATTCACTATTGACTTGGAGAACAAAGAAACAGGCTACAGTGTCTAGATCCTCCTCTGAAGCAGAATATAGAGCCTTGGCTCATGTTGTATGTGAAGTGCAGTGGATAAAACAACTCCTAGTTGAATTGACAGTGAAGGTACCTCTACCTATTCCCATCTTTTGTGACAACAAATCTGCAATTTATATTGCAGAGAATCCAGTGTTCCATGAGCGGACAAAACACATAGAGATAGACATACATGTGACCAGGGATCGGATTAAGAGTGGTTTGATCAAACTACAACATGTTGGAACTGCTAACCAGCTGGCAGATCTCTTTACTAAGAGTCTTGACAGGTTTCGAATGAAGGAATTGTTGATCAAGTTAGGTGTCACCAATATGTTGGAGCCACTAACTTGAGGGGGGATATCAGAGTTGAAGGAGTTGACAGAGTTGCAGAGAAGGAAGTGATGCAGCAGAGAAATCCGAGAAGGCTCAGGATTGAATTGAAGTGAAGAAACAAAGAAGAAGAAGACGACGTCGTTTACAAGAGACGGAGTCGTTTTATCAACAGCAACTTACCACGTTTCCATTACGCTGTCGTTTTATTTATTTCCCTGTTAGCCGTTAAGAAAGAACTGTTTAATTTTCTTAATGGCCTATGTATGCTGGACAAGTGGCATATTACTGTAATTGTGTTTGAATGCTATATATATACGAAATGGTGAACTCAGAAATCTCTGAGCTTCATCTTCCACAATCTCAGCTAAATTTGTTACTCTAATCTTTTTTCCACTTCTTGTTCTCTATGGAAGTTGTTCCTGCTTTTACGACTGTATTGAAGGCTGTCTGCACTTCCTGTCGCCGCCGAAAAGAAGAGGAAGAAGGTGAAGGGTCGGGTCGGGTCATTGGTTGGGTTAAGTTGGGTTGGGTTTAATGACGTAGCGGGTCGGGTTTCAAATTTTTGGGTTAAAATTGACTGATTTGACACTTTTGTTAGCCACGTAAGCAAAAAACTTACGGTGTTGACAGAGAGTGACCAAACTTGAAATGTTCAACTAATCCTAGTGACTATGAATGGAATTAAATATTTCTAGTGACTAAAACATGAACGTTTTTATTAATTCCAGTGACCAACCTTGCAATTAACCCGTATAAAAAAATATGTCAACCTATTAATATAATTATACAGATGTTTGAATGAATAAATAAATAAACAAATAACTCGTTGTTGTTTTTGCTCTTTCTTGTTGTTCTCTCCAAGTTAGATTGTTTCATTAGTGAGATACTCACGTTAATGAACCTTAGTTTTTGTTAATATGTTTTCCATTCTACATCTTTCCAACTTCTCATCATCCAAACATTAAGTTGTATTCATTTTCAAAACATGTGTTACAAGTCTATTTTTATCAAATGTATTACAAGTCTTTAAACTAAATAGTACATTTTAGTTTTCAGCTAGATATCACATAATATTTTGAAAAACTTGAAAATGTGGAAAACACATACAATCACTAAATTATCATTCAAAGCCATCATTGATAAAATCAACAAGGCGGAGGCTAGGGATAACCAGCTGGGCGCGGTTCTGGAAGAAGTAATACAGGCTATGAGTACTAGCCCGGGTTTCAGTGTTCGGTTCATTGGTCGGAGTAGTAATAGGGCAGCCCATTTGGTGGCTAGAAAGGCCCTCGCTTTGTGCCCGGCTATGATTCGTTTGTTTGACTTTTGTGCCTGGTTGTTGTCCAGGATGTAACTATCTTTTTTGGAATCAATATATGATTATCTTTTGTCAAAAAAAAAACCACTAAATTATATTATTCATTGCTCGTTCAGTAACGCGACGCAGCAAATCAACAAAACGACAAAGGCGGCGTGAGTGCTTAATGGATACCTAACGGATTATAAGTTCTAACCAACTATAATTCACACTAATCACTTTTAATAGCCCATGTAATTTTAACTTTTTTTAACTCTTATCAGTTTTTTAATTTAAAATATATTTGTGCGTAATTGAACTTTTAATCAGAATCGTGACAGGAGATAGAGGCTGACAATTAACAAACGACTAGAATTCAAGTTAGAGTCTAATAATTGGGAGAAGTGCTAATTAAGTAGCTACCGCCTTTGATCGCCGCCGGAGATTCCAATTCCTCTAGTCCCGATGGCCAGGAGAACGAATTCCCCTACGCCGCCACCGCTCATCCAAGGCAAAATCCTCGCCGCCGTCCGAACAAAGCCGAAACCAGTTGAAGCTGCCGAAGTTCCTCCGGATGCGGATTTCGAAATTGTGATGATTCCCAATTACAATTCGCCGCCGCTGTCGCCGACGTTACGTCTACCATCGTGGTACGTTCTCGCAGAAAAGGCGGCGGCGGAGGCGAAGGAGAGATCCCGTGAAGGAAAGCAGCAGCAAGGAGTTAAGAAGGAGGAGGTGAATTGAAGCGCCAAATCAGATGAAGTATAATATTTAGTTTAATTACCGTCCATTTGCATTCAATAGTCAATACTACCGAGACTTTTACTTGAATTTTGTAGGATGATTTCGTCATTAGGATGATTCGGACAATTTTGTGGATATCAGTTGTGTGATATGTTAGAGGAATATTTTGTACCGGATCTGAGTTATCGTGTCGTCATGAGAGTTCTGATGATATCATTTTTTAGATTAATAGTTTGAGTTTTAAATCACAGTATGGTTGTTTGGAGTTAGTTTGACAATGTTTAGATCGATGGTTTATATTAACGATTCATCAATTATGATCACTATAATTATGTTCAATTTGGATATTTTTAAAGTAGTGAGTTTACTCTTGATCTTAATGGAATTATTTGATTTCCTATAAAAAAAAGTACTAGTTGCATTCCTAATTTTTATTGTCAAACTTGCTTTCCGAATTTGGTAATATGATTAATGGTTGAGAGGATAGACAAATAAAGTACATTGCGATCGGATTAAAATTTGGGACACCCATTATGCATATGGTTCTGAATTTATAAAAGCGAGAAGAGATCCGGTGACCATCCCTAAAAAAAAATTGTTCATCTGAGCTTGACTCGTAACCTGTATGAGTTATCAATGTGTCTCCAACAATCAAAGTTCCTAACACGAAATAGATATTGATGGTTATAAATAATACTAGTTTCTTTTTTCAAGAAATAGCAATTCCAAATTATTAATAATTTTGATAAAAAAAAAGTATAAAGCATTGTGAACTTTGAAAAGTAGCATGAGGATTTCATCAAACAATAATTTTTGTAAAGAATAATATGATGGTATGATTAGCAAAACACAAAAGTCTACATGCTAAACAGATCAGTCAAAGTAGCGAAAACTATGCTCGAATTCGCACAAAAATTGATTATACTAAATGAAGTGCCCATTTTTTTACCCATGCAAAAACTCATCTCACTCAAAATTTTATTGTTTAATTGAAAAACAAAACAAAAAAACCCGAATTTCTCTGTCATAATCCTCAACAAAAAAACTGAACGAGTAAAAAAAAACACACACACAGAAAACAAAAAGTGAATTCCCCATTCTTGCATTCTCGCGTTTCAATCGGGAAAATGGATCTCATCTCCATCCTCGCACCCTCTTCTTCTACAATCTGAACCACGACGAATGATGCCCCCGATTGATTACAGACACCGTCTTTGTATTCATCATCAGGTAAACAAATCGACACAGATCAAAAACACAATGTGCCGATCCAATCTCTCTCTGTATCGCTGTTCATTTCCATCTCTACATCATCGCGTTCATTCGATCGCATTCCAACTGTTCGTGGAAATGTCTCACAGAAAATTCATTTCCCCCTCCCCTCCCGTCGCACAGGTGATCATCGATCGATGTCGCACTCGCAGCAGCCGTGCGCGGCGTGCAAGCTGCAGAGGCGGAAATGCACGCAGGAATGCATCTTCGCCCCGCACTTCCCGCCCGACCAGCCGCAGAAATTCGCCAACATCCACAAGGTGTTCGGCGCCAGCAACGTGGCCAAGCTGCTGAGCGAGCTCCCGGCCACGCACCGCGAGGAGGCCGTCAACTCCCTGGCCTACGAGGCCGACGCCCGGCTCAAGGACCCGGTCTACGGCTGCCTGGGCCAGATCTCCATCCTCCAGCACAGGCTGAAACAGCTCCACATGGATCTCGACGCCGCCAAGCAGGAGCTCGTCAAGTACATGGGCCCTCAGGCACATCACTTCCCTGCTCTGATCCCAAACACCAACAACAACAACAACAACAACAACAACAACAACAACTCTGTTTTCCAACAAAGCAACAACAACATGATACACATGGTGGGAATTCCCGCGGCTCATCACCATCAGCAGAGCAGCAGCAACAGCAACAACAACAACAACAACTCTCAGCAGATCTACGAGGCACAGCTGCTGGCGACGGAGCTCGCGGCGAGAGAGCAGCAGGAGATGTTCAGGGCGTACGAGCAACAACAACGTCATCATCATATCAACCATGATCAAGAAGTGATTGGGTTCGGGAGTGGTGTGATTAGTGAAGATCATCATCATCATCATGTTGGGGATAATTCGATTCACGATGGGTTTGATAACGAGATTAGCGGTGTTGGTGGGGATGTCGAGCCGTGTCTGGCCCTTGGAAGCATGGATGGAAGAGGGAGTTATGATCACCATCATCATCATCACCATCAGTCTCAAGTGGAGATTCCGGCTCAAGAGCAACTGTTCTTTCAACTGGAGCAGCAGGAACAGCCGGATACGAATAATAATTATCATCAGCAGCAGCAGAGTCCGGGGAGTGATGAAGGTAGGAGCTTAGGTCCTTCTCTCTGCTAAATTAACAGTCGTTGCCAGAACCCAGAGGTTACTAGTAACCGGGAAAATAAGACATTAGGTCGTCAGGAATAGCGGATGAACATCAATCGTGATCAGAGCAGTTACGATTCAAAAAAAAAAATTTGGGATCATCGGATTGAAAGTCTGTTGTTTACTGGTTCAACAACTTGGACGTCAACAATAATCGAAACGTAAAAAAGAATGTATGATTACTTGATTAGTTTGGTTTTCGTATAGAAAGACGGACCAATATTTCTCAAATCAATGGGGAAACCTATTTATGTTGCAATCAATTATAGCCAAATAGCGATAAACAAGATTTGTTAGGATTACTTGACGTGCAAGAAAATGGAGATTTTGGTGTAAAACTGGGAAACTTTATGTGTTGTCAAGAAAAGAAATCCAGCATTTTTTTTAAATAATAAAAAAATAGAAATCCAGCATTTTGAATTACAATACTAAAACAATGCACAATTCCTTACGCCAGAATCGATTAATAGTTGTATAAGAAATATAAATAATTAGTTAATTGTTAATTGGTATATTTATTTGTACTCTCTTTCTTCCTATTCTGTCACTTTACGCCTGACGGCCTCTCTCGCGCACGTAGTCTCTTCTTCCTTTCTTTTTCACCGCCACAGAAACTCTCCCTCTCTCTCTCCTTTTCTTTCTCGACGTTCATGGCGAAGCAGTACAGTCCCTAGCATCGTAGCAGCAATAGTACTAGTCTAGCATTACATTCTCTAAAAAATCTTTCTCCGCTTCTCCAATCGAGAAACGCCGCCGTAGACACATCGATCGATCGTCTCCAACAGTTCCTTTTTCCCCGACGTACGTAGGTGCGATCGCCGGCGGCAGCGGCGGCGGCGGAGAGAACGAGCAGAGGTATCTTGACTTGCTCTTCCGTCAGCATTCACTCGCCGACGGGAACGATTGGTAACTTTCTCTAGCTATCTCCGACTTTCCTTTTAGGTTTAATTGGAATTCGGGAAGTTTGTAATCAAATCACGGAGAAGCTTTCTCGTTTCCAATTAAAAAAAAAGGAAAAAAATCACCCAATCAATCAGTTGGGGATTTTCTTGGAAACCGCCATGGAAGCTTCTCTCTAAATCCAGCTTTAACTCTCTCCCATCCCAATGCTGCATCTAATCTTTGATTATTTTTGTTCCCGTCTTCAATCGATCGTTTTTTTGTTTCCAGAGAGAGGGACGAAGAGAGAGAGAGAGAGAGAGAGAGAGAAATATGTCGTCGTCGCAGAGCTCGCCGTGTGCGGCGTGCAAGTTCCTGCGGCGGAAGTGCACGCCGGAGTGCGTCTTCGCCCCTTACTTCCCGCCCGACCAGCCGGCGAAGTTCGCCAGCGTCCACCGCGTCTTCGGCGCCAGCAACGTCGCCAAGCTGCTCAACGAGATCCCCGCCGCGCAGCGAGACGACGCCGTCAACTCCCTCGCCTACGAGGCAGAGGCCCGGCTCAACGACCCGGTCTACGGCTGCGTCGGCTTCATCTCCAAGCTCCAGCACCGCCTCAAGCAGCTCCAATTGGACCTCCACCTCGCCCGGCAGGAGCTCGCCAAGTACATCGGCCCTCACGCCCTGCTCCCTACTTCTTCCGATTTCGCCGCCCCAAACTACCCCGGAAACCCCTCTGCTTCAGGCCTCTTGATGTTGCCGCCGCCGCAGCAGCAGCAGCAGATCAGTTACCCGATGATGGGCATTCCGACCGGGTCGGGTTTACCCATTATGATCCGAGAGAATACCCAACATCAGCAGCAGCAGCAGCAATTTCATCACCGGCTTCAAATGCAGCAGATGTACGAGGCGGCCCAGCAACAGGAGATGTTGAGGGCTTATAATGAACAGCAGCAGAGGCAGTTTCAGCAGCAGGAGGTGATAAGGTTGATGGACGGCGGTGGTGTTACTGCGACTGGGTTCAATGGTGTGCCATCATCATCGCTAGCTCTTGGGATGATTGATGATGGCAGCGCGTTCCAAGGGCAGCAGCAGGCGGTTGTGGAGCTTAAGCCACAGCTGTTTCTTCAGCAGCAGCAGCATCTGCAGGAAGAGCAGCAGCAGGAGAGGTCTGCAGGGAGCGAGGAGAGGGGAAGGAGCACAGGGCCGTCAGCTTGATGATGAAGAACTTTTCAGAGACAGTTTACCTTTTTTGTTTGGCTGAGACATAGTGTGACAGAGAGATGTGTGCAGAGTTTCTGTTTCTTGGTGAGTATGACTCTCAAGCTTTCTTTCTTTCTTTCTGTCTCTCAACATACACACACATAGACACACACACACAGAAAAGTTGACATTAATGAAGGGAAGATAGCATAGCTGCCATTTATTCATGAATGGAGGGGAGTATAGGTAGAGGGAAGTGGAAAGGCAGCATTATTCCATGCTGCATAAAGGAAGGAGGAGTTGGTAGGAGAGTTAATTGTCATTGTCTTTTCTGCAGTGAGGGAATATGCTTTTCCACTCTTCCTTTACACAAATCTTCTTCAGTCACTTTCATGAAGGGGGGGTTTCTTATTTTCTCCCATTCCAGTAGTACTATTGCTAGGGTTCTATCTCCATCTTATATGCTTAGTCTGCCATATGCAAAATCTGGATACAATCTCCAATATTCTTGACATTGCCCTACTTGTGAGCAATTTTTACCTCCTGCAATTGATAGCATAGGAACATTTATAGAGAGGATTCATTTTTGTGTGGGTGGTTGTTGTAATTATTCAATTAGAAAAACCCATGATCTTGACTGTCCATAAAAAGAAAAAAGGCAGGATCTTGACTGACTTAATTAAGAGGGTGCTGGATTTATGCATATGATTCAACTACCTAATGAAGAAAATGATCTTTGATTATATGTACCCTTAAACTTTATTGCTGTTGATGTTTCTTATCTTTTTTTCTCATTTGTTGCTCTTTTCTTGCAGTGGAAAAGGTGTAGGAGCTAGACAGTTGACCTAGAGCAAAGCTACAGTTAGAGATAGAGAGAGAGAGAGAGAGAGATATGTGAAGATTTCCCCATTGAAGAACCTACCTCTCAATTCAGCATTCTGATGGGATTAAGTGAATGGCATTTGATGATCAAGTATATACAGCCTGTTGGTAGTAATTAGTTAACTAGCTACAGACAGCCTTTTTTTTTCTTTTCTTCTTTTCTACTGTTCTTGTTTTGTGCAGAGAAGAAATACAAGAATGCAGCTGGCAAATTACTGAAATTTTAGTAACTTTTTTAATTTTCTCCATGTTGCAAAGTGTCTATGTTGATGGTTGTTGAATGGATGGAGGTATGTGAAGTTTGGGGCTCAGAAATTAAGATAAACGTACGATTAGGTTAATGACAGTTGTTGATGGTTTCATTATTTAATTTGGGCGAGTCAACCCAATGGTAACTTACGAGGATGAGTTGTTAAATTTGGTGAGTCAACTCATTTTTACTGACAATCCACAAAATACTGATATTTATAATAAGAACAAAGAAACAACGGATGCTGATCAAATGGGCGAGATGGCTTTGATATGTTACTCACAACAATTAGATTTTCGTCGAGACATAATGAAAGGCTCTATACGAGCGCACAGACGCAAAACTCCTATTTGGGAACTTGTTCAAGCAAATGTTCATTCTCCTCTTCTTCTTTTTTGACAGAATAGACAAATCTTTTTTTTTCTTTTCTTTTGATATCCCCGAACTGATGAAAAAAAGATTTAGAATGTGGATGTGTAAAAATACGGAATTCACTCTCAATGGTAAATGTATGTCGGCAGAGGATATTATATGTATGTTGTTGATCATTTCGTTGCTCAATTAGTTACTCAACAATATACCAATTATAGTATTTCATTATTCTGTGTCATGGGGTTTGCAATTATTATTTTTTTATAGTTAAAAACCCGGTGTAAAATTTGTATTGATTTAGTAGTGATCGCTATGAAATGCATCAATATTCACTCATACCGTACATATGTGCATTGAGGGTACACAGTTAATATCAAAATGACAAAAATAATGCGATCTCGCATGTAAAGAGTAAGATGAATTGAAATTACTACACTTTAAATGAGTCACGTACATGTTTTTCTCTCATATTTTCACAATAATTTTCTCAAGTAGCTACTCTTAACCTAAAAAATCAACCATACATAAATTAGAACAAATTAATACACTTACATCAAATCAAACACAGTCAATGCAATGATTTACGGCTGCATCATAGTATAATAATCTATTGCTGCTTGCTGTAAGAAAACGAATTGCTAATATTATTATTGCCTTACCCCCCCATGCTAGCAAGCTGAGGTAAGAAGCTGTGTAATATAATTAGATTAAGCCTGCAGGATTTCAATTAATTGCCTAGGTTTCAGCCCATAATCTTCTTTAAAGCAGTTTGATTATTAAAATAATTACATCACATTTATCAAAAATATAAATACACGCACTAAGGCATAAATTCGGAAAGAGAGAGGGGGGCAAAACCGCAAAAGGGGCTCGCAGCTCTGAAAACCTCAATCTGTTTATTTTTTAGAGCCATGCAAGTTGGAGCTCTGAAAACGAAGCAATGCTTGAAAATTGGATATATGTTTTCTTTGACAGAGTATTATTTTAGTGGGAAATTCGAGTTTACAATGTTTTTATTTTTTGTATGTATCAACATTCAACAAAGAAACAAATTCTAACAATAATATTTATAACATTTCGAATTTTTTTCCAACAAGATATTATCAGTTTTGGTCCTAGACTCTCGCGTTCTTCCATTTCACCTCAAATTTTTGTAAGAAAATCAATTAGGGTTTAAAGGTAGGGATTTGGATGGGGAACATCTCAGATCCCCAATCCCATCAATCAATCAGAGCCTCAATCCATCCATGAAATGTCAAAACTCAACAAAATTGAAACTATTTTATTTTTGTGGTCAATGAGACAGAGCGATGCCCCACCTGCCATTATATATTAGAGACCATTAGAGTGCAAGCCTCCAATTAATTTTGTTCAGTATTCTAGTGCACTATAAACTCTTGTGTGAAAGACATCAATTTTGAGTAACTCAATGTGATTTTTTTTTATTTCCCAGTGATAATTAAGAGAGGATAAGAGTTACACAAATAAAATTATCCAGGAACTCCTTATAAGCGGCACCCTAATGAATCCATCCAAATAAAGTCGAAAGACTCTAACGCTACTAAAGACAAAAGCAGTGCTTTACACACCACTCTATGGGCGCAACTTTAGAAAATCAACCAACAAATTTTAATTGCTTAGGCTAAGAGAATCACTTCCCAAAGGTTACTCACTTTTTGAGATAATTTGCTTTTGGGGAAAAAAATCTTTGCATTTATTGCATTATAGATTTGAAGAGTCCATTGTTTGAACCACATATTTGATGATATTATTTATGATGGATTTGTCACAAATATCCGGTGTCATCAATGATTTTATGCTCTTCTACCATAATACCCAACATAATATGTGAGATTTACAAGTTTGTGGGTTTCATAATTTTTTTCTCTCGAAAAAATGACCAAATCCATGGACTCCACGAATTTGACATCCATCTAGTAAATTGTATGTCTTCTTTATTTTTCGCATTATTTACACAATGATTCAGATATTCATACGAATTTGAATAAATCAATAGCTTAGTTTGGCCCTGTTGTAGCTTTTGCAGAAGCAGCTTCTGGCTGGAGCTTTTAAATAAGTACTTTAAAAAAAAGCAGTTTAGTGTTTGGCTGTAAACTATTAGAAGTGCTTTTTAATATGAGCGGTTGTGTAAAATGACTATAAAGGACTTATACTATAAAATAAAAATTCTAAACAATAAAAAGTAGTCAAAATGGATCTTGTTAGATTTCTTTTATAGTAAATAATATGATTTTATAATTTATTTTATTTTTAAAATGATATAAATGAAGGAAAAAATTATATTTTCTGAAATGAAATTAAAATATGGTAAGGATAATCTTGTATTTTCAAAACAGCTTTTCTCCGGAGCTTCTGCTTTTATGTTATACAAAAGCGTTTTTCGGCTTTTCAAAAGCCGAGCTTTTAGAGGTGTTTGACCCTGCTTCAGCTTTTGAAGCTGAAAAGCACTTCTAAAAGCCGGTCCAAACATGGGCTAGGCTACTAAACCATGCGAGTTGAAAACTCACCGAAAATGATTCAGCTTTTACGTGTGTTCATGATTAAGTGCGCATCATATAAGTGTTAGTGAATATCAAAACACTCTTAACGTAAACGAAACAAGAAGAAAACTTGACACACGATGTACGTGGTTTCCCCGAGATCGGGACTAGTCCACGGGAGAGCTAGAACTCTCCGAGCTAAACTTCTTATTCAGTTTTCTTGGTCTCTTTACAATCGTAGGCTGTACATATATATTAACACTTAACCCTAGCTTCCACAAGCTCTCGCTAGGGCTAACTACCAGCGTCCACCCTTACCAAACCTAGCTACGTACATTAATGGGCCGGCTACGTAATATAGGCCCATTCCCGCTAACAGCCTCCCCCAAATTGATGTTGGTCCCGAAGCATCAATTTGTCAGATAGTGCGAGATGACGCGATTTATAAAAAGGCTTGGTAAATAAATCTGCTAGCTGATCCGTTGATGCCACATGACGAACAATAAGAAAGCCCTCGTGAACCAGATCACGGACATAATGTATATGAACCTCGATATGTTTAGTCCGATCATGTAGAACCGGATTAACGGCAATCTGAATGGCACTCGTATTATCCACGTGAAGCGTAATAGGGGACGGACAAGAGACCCCGAGATCAAGAAGTAAGCGCTGCATCCAAACTAGTTCGGAAGCGACATCAGACATCGCCCTGTATTCAGCTTCGGTGGAGGACTTCGAGACTTTATCCTGCTTGCGACAGCGCCAATTAACAAATGCCCCACCAAACTGAACACACCAACCCGTAGTTGACCGACGGGTATCAACACAACCCGCATAATCAGAATCTGAATAAGCCTGTAACCGAAAATCACAAGAAGCAGGAAGAAAGAGGCCCACCTCTCGAGAGCCCTGTAAGTAACGAAGAATCCGATGAACAGCAGAGAGATGCTCGACCCGGGGATCTGACATAAATTGACTGACCACATGCACTGCGAAGGAGATGTTTGGCCTGGTGTGGGTCAAGTAGATCAAGCTGCCGACAATGTGACGGTACTGAGCAGGGTTAACCAGGGGAACCCCCGATTCGCGGCCAAGGTGCAAATTGACTTCCATAGGAGTAGAAACAGGAATACAATCGGCAAACTGAGTAGAAGCTAACAAGTCGGTGATGTATTTGCGTTGACTCAAGAGAATACCCTGCAGTGAGCGAAGAATCTCTAATCCAAGAAAATAAGATAACGACCCCAACTCTTTGAGAGTAAAAGATGCATGAAGCCCTGCCTTGAGCCGCTCGATGCCTGAGGCATCATCTCCTGTAATAATCATATCATCGACGTATAATAACAAAGCAATAAGACCCGATGTAGTAGACTTCAAGAACAAAGAAGGATCATTTCGGCTCTGTTGAAAACCAAGTGCCTGAACAGTATACTGAAATTTCTCAAACCAAGCCCGTGGTGCTTGTTTGAGACCATATAGCGAACGTCGAAGACGACATACCTGATCCTCCCTTCCAACAGTATACCCAGGTGGTCGTTTCATATATACGACTTCCTTCAAATCACCGTGAAGGAAGGCATTTTTAACATCTTACTGAAAAAGCGGCCACCCACGAATAGCAGCAACAACAAGAAGTGTCCGAACCGTTTGCATTTTGGCGACCGGTGCAAAAGTCTCGTCATAATCGAGCCGAATTCCTGTCCAAATCCCTGAACAACCAATCTGGCGCGAAAGCGCTCAAGAGTACCATCCGCCTTGACCTTCACCGCGTATACCCACCTGTTCCCTAATATTGTAACCGGTTCTAGGACGGTCAACTACCTCCCATGTGCCCGTGGCATGCAACGCATCAAATTCTGTTTGCATGGCATTATTCCAGTTTGGATCAAGCATCGCCTGCTTGTAAGATGTAGGTATAGTAATGGCATCAACATTATAGGAGACGAAGTCATTGTACCGAATTGGAAGTTGACCTTTAGTGGTGCGTAGAGACCGACGAGGCATGATAGGTGAGGACGGCGGTGATAATGAGTCCGCTGAATCGGACGTCGAGCTGGGTGATGTCGATGTAGGTGAGCTGGCGGCTGGGGACGAAGGGGCAGGCGAGTCGGGGGGGGAGTACAGGTTCGTGATCGGGTCCATCATCATCATCATCATCATCATCAAACATGGGAAGGCGGGAGACCTTAGACACAAAGGAAGACTCATCTGAAGGGCTCGAGAAATATATAAGATGCTCAAAGAACACGACATCACACGAGATACGAAGACGATGGAGGGTCGGATCATAACAAAGGTATCCCTTATGGATGTCACTATAGCCCAAGAAGATACACCGAGATGTTTTGGAAGACAGCTTAGACCGCTCTTTGCGAGGGAGGAGAACGAAGCATGTACACCCAAAAACCCTTAGACGAGAGTAATCGGGATGCTTTTTGAACAAAACATAGTGCGGGCTAAGCTGACCAAGATTCGGAGTAATCTGATAATTTATCAACCGGACAGCCGTGGCTACAGCTTCAGGCCAAAACCGAGCTGGGACACAAGAAGCTAAAAGCATGGCTCTAGTGAGTTCTACGACATGACGGTTCTTACGCTCTACGAGACCGTTATGTTGAGAGACACCAGGACAAGATTTCTGAGTCAAAATGCCCTGAGAACGAAACAAACAATCTAACGGTTTGGAACTAAATTCCCCCCAGGATCCGATCTAATGACACGAATGGTTTGACCGAACTGGGTCTGAATCATTTTTAAAAAATCAGTAGCAACAGACAAAAGATCAGATTTGAGACGAAGAAAGTAGACCCAAGTGAAACGAGTGGCATGATCGACAAACAAAGCAAAATACTTGTAACCATGGCGGGAATCCGTAGGAGACGGTCCCCACAAATCAGTATGAACGATGTGAAACGGTTCAAGTACTGTAGTCGTACTAGAGGGAAAAGAACTACGAGTAGATTTAGCCTCAACACAACTCGTACACTGAAAATGACCTGAAGAAAAATCAACCTTTTTATTGCCGAAAAGTTGTTGTTTAAACATGGTTACAAAGCCGACTGGAATGAGGATGACCTAAACGAGAGTGCCACAATTCAAACTCACTAGGTTTTAAACTAGAAAAAACAGGAGACTGGACCAAGGAACGAGACTCAATAATGAACGATGAATGAGAAGAAGGTTGACCCGGCAATTCTTCAAGCTAGAAAACCCGACCTTGTTTACTCCCCCTTCCGATCTGCCTCCCCGTCGTCAGGTCCTGAATAACACAACCCGAGGGTTCGAACACAACACGACAATTATGCTCAGTAAGTTGTCCAACCGAAACCAAATTAGGAACAAGATTTGGAACACAAAGAGTACGAGACAAATTCATTTTGGGTGCAACAATATCACCAACACCACTAACTGATAAATGCTGACCATTCGCAACCTGTATAGAACTTGATTCAACGGGCTGCAAAGTCTTAAATTTCTTATAATTACTCGTCATATGATTAAAACAGGCTGAATCTAAAAGCCAAGGAGGAGACATACCATCATTATGGAGAGTAGCAAACGCGCTGGTGATGGCAGTCGGCAAGGAACGCTGAAGAGCCGATTGCACCAACTGTTCAACAGCCTCAGCTGTCATATAAGGGCCAGGCGTAGACGGGGCTGTGGAAGGCACGACTGGTTGGACAGCATAGGCCCCAGCATTCGTCGGCGGAGGAGAATGTGAACTGGATCCAGATGAACGCGGCTGAACGAAGCGGCAATCTGAGATGATATGTCCCTTCTTCTTACAATAGACGCAAAAATTGCGTTGCTTGCAAAACTTTTGCACATGACCAGCCTGATGACAATGGTGACATATCATTTCAGATAGTCGACGTTGAAATTGAGGTCGACTTACAGCAAAGGCCTCTTCGCCACCCGCCGAAACAGAATTGGACTGTGGAGCGGAGCTGCCAGCTCTCTTCAATCCCGTCACGGCAAAGACAGCTTCTCCCGCTCCCGGACGGAGGTCTAACTGAGCTTGAGTCCTAAGTCTCGTCTCTTCCCGAATAAGAATGGCGAGAATTCCATCCATTTGCAGACGTTCTCGTTGCAATAAAGTGGCCCGAACAGATTCGAACTCAGGCTTGAGGCGGCTAAAAAATTGCATCATGCGAGTCCGTTGGCGATCCTGAATCACTTCAGCCGAGGCAGTAGCAGAGCAGAGAGCTGCTGTTAGCAAATCTTGTTCTGTCCACAATAACTGGGCAGCATTATAATACGAGGTCACGTCCATGTCGCCTTGTTCAAGGCGTGCCAGCTCAAACGTGATTTCAAACTGTCTAGCTGGATCCATCGTGGTATATGTACTAGCGAGATGAACCCATATATCTCTCGCCGCACGCAGCAATCGAAGTCCCAAACAAATCGTAGGATCAATAGTACCAAGAAGATAAGACTTCACCTTAGCATCGGATTGTGTCCATTTAGCCAATTCTTCAGCCGACGAAGGCGGCACGGTTGGCCGCTGTGATGTACCATCCAGAAACGGAAGAAGGCCCTTGCCTTCTATGAATATACGAAACTGGAACTCCCAAAGCGCGTAGTTTTTGGAGTTCAAGCGAACCGAAACCCTGTCAGAATCCATAGACGATAGCTCTGATACCATGTTAGTGAATATCAAAACACTCTTAACGTAAACGAAACAAGAAGAAAACTTGACACACGATGTACGTGGTTTCCCCGAGATCGGGACTAGTCCACGGGAGAGCTAGAACTCTCCGAGCTAAGCTTCTTATTCAGTTTTCTTGGTCTCTTTACAATCGTAGGCTGTACATATATATTAACACTTAACCCTAGCTTCCACAAGCTCTCGCTAGGGCTAACTACCAGCGTCCACCCTTACCAAACCTAGCTACGTACATTAATGGGCCGGCTACGTAATATAGGCCCATTCCCGCTAACAATAAGAAGTAAACCAAATTATCTTTATATCTTCCCAAAATTAATTAACTTTGTCCATGTATTATAGAATGAATACTATACATGGAAAAACCCAATCATTTCTCTTCAAAGCTAAGGTTCACACTGAAAAGTCTTCCATGAATACAAAATTTCATCTTTCAACGGGCCAAATTCATGGTATTTGCAAAATGATCCATCAACTTATAACCGTAATTTTTACGGATCACAGGCATAATTGGTTCGTTTTGGGCTTTTGGCCCTATCCATCAGTAGTTGGTTTGGAGAACCGGTTGGGCTTCTAAAAGTGGAAGATCATGTTGTCGACTCAGCGCTAGCAAGCCCAATCCATGTTCTCGGAGCCAGACCTTCCTTCGTTCCTCATGTTACAAGACTAGCACAATCAAATTAGCGAAGTGTCAAATAAATCTTTCTTCCCCATTAATTCTCATTTAACAAGCATCAGAGCCACAGGTATTTAGATCCCGATGTTACATAGTTGTTAGTAACTAAACTCAATCCGACTCGGACGAATACTCGGAACGAGGATCCAATGCGGCAACCATCTTGGACAAGCTTTGTTCCATGTCTTCCAGCTCATCCTTCCCAAACCCCCAGCTTCTCACCAACTCGCTTGCTGGAGCTCCCAGCCTGATCCCTAGTCTGCCAAGATTTTGCAGTCTGTTCTCCAAGAACGGCAAGATGGCAGCGCTCGATCGTAGTCTAGCTGCAATGGGGATCGAGTGGACGTCGAGTGATCCCCTGGAAGAGGAAGAAGAAGTGGATGGTGGATCTGGGTTGCTCAAGAGCTCTCCATTCTGGCCAACACGGTTCCCGAAAATTGAAGGGAACGGCAATGGTATCGGAAGAGGGCATCGGGCAGTTGAGAGGTGGCAGAAAATCGGTCGTGTTGATGCAGCCTCGTACTCGGCATTGACTGCATCAGTAACTTCTGCAGTTGAAGCTCTATGACTACCTGAAGAAATAAAGAAAAGTTTGAGCAGAGTTCTATTCACTTTTACTGAAACTTACTACAACAAGTGACTTTTTTCCCCATCAAAAGCTAAAACAAGCACACCCAAAATAATAAGCATACCGGATCCCAGTGCGCCATGAACAACCATGGATTCCACGCCATGCGCATCTTCAACATCTTTTGATGTCTCAGGAGTCAAGGACTCCAAATTCCGCAGAAAAGATCCTGCTTTACAACCAAACATGATTAACAGAAAATAACGGCAGAGAATAGGGACGAAGATAGAGAAGTATTCACGGAAGTACCGGATAAAGTAGGTGCAGGCATTGCAATGTCAAGAATGGCCACTTGGTTTTGTCTAGCCTGCCCAGCTAGCACTTGTATCATGCCATTAACATCCAAAGCCCCAGAAGCATATGATGAACTGACAGTTGGTCCAAGTGTATCCATTCTGAAGGGGAGGCCAATTGAGTGTATAGCAGCAGCATAAACTGCACTGGAATGGTAAGGCTTCTCATCTTTGATTTTGAGAAATGAGCAAGCTTTACCTTGAAGAAAGAAGTCATGAGCAAATAAAATGTTAATACTGCACTATAAACATTCATAAGAGGAAAGGAGGAATATGAAGGCACTACCATAAGTCCACTTACTTGTACTTAGCGAAGGCAAACCCAGAGGCACAATCAGTTTGGATAAGGATGATAGCCTTGAAAAAGAAACTGCATCATGAATATTACTCGAAACTGTTCGCTTCCTGTCTCTAGGGTTAACCTGATTGGCAGGGCCCCTGACTGTATACAAAACAACAGGTGTACACGGGTAATCATCGACAATGTTCTCCAAAAGGTCAGCAGAGAGAGCAGAAAACCCTCCTGAATCATCGGCAATGAATTGAAAACCCTGTAAATACATATGAATATCGGTAAGAACCAGAGGCTGGAGGTCTGTATTGCTCAAAGTCAGAAGCTACAGTCATGTGCTGGTGATAAGCTATTGATTCTGTTAGTAGTTTGGTAGTCTCCATTACTAGACTAACGGATTAGCAGAAGATTCATCATACACCTCAATGCCTAATCCTCAAAGGACAGAAGCAAACAGTTTCAGACCAGTACAGCAACCAAAAATGCAGATTAGGTTAAAAATTAGGAAGTTTGGACAGAAATTTGTTGTAAATAAAGAAAAATCTGCCAACAATACCTGGATATGATCACTCTCTTCCGTGAAAAACCTAAGCCTCTCACTGATTTCATCTCCTCGTGAACTCTCGGAGAATACATCTTTCCCAATACCATAATTGTCAAACTCCGTAGGATCCACCCACAATCCACTCAACTGATATAAACTTTGGGGATGATAATGCGTTTTTGAGAAATCAGTCCAGAACTGGACACCATTTTCTAAGGATTCCACGATGTCCCTATCACTGATTTCTCTGTGGCTCTCACTTTTCCCAGAAGTGCTGCCTAGCTTGTCATGCTCTTCCTCATACAAACTTTGCAAGAATAAGTTCTTCTCATGCACTCCAGATGTAGAAGTGAAAACACTACCACTCCTGCATATCATCTTCGGTATTCAAAACATTATAACATTCAACACCATAGCAGAGTATACTAAATCAAACATACAAGCCAAAAAAAGCATCCGATACTTCCACAAGGTAAAGTAGAAAACCACCTTGCACAATGACAAAGCAAAACAAAAATATGAATGCCATAATCATCACAATGACTTTACATGGTACCAAACTACATGTTAATGGCCCAAATTTCCAATTGGTGTTATTAGAAGACGCACCACGTGGGAACAACAGATGAAGATGAAGCCTCTTCATTGTACAGTGAGCCACGTGAACTCAAAGAACCAAGGGAACCTGCAATTCCAAGGAATTCCAGCTAGTAAATCAACTCAGTTCCTCAGTCAAATAGTTAAGAACCCAATGTCAATACAAAGGATATCAAGTCATCCAGAGCTACTCGAGAAACAAACTAGCTCTCCCACCTAACATCTATTCAACAAACAGAAGTACCTTGCAAGTCTATCGACACAAGACGAGGAGTGTACGTAGGAATGCCCTGCACAATTTGATGTTCAACAACAACATGAGCAAAGGCATCGCCAGCAAACTAGCTCCGAACTAGCAATTCCTTGAATACAACATATACTAAACCCAGAATTCATAAGCTCACTCAAAACTACCATTCCAATTTGGCAGGAAGGCAGATATAAAGATTAAGGAGCAAACTCCTACCTTATTGGTTTCACCGGTGCGGTACAGGACATCCATATTCAGATACTGCTGATGATTTGCGAATGCTGGATCGCTATCAGGATCATCAGCCAATCCAAGCAGCTCATCCTGCGGGAATGAATTGAGCAAAAAGTTCACAACTTTACAAAAGGGTTTTCGTCAATTGGAAACCAGAAGCTGGGTTCACTCAATTTCAACTGTTCCTAACTCGACTGGATTACCTGGAAGTTCCAGTAATGAGAGCCGACGAAGTTTGCGAATCCTCCGACTTGGATAGTTACGACCTCTCTCATGATTTCCGTCAAGAGAAAAGAGAACCTGAGAAGTCAGCCAGAAGCAATAGTTCACAGTCCTAGCTGGAAGTTAGCAGAGGGTTCTCTTCTCTAGTAGTGTGAACTATAGCTTGGAATCCGAATGGGGCGGCTCTTTGCCGGCGGCGGCGCTCTGCGTTCGAAGGAGAAGAGAATGAACTGACACGACGATTAGGTTTACTAAATGGGCGGAATTTCAATTTTTTTTTCCCCCGGTTTGGTCCTCATAAAACGACGCCATTTAGGTTAAGTTTGTGTTAATTTTTTAGAAAATAGTAGTTAGAAGAAGAAGAGAATGAACTGACATGAGAGTTTGATAATGGGATAGGTTAGGGTGGTTACTCAAATTTGAGTAATCACGGTGGCTACCAACATCTATACCATTCATTATCTTTATTTTATTATAACTTTAAATTAATGATTAAGATTAGCTAAGGGTAATTTAGGAAATGAAAAACATACCACACCTGATTACTGTATATATTTTACTCAAACCCTAATACCTAGCCGTCGTCTCCTCCCTCCTCTCCCTGTCGCTCCCGCTATCGATCAACCTCCGCCTCTCCGACGCCATCAAATCCGCCATCGCCTCCACCCCTTCCCCTCTCCGATCAACTTGGTATTGACTCTGCGACGCCATCAAATCCGCCACCGCATCCTTCATTCGAGAATCGAGAAACCCTACTCCGCAGACTTCCACCCAAAGGCCAAAACCCAGCTTCCACCCTAATCCGCCACGCCATCAAATCTGCTTCCTTTCTCTTCTCCCTAATCCGCAAACTTCCACCCAAAGGCCAAAACCCAGCTTCCACCCTAATCCGCCACGCCATCAAATCTGCTTCCTTTCTCTTCTCCGCAGACTTCCACCCAAAGGCCAAAACCCAGCTTCAAGCTTGAAACTCCATCTTCTCCGCAGACGGCATTCATAGCTCCGGCTGCCGCCGGTTCTGGAATGGTAGTGTTATGTTTGGAATGGTAGTTTTTTTGCTGTTTTGAATTGTAGTGTTATGTTGGAATGGTATTCTTTTTTGCTGTTTTCTTTCATGCATTGGTAGTTTTCTGCATACATGTGAAACCGTGCTTTTTGATGTGATTGGTACTGTTCTGTTCGAATGGTAGTTTTTTAGTTTTTTTGAATGGTAGTTTCCTTTCATGCATTGGTAGTTTTCTCCATACATGTGAATCTGGTAGTTTGATGTGGATTGGTAGTCTTCATTTGGATTGGTAGTTTTATTACTGTTTTGAATTGTTGTGTCATGTTGGATTGGTAGTCTTCATTTGGATTGGTAGATTTTTACTGTTTTCATTCATGCATTGGTAGTTTTCTGCATACATGTGAAACCGTGCTTTTTGATGTGGATTGGTACTGTTCCGTTCGAATGGTAGTTTTTTAGTTTTTTTGAATGGTGGTTTCCTTTCATGCATTGGTAGTTTTCTCCATACATGTGAATCTGGTGTTTGATGTGGATTGATAGTCTTCATTTGGATTGGTAGTTTTTTCCCATGCAACGGTTGTGATGCTTGATTAATGTTAAACGACTTACCTCCCATTTTCCCAATTTTAGGAATGGCAAGAACCAAGAACCCAGTCGTAGGGGCTCAAAACACAAGGAACCTGTTACCTACAGCAGTCGTCAGGTTAGGTAACAGGTTCAAGTTGGAAGTGGGCAAACCTCTGCCCTTGATGAAGCTGTGCCGCAGAAGGATATGGGTAAATCTAAACCACTTGGGAAGAAGTGCAGCCCCGCATCGATTATATCAATTGTCGAGAATGGTATAACAAATGCAAGGATAGAACTAATAAAGAAGCTCGGATTGGATTTTGTTTACATCCAAACGAGTCTCGCCCCTCTTCCTCTTCTTATTAGGTTCTGTGTCTACCACAACACCGACATTCTTTGGAGCCAGCGTGCTCCTTGTTTTGAACCCTTCTTTGTTGCACCGTGCTCCAAAGTAAAACACCTTCCGTTCCTTAAGATATTTGGGTTTTCGAGTCTGTTCTCCAATACGTCTTACTCCAAAACCCCTCCAGTGTGCGAAGTCTTTGTAGAACTTGACAAATGCTTCCCTATTTTCAAATCTCAAATGCTGCCATGTCGATTTGTCGGCCGGGACAACTTTATACACCTGATCTGCAATTTGTAAAACAACAATTAATCACTACCATTCCAATAACTCATACTACAACTAACAAAGCACTACCATTTGTTACAAATATGCCAAAAAATAACTACCATTGTAGTAGCTAATACAAAAGTCAGAACCAATACCAATCCAATCAAACGAATACCAATGCGATACGAACTACCAATAACAATCCAACCTATACCAATGTAAGGACTACCATTATTCCTAAACAAGTACGTAACAATACCAATCCGAAACATGTATGCAGAAAACTACCACTGCATGAAAGGACTACCACTGCATCAAAGGACTACCACTGCATGGAATGGGGCGGAGGAGGACTTTGGTGATGTGGAGGCGGCGGCGGAGGGGATTGCGGCGAGTGGTAGCTGGGTGTTGGCGGCGGCGACATTGTTGGTGCTGGCGGCGGGAGCTCACATCCGGGCTTCGATGGTGGAGGAGGCGGTGGCGGTGGCGGTGGAGTTGTGCATGGAACTCGGCGGTCGCCATTGATGCAACGTCGGCGATGATGCAACGCCGGCAAAAAAAGGTGGACTTCGAAGTGTACACGGCGGCAGAATTAGGGCCGGCCAAAAAACGTGGCATTCGAAAAGCCCTACGCTGATTAAACTACCTAATAATTAATTACCGTAATTATCTCTTCCTAATTAATTGCGTAATTAAAATGATAGTTTGAATTAGGATGAAAGCAAAATACCCTTCTTATCCCTAGTAACCACCGTGGTTACTAACACGAAGTATCCACCATAACCTGTCCCGTTTGATAATCTAACAAAAATATACTAGTTAGAAGAAATTAATTTGTAGTGTTGTTAAATTAGTTTGTAGTGCATTTTAAATTCAGATTGAAAGGACGACAGCTTTTTAGAAAATAGTATCAAAGTTAAGAGCTTTGATTGGTTGAGTGTTAGGCTGAGATTTGTTAAGCTCCTAATTGGGGTTTTGGTCAAAATTTATCCCAAAAAAATAATGAAGGGGCTTGAAAGTTTTAGATGATTTAATTACATTATCCTCTGCAGTTGGCCATTATTATTAGGATAACAATCATATCCCCTTCTGAAAATGATAGGCCATGGCTTCTTACAGCTCACTGCAACAACAGATGCTAAAAGCCACCTAAAATGTTCTTCATGTTAGCATTTTAGTTTCCCCCCCATCCTTTTCTCAAAAGCAACTCTTGCTGGTGGAAGAAGCTGGAACTCAAACATTTTGATGTAACTGAATAAATCCCAAGTTGGAGAACACATGAACAGAATGATTCCCCTCTTCCAAAATGATTGTGCAGCAGCAGTTGGTTTCAACAATCTCCTGCTACCTCAAACCTCATCAACAAACAAACAAACAGCAATGACATACATAGAACTAACAAATCAACTGCAGTTTTCTGCAGATACACCCCTCGATCCCTATCATCACTCTCTGAAACTACATAAGCCGCAAAAGGAAATAAAATTGCTAAGAGCAGCAACTTCTTGTTTTCCCCCCCTTTCTATTTGTGTTCGACTGTCTTATCTTTTTCTATCATCTTTACAAGCTGATTCTCCACCTTGTTGTATACAGAATAGTTTGATGCCTTAAATCTACCTTTCATGATCTATATCAGGGGGGATATCAGAAGGGAGCATTTCACCTCCATACATCGACTCCTCTTCCTTCACTGCCCACCTTCTCAGTCCCTCTTTTCGAACTATCACGACTCTCTGATTGCCCATCCCCTCCTTCCATGCTTTCACCTTCATTGCTAGACCTAGAGAAGCCTCCAATGCTTTCACCTTCCACACTGGACTGTAGTACTTTAGCCTTTGGAGTGTTATTGCTGTTGTTTCCATCATACTTAGGTGTCCACAACCCATTTGCTGGGCCAGCAGATGAAGAAGCTGTATGCTTTCGGATGTGAAGCCTGTATTTCTGCTCAACCAACAAGAAAAGAATTCATGTCAAATTGTGTACACAAATCAGCTCGGTCTCAATCACTCCACTTGTTAAAGGAAATCCAGGAATGAATCAACTAATAGGCTTGACATTTGCACAGACAATCATACTTTGAAGCTAGAGCAACCCGTCAACGTTTTAGTTTTACCATGATTCTAAAATCTAAACACAAGACACAAAGGCTTTGGTGCTCTGTCAAGAACCGACTTCATCCCCCAACTCAAGTTGAGAGATGGTCAAATTTGAATTTGGTCTCATTCCTCTTGCACCAATCACTACTAAAAAACAAGCATGGAAATGCCTTAATAAGCTAAAATGAAACCATACTTGCAAATGGCTTTTGACTTCATCGTTGGTGAGTCCTTCCACTTGCATCCGTTCTCTAATCTGCTTGGGAGTGGCCACTGCAGCATCAAACATTGAAACACGAAATCAATCAAGATTCTTCTGATAACAACATCACAATCAAACATAGATATCATTCCAAGCAAACAACTACGTTAAAGCTTAACATATGCTAATGGAAACTGCTATATACCATGAGGTCCTCCCAACTCATCAAGGACATTCAAGAAGTGCTTGTGAAGTTCAGGAGCCCAACACCGCCTTTGCTTCTTGTTGGGCTGAAGCTGCGATGGCTGTGGCTGTGACTTAGCGCTCTGCACCTTCATTTGCTGATTACTGCCGCGACACGGGGCAAGAACCAATTCAGGAGGAGATGGAGTCATGAGAGACAGCTCAGTAGCCTGTGAAACAACTTCCTTCTCTTCCTTCCTTCCACCCCCAACAATTGGCTTAAACGCCATGAATGGCCCTTCCCTGGTGTGAAGCTGCTGAATTGGGTTCTCGCAGGTTGATCGATCATCTTCTTCCTCGCTTCTCTGCTGCTCAATTTACAAAAAGAGGGGAAAACCCAGATCAATCAAAAGGGGAAGTGAAACATCAGCATTCTTATCTGGGTCCGAATGTAATAAAGCAAAACCCCCAAATCCCAATTGAAAAGCCAGAGTCTTTAGACCAAGTATCCCAATTATCTAACCTGTTTTGCTTCTGAATTGGATTCCACCGGGTTAGAATCTCCAGTTTTCCATAGCTGCACGGAATCCATCCAGCTCTTCTTGTTCATCATCTCCCCTTCTTCTCCATCTCCTTGACCAGCAGCAGCTCGATCGTTCAATTCCTTGCAACGCAATGCTTCCTCCTTCAATTTCAGAATCGCTGCAGTCAAAAAAGAAGAAACCCCCCCAACAAAAAACAAAAGAGATGAGAAGAAATGGAGCAGACACAACAACAACAAAAAGTAACAGCAGAAGGAAGAGAAAGCGAAATGAGATCCCCGTGTTACCATCGTTCAAAAGGAGCATGCAGAGAGGAAGCTCCCGGCGGAAGACCTCGATCTTCCGGCGCTCATCTTCCAATCTGTTGACGTAATCGTCAAGCCTGGACAGCTTCTGACCAACATCCTTGACTTTGGCGACCTCTTTCAGACACTCGGCGACTGTTTTGGAGACATGGACCAGACCCAAATCCAAGCTCAGCTCCATTTCTCTTTGCTTCTGGGTTTTTTCTCTTTTTTCAGGCGGATTCAGGGTGGAGCATTGAGTGAGATATAGAGAGAGAGACTGGCCCAGGTCAGGTGAGCAGCGACGGATGGGATTTTGAGATGATGACGAAGAAGAAGAAAGCGGTTTTATATTGTGGGAGAAGAAAAGGAAAGGAAAGAAAATTTCAGATTCAGAGAGACGCGAAGATTCGGTTACTCACCCTCACGGATTTTGCTACGGGTCGTCGCGTAACTGAGTCGACTCGGGGATCGAAACGGTGAGTGACTGGGGCGAGTTAGGGATTGTGTTTATCTTTTTAATTTATTTTCTTTTTTTTTCATTCCTTATTTCCGCTTTTTGGAATTTATTGGGAATCTTGTTTTGGGGTTTTCTCCGCACAGACGTGGCGAATTGTGGTCAGTCTGTAACTGATGGAAGGTAATAAATAGTTTTCCTTAAATTTTCGGATAAGAAAATCTTATTTAAAGAACATTTTTTTAAAATATTTCTTTTCTTTAGTAATTTCTTTGCACTTAAAGCGAAACTCTAAAATCACAACAATTTTAAATAAGGACAGAAGAAACTAATCTGGCCAATCAACCTTCGATTCTTTTATGCCAACAATCGATACAATTTTATTCTTGGATTTGCAAGCTATAGTAGTGATTATTTTCATGGGTACGGTTTTTGGCCTTTTGCTTTTAGAAATGGACTTTTAGCAAGTTGATTTCTGATAGCCTCAAACCGTTTTAAATAGGGGTGGAGGTTCGGTTACCCGTTCGGTTAAACCAGTAACCGGCCAGTTATCCACTAACTAGTAACCGATATAATCGAAATTCGGTCGGTTATTAGAGGCTAGACGAGATGATTTTGGTCTTGAAGGGGGCTCGTTAACCGGTAACCGAAGTCTATTTCGGGCGGTTGTCGGTAAGGGGGTATCGACGGTTGTTCGGTTAACCGATAATCGCCCAGTCGGTTACCGATTATAGCCGAACTAACTGGAACTCCACCCCTAGTTTTAAAGTATGGTCTGGATATAAGGTGTTGTTTGTTAATAGAATTTGGATGTTGGAATTGGTCTCCAAATATCAACCATTATATTTTGGACAAATCCATTGTTTGTTAAGGTATGCAAATTCGGGGGTGAGGCTTATTGGATGAGCCTACAAGCATATGACATATTGGTGTGACATAGATGTATCGAGAGTGTGTGTTCCTTCACAGGGTGAGTGGGAAGGGTGGGAGAGTTGCGTGATACGAGCGTAGAACCAAACATCTATTGATTCAAAGTCCGATGTTACAACCACTCGATCAAACCTGCGTTTGTGAAGCCGAATTACTTTGGAATCTTTACAAAAGCATTTTTCATATGAAATATTCAGAAAAATATGATTTAGCGAACTGTTTAAGTATTTCGTTGATAAATTGTTAAAATAATATTTGAATTGTTTTTTTTTTTTTTTCGAAATCCAAATTAATGCTTTTCAATATGCATGTTTAGCTTGGCTTATACTTTTGAAGTAAAGGAGCTCCACACATACACAAAATGACACTAATCTTTTTTAGGTGATTATAAACCCATTTACCTTGGTTAACTTTTTGGATAATCGATAATTTTGATGTTGTCTCTTTCTTGTACAATGGAATCAAATTAAGTTTATGGGTCCTACAAAATGAAGAGAAATGGTGGATCTTGGATGGCAAAAGCTAAGCTAAGCTAGGCAACAGACAAATTTTGGAGGGGGACATAAACTTAGAAAAGGATGCATGGGAGATTGCGAGGCATGTGAAAGATTCCTCTCTAGAGGTGGAACGATAAGGATAGATGGATACATATCCATCCTTAATAAGAAACAAACTTAATTAATTGTTGGTACGGAAGAATCACTGAACCAGTTAAAAATTAAAATAGTGGTTCGGTTTAATTAGTTGGATAATTAGAGATGATCGAATGATTAACGATTTGACATGAAAACTAACTGGTTCACGGGTTCACTATTTTAACTATAAAAAATTAAGGTAAGAAAACATTAACGTAAACTAAAATCATTCAACTTTCGACGAATTTAATGAAAAAGTTATGATATCTTGTATAAGATAATTCGAATGTTTTGTTAGAACTTGTTGGTGATAAATGGTATGGATTTTAATTATTTTTTTTTTATGGTTAGTGATAAATTCACTATTAAAATTTTGTATTATATGTCTTTTTATATTATAGCGCGCAAAATTCTGTGTAGTATTATCCATTATAAAATAATTTTCTACCATTTGACTTCGTAAGACCGAAGGATTTAATCGTAGACTTGAAAGATAGCCTAAAAAGTGGATAGAATGTTTGGATAATGAGTTTAAATAGATGTTTTCTGGTTGAGACCACACATAAAAATGAGATTGCCACAAATTGACAAGGTAATATTTCCATTTTTTTTTTTAATTAGAAAGGGCGTACCCTTTGAAGCTAGAACATATTTTCCTTGATATCTAACATAATGCATGACCGGATCCTTAAAACAACCATAGGCTAGTCCGAAAACAATTATTAAACACTTCTGCAAACTCTTCTATTTTCCCATAGTTTCGATTCCCGGCGAGAGATTCTGAGGACCGGCACGTGGGGCCGAGCGGTGAGGCCTCTCGCATCCACCCCGAAATCGGCATGTGGAAAATTCTGTGTAGTATTATCCATTATAAAATAATTTTCTACCATTTGACTTCGTAAGACCGAAGGATTTAATCGTAGACTTGAAAGATAGCCTAAAAAGTGGATAGAATGTTAGGATAATGAGTTTAAATAGATGTTTTCTGGTTGAGACCACACATAAAAATGAGATTGCCACAAATTGACAAGGTAATATTTCCATTTTTTTTTAATTAGAAAGGGCGTACCCTTTGAAGCTAGAACATATTTTCCTTGATATCTAACATAATGCATGACCGGATCCTTAAAACAACCATAGGCTAGTCCGAAAACAATTATTAAACACTTCTGCAAACTCTTCTATTTTCCCATAGTTTCGATTCCCGGCGAGAGATTCTGAGGACCGGCACGTGGGGCCGAGCGGTGAGGCCTCTCGCATCCACCCCGAAATCGGCATGTGGAAAATTCTGTGGAATCTTTTTTCTCAATTTCCCGTATTTATTATTTATTGTGTCGATATGTTATTTAATTATTTATCTGGTCTGGTGGCAGTTTTATGGTTGAGGTGGGGGAGGTGTCTCTCTGTCTGTTTGTCTTCGTTGGAGATAAGGATTCCATTTCTCTGTTTAAGATCTGTAATGTTGAAATCAGTCTTTGATGATTGAGAGCTTTTTATTCGAATCATTAAACACATAATATTCATATTTGTACAAATGTAAATTTCATATGAGTTGATTTGTGTTTGAGAGAACGTTTGATATAAAATGTATAATTGAATCTCTTTCATTAACTCGAGATATTAATATTCGTGGTTCTTGACTTGTCACTTTTTTTTATCTACATTTCTCGTCTCTTTTTCCACACTTTTGTTTTGGGATTACAATCGGTGAGAAGAGATTTAAGTCTCGAGACAGAAAATTAGCTCCACTCAAACTAATGTTTGATAGATCCAACTGCCAAACGTCTATATCTATTTCAATGTCTGGCTAATTATTTATCATTTCGTACGATCATTCGTGACGAGAATTTGGTCATTATTGTTATATGCCTGGTAATATACAAAAAAAAAATCAAACACTAATGTGCCGCAAGTTGGCATCTGTTATCTTGTGAAATTTCATGGAAAAGTAGTTTCAAGTCATAATTTTCATGAGTATAGCAAAAGATTCCATTGTCGTCCAGCGGTTAGGATATCTGGCTTTCACCCAGGAGACCCGGGTTCGATTCCCGGCAATGGAATTAGTTTTTTAGTGCTTGGTTTGAAACACTGCTCAGCAAGGATCTTTCAGCTCTTGTTCACTCTCATTCTCAGTTTTGCTCTCTATGTTTTCCAATGATCTCCAAGCTTGTAAATTGTAGTAAGCACCAAATGTAAACATGTCATGTCAAGGTAAAAAGGAATATCTGGACAGCTTCTAAGAAAACTTGCACTGTGTTTAAAAGGAACAATTTGTCTGTCATTACAGTACACCTAACCAAAGGAAGAAGAAAAAACAGTCGATCTCCTATTTGCCCTGTGGATTTTCTGGGGCAGTGGACTAAGAAAATGTACAGCATGAAGATGAGAGCAAAGAAGAAACTACAGATTGAGAACTAAGAAGGGCAGAAAGGAAAAGAACATGGCTCTTGGCGATCTGGCAGCCGTGGATTTAGGCCACCGACACATCCTCCCTTCATTCTTCTTCCGGGGGACTATCGTAAGTCAGACCCACCCTTCAAAAACTCGTCCTGTCCTCTGATCAAAACCTCGGCAAAATGACCAGAGATCCGCGTTCGTGTCAGCTCTTCACGAAATGAGCGGATAGGAGTTTTGTAACTGTGAAGCCGACGAAGGAATCGACATCAAACAGTTCTTTCAGCTTCTCGTCGCATAGTATTTTCCTCTTATCGGATGGATCCTTCACACAAAGCAGAGAACGAAGCATGAATTCTTATCCGGTTTTTGTGTTCTTTTAAGTTTTGTGATGAGATTTCAATGACAGAAGAAGAATGAACTAAGCAGGTTTCTCAGCTTCCACCAAGGTAATAACATACCTGCAGGTTATTCTGCTTTATGTAGTCCCACATTCTCTTGATGACCTCGGATCGAGACAGTGCATTTTCGCCGGTACCAAGGAACTTCACTAGGGGATCCGAGAGCTGAAGAGGGGCCATAAATCCTTTGTTTCCGGTTTTCTGTCGCTTCTCTTTCCTTCCTGGATCATCTGGTTCTAGCACAGGGTCAAGCGAAGACTAATAAGAACTTTATCATCTCAGGAAAGACTATTACTTTCACAAGGCAAATAGATCAGGACCGAGTAGACATTAGGACGGCTTGGTTACAAAAAGCCTACATGTACGAGAAGGCTGTTCAAATCCGTGCGGCCGAAGAATTTGATAACCTCATCGATTTCTACTCATAGATTTGGCCCTCAAATCCAACATCCAAATGATCCCTTGGATGTTTATGGACTTCCCAATAAGTATATTCTAGGATAGGTGATAATGATCTTCAAAGTTCATGAATTCAAAAACTTTGGATTTGTGAAGTGACAAGTCACAGTTTGCTCCTATAGCGTGTCTAAGGAATACTAATTCAATTTTTTTTTTCTCCATCTGCTTCACTAGTATCATTCAAATGAAAAGTAACCTGCCAATCTATACCTTCTTCACTCTCTTGCTTCTTTTGCTTTTCCTTCTGTGTAGCTGTCTTGACTGGAATTACTGTACAATTACGAGAGCAACAAAAAGAAAAAAAACAGATCTTTCAAGAACAATTTGATGTGTCTAACCAGAGACTTGGACAGCAATTCATCAAAATTGAATTATTAATGACAAATAGAGCAGTAGAGGCATTACCATCATCTGAATCCAATGGCCAAATGTGTTTCGTGAGGGCTTTATTCATTTGAAACATGTTGATTGAGTCGACACTAAAAATTGCACGCAATGGTTCATCACAGAGTATGTTTCTCTTATTACTCGGGTCTTGCAACTCTTTCTCTTTGATGTAAGCCCATAATTGTTTGACCACCTATGGTGAAAAGAGTAAGAGAGCTGAGAACTCTTCCACAATTCAATCACATGAACTTGGTGATAACAAAATTCACAATGCATCTGTTTCATAGTTTTTTGCAGCGTGTATACCTCTGTTCTAGCCATTTCAGGAGCCCCAAGAAACTCCTCAAGTTGAGGAGACAGGCGGCACAATTTGGTAAAACCACCCCCTCCTCTCTTTTTGCCTTCTTCAGGTTGCTTCCTAGACCTGTTTTTCATCAAAAGAAGATAAGAAGAAGAGCGATATACACTTCCCAAATGCATATAAAATTCAGCAACTGCTCGAATTTAATAATCATGGGCCCAGAAGGCAATCCTACGAAATGCAGTTAGCTCCATGCATATATAATATTGATAGAGAGAAATGCTTTCTGTAAGCTTCTTTCTATTGCACAGGTACTTAACTGTTGACCAAGTGGACTAAAAAGAAATCATCTTTAGATGGTGGAAGTGACTTTGAAAGAATCTAAACACAACACACTTAGATTTGTTCCAGAAATTCACTACAGCCATCAATATAGTTGACTAACAACCTGCATTACCAAACTCAGTAAAGTAAGGCTAACCTAACCTTATTGATTTTTCCTTTCTCAAGGGTAAATTTGTTCAAAAAGGGCTGTATATCATGCCGTTACATATCCAAATACGCAAATACGTGACTTTCAATTACAGCACTGCTCATGGTCCAACCGTCAATCCGCTTTCTTTTTTTTTTGTGCAAGAAAAGTCAAGAAAGAAGAAAGCCAGATGGCCAAGCAACAGAGTAGGATGAATGAGAAATAGAGAAAAGTGGGAAATGTAATAGCAGAAACTGTCTCTCCACAAGCATTCTCACTTAAGTGCTGCAGCAGAAACCGACCAAATTTAATAGGACCTGTTCCAAATGCAAATAGATAATCTCAATGTTTCTCAACAGAACTACCACTACTTGCAGATAAAGCAGAAAGAAAAGCAAAAATATTGTAAGCCATATTAACTGAAACCCAACTGCACTTTACCGATAATGGAAGCAAAGAACACAAAATGTGGCCACGTGAAGCAAACCACCCAATGTAGGCAATGAACATAATCAATTCCTCCAAACAAAACCTTAATTTGCACGCCAACAAAAAGTGCTCCCCTTTCAACTATTCAAAGCCACAATTATCTACAATTTCATGTAAACACACCAATTTGAGTTCATCCCGCAACTGGTGAGTTTCATAATCTACTTTTTTGCCCAATGCTGATCACCACCGAGAGGACGCAGTAATTCAAAATGTGACCTAATAATCAATACAACCCGAACCATGCCCCACTCATTCCCCATCAAAGAACCATCTCTAACCAATAGAATTAACCCAATCCACAACACCACCATGGAAACAAGTTCTTTCCAGCAACCTAATAATGCAGAGGAAAAGAAATGAAATCATCGCCAATAGAATTCAATCTTGAACAAACCTGCCTTTGGCTCGAGTCTTCCGCTTACTCGATCTTCTCACTGCTTCTTCTACTTCCTCCTCCTCGTCTTCCTCCACTTCATCGCCCTCGTTCCCCTCCGATTTCCCATCATCGGCGGCGCTCCCTTCTCCTTCGTCTTCATTGCCGCCTGCGTCACCGGCCGCCTGCTCCTCGAACTGCGATTCCAGGAACAGGTCGACCTGCTCCCTGATGAAACCCTTCTTATCGGACAAATCCACCCCGAAATCTTCCTCCAGCTTCCGCCGGACGATTGTGGTGGTTGTGGTCTCGAGGTCCGAATTCTTGAGGAACTCCCGCAGCCTGCCAATTAACTCAGAGTCGGACACCATTGCTTGCTGGCTTGCGAGTGGAAAAAACCGAGAGAGATGGAGAGGGAGAAATTGGGGGCGAAGAAGGAACGGAGAAAGGGAAGCGAAGGAGGGTTTGCGTTTCGTTCACCGGTTTCTCGTTGGTTGCTCGTTAGAGAGAGAGAGAGAGAGAGAAATACGAAGAGCGGGGCCCACCAACTTGGACTCGTGGCGCCTTCCGTTTTAGGTTTTGTGCTCTGAGCCTCTGACTCATTTTTGTACCTCCCTGTCCATGGATATTGGTCGAACCGGCCCATTTGAATTGAATCCTGGGTGGCTCTTTTTCTATCTTGGGCCTGATATCCGGCTCCGATCTGCCCTCAGGGCCCAACAGTAGCTATCACAAGTTGTGCAGAAAAAGAGGGGGAGAAAGATGGAAAAGATGTGAAAGTGAAGCAAAGGAATGCTACTGAAAGGGGGAAAGACGGTCAAAGAAAGGAACTGACAAAAAAGGTTACTTGTACCAAGATTCATTCCTTAAATGAAAACCAATCCCTTCCCCTAGGGGTGTAAGTTTGACCTTCAAAACCCACTGACCCGCCCCGACCCGCAGGGTCGGGCTGGGTTAGTTTGTCTATAGGGTCAATTTAGGGTCGGGTCGGCTTAGGGTCGGGTCAGGGTCAGATAGGGTCGGGTCAATTTAGGGTCGGGTCACTTTTTGACCCTATGACCCTTAGCATCATACAAACATGTTGGACCTATTTGTAAAATTTTATAAGTTTAGGTACTAAATTGTAAAAATTAAAAAATTTGGGTACCAAAATGTAATTTTAGCATCAAATTTTAGTGACTTATTTGTAAAAAAAATAAAATTTAGGTACTAAAATGTAAGAAAAAATAAATTCGGGTACCAAATTGTAATTTTTAGAAAAGTAGTCTATTTATTAGGGTCGACCCACTGACCCGACCCTTCCTGACCCGCCCCGACCCTAAAGGGTCAGACAGGGTCATGAAAGAAACAGGGAAGTTCCCCATTCAAATAATGTAAAACCATCAATCAAACCTCCCCAACCAACCAATCAACGAGTCCAGAGAAAATAAACAACTTAGTCTTTCACGACGAAACAATGCTCATTGCAGATGGTAATTTTGTACATCTGGTTGTTATTGCTTATAAGATCATCGCGCGAGTGTCAAAATAATAGGTCGATACTGATCAAGGTGCTACACAAGCAAATTTATTAACGCTAGCAAGTGAAATTAAACATTTTTTATAGAGTTTTTGGATCTCAAACAAATACGTATTAGGAATGCTACATGTTCCTATTATGCTTTTTACTTATCTTTTCAAGGGTTAACCTTTTTTCCTACCTTGTCATTTTAACTTTTTTTATTTAATATTTCTCAAAAGGGAAAAGAAATCTCATAAGCTTTTCTTAATTGGCAAGGCACCGTCCATCCACAATCACCAAAGAAAAGGCAAAATCAGTTTTTTTTCTGTCCCTTTTTCATTTTATCCAAATGCCTCTAATCCCAACCGTCCATCCACCGGGAAGTTCACATCTCCATTCATGCACTCACCCGCAGGTGATCCCTCCTCACAGCTAGGGAAGAATATGCTCTCGGGACCTTCTTCTTCTTCTGCACTGCATGTGACCGGCAGAGATGATTATCCAAAACGCCAGGGGCGTTTCCGTACTTACACCCAAAATAATAAAAATTTAAAAAACGAGGGAACACAGCAGAACAGGACAAAAAATAATACAGCCAAGAAAAGGAACCAACCAACCAACCGGACGAAGGCCCAACCAAAAACGACGCCGTATTCAATCTCTGCGACTTTCTTTTGTCGTCTTCTACCTCCCGCCTGGTAAATATCCCCCCTTTACCTTCCTTCCCCCACAAATTCCCACCACCACCATCATTTCTCACTCTCTCCATCTCTTTCACTGTTTTGCAGAGAGAAAGGGGGAAAAAAGGGATATATAGTATTAAAATAATAAATAAACTCCTCAAACCCATTGAAGGTCGCCGATCAACCAACCTAAAATATCTATCTTTTCTTCTGGGTTGGGCGAGCTTTCTTTCTTTCTTTCACTTCTTTGTTCATTTCTTCCTCCTTGCCCTTACTTCCGATTCTCCGAGCCGCCGATCTAGGAAGATTCGATCGGAGCGGGGTTTCCGCCGTGGAATGTGATCGTGGAGTCTCCGGCGATTTGGGGAGCGGGAAAAAAAAACAGATTGAGGCGGAGGAAGAGTTATTAAGGCGATGGATCGGTCGACGGTGACGGTGGGTCCTGGGATGGATATGCCGATCATGCACGACAGCGACCGGTACGATTTCGTGAGGGATATCGGGTCGGGTAACTTCGGGGTAGCCCGGCTGATGACGGATAAGGTCAGCAAGGAGCTCGTTGCTGTGAAGTACATCGAGCGAGGAGATAAGGTTTGTTGAAGTGCGATTTTTGATTGGGGGGTTCAGGGTTCTTGAATTAAATTTCTTTTTCTTTCTTTACGGGCTGGAGATTAGACTGACGGGAGTAATGATTGTCGCTGTTTTTGGACGGGAGGGGTTTTCTATTATTGGTAATTGTAGATTAACTTGGGTAATTCTTTTTCTGGGATGGACGGGGATTTTTTTTTGCTTAATTTTTGGTTTTTAGTTGGGATCGTATGATTGTTTCGGGGGTAGCTGTAATGAAGATTTATTCCAAATTTAGTAAAGGCGAGGATTTTAGTGTCTGTTCATCTCTGGAGTTAAGTGAGTGTGGCAATTTAATGGTAGATATTTTCATGCTTCTTTTTCTTTGGATCCTTTTTTCCTCCCCCTCAGCTTGTTACTGGACTATGGTTTGCTAGAAATGTTGAGGGTAATACTTTTTTTGTTTGAAAATGTTGGAGGGACTTTATAGTTAACAGAGGTTGACCCCTTTTCTCTTCTAGTCTTCTTTTGCCATTAAACGTGAGGAGAGGTCATGAAGTTCTTCACTGCTCAACTGGTGTTTTTGGTTTGTTTTGGGAATGTCTGCAGATTGATGAGAATGTTCAAAGAGAAATCATTAATCATAGGTCGCTGAGGCACCCCAACATTGTGAGGTTCAAAGAGGTTGGTTGTTCTTTCATTCATTTTCCTGTGGGGGGCAATTTATGTTCAAGGTTGTGGATGAAGCTCTTAACTTACTCTTCTGAGTTCATCTAATTAGTATTTGATAATTGTGCAGGTAATCCTGACGCCTACTCATCTGGCGATCGTGATGGAGTATGCATCAGGAGGGGAGCTGTTTGAGCGAATATGTAGTGCTGGGCGTTTTGGTGAGGATGAGGTTTGTGTTGTTCTCTTTCTGTTCTTTCCCTAATCTTAATTCTGCTCCCTTTCCCTTATTTGGTATAGTGTCTTGAATCTTGATTCTGTTTTTGTTTCCTCTGTTTCAGGCTCGGTTTTTCTTTCAGCAACTGATCTCTGGTGTTAGCTATTGCCATGCTATGGTACTTGGATCTTTTTCTCATGAATTTTGAGCTTATGATGATGAGTTGAAATTGTGCTCTAACTTACCATTTCTTGATGAAGCAAGTGTGTCACCGAGATTTGAAGTTGGAGAACACATTGTTAGATGGAAGCCCTGCTCCAAGATTAAAGATTTGTGATTTTGGCTACTCAAAGGTCTCTTGTGGTTGTTTTGGTGTCTGTGCTTCATCGCCTTATTCATTCCTCCTAATGTTTTCTGTGTTGTGTTTGAATCAGTCATCGGTACTTCATTCACAACCAAAGTCGACGGTGGGAACTCCTGCATATATAGCTCCTGAAGTTTTACTGAGGCAAGAGTATGATGGGAAGGTATATAACACAATCTTCTTTTGTTGCTAAAGTTTCACTTTATGGAGTAGCTATGTTCTATTAGCTAATGGTGATGTCAAATGTTAATGACGGGGTTTCTAGATTGCGGATGTGTGGTCGTGTGGGGTGACCTTATACGTGATGCTGTTTGGAGGGTATCCCTTCGAGGATCCTGAAGAGCCCAAGGATTTCAGGAAGACCATACAGGTATTTATTTCAAATGAATTTCCCCTCTACCGTCACTTGCAACGCAGTGATCTATTTGTTTTCTTCACAGCCTATCCATTTCGACAATACCATCAAAACGGCGTTTGAGTTATTTGGATGAAAATTCCTCTTGGATGTCGAAATCTTATTTGTGGTCTTTGTGCAGAGAATCCTGAATGTTCAGTATAACATTCCAGACACAGTTCAGATTTCTCAAGAATGTCGCGACCTCATAGCAAAGATTTTTGTTTTCGATCCTGCTGCAGTAAGTTCCATTTACTGTTTTGTTTTGATTAGTGTGCATGGTTCCAAAGTTTAGACTATGAGGTCTAATCAAGTTGTTGCATTGAGCAGCGGATCACCATCCCGGACATAAAGACCCACGAATGGTTTCTGAAGAATCTGCCTGCAGACCTTATGGATGAAAGGACAATAGGGAGCCAGTTTGAGGAGGCGGACCAACCCCTCCAGAGCGTCGACACGATCATGCAGATAATCTCGGAGGCTACCATACCGCCGGCTGGTTCCTTGGGTCTTAACCTATACATGGCCGACAACCTTGACCTGGACGACGACATGGACTTAGACTCGGAGTCCGAGCTCGATATCGACAGCAGTGGGGAAATCATTTATGCATTATAAATCGAAACAGCACGTCCTCGCGAGGGAAACAGTTATAGTAGAGGGTTGGGTTCTTTAGTGATTAGGGGGGAACAGAACAGCAGATAGGGGCAAGTTGCAGGTGTGTTGTTGATTTTTAAGTTGGAAGAATCATATGATCCAGAGAGGCTCTTATATTATTATCCAGCTAGAGGATTTGGGTTGTTGGAATCACAACTACCTTCTGTATCTTGCAGGTTTTCTCCTATACATGTGTTGTTGTTGTTGTTTTGTATGCCTATGCAACGAATCTATGTCTGATAATAACATTTTAGAGGTGGTGTAAGTTTCCTTGTATAAAGTTTAATATGGTAAACGTGCTTGTCTGCGACTTTTGCTGCAGCTACTCAACAGGTTATTTGGCTTCAAATCGCTAGTTGAACCACTTTTTCATCTCTTGTTTGACCTTTTTTCATTTTATGGTTGACTTTTCTGGAGACCATAAATGGTTAGGATCTCATTTGGATGATCGAAATCAAAGACCAAATAAAACCCTAGTAAATCTTTGATTTACCTATAAGGCTATAACCACTCAGTCCCTTGGCCTTATTAGGTAATGGTTCAAACCTATATCACCCTTTTAGGGGAATGTCTATTTTTTATCCAAATCTTTTAAAACCTATTAAAATTCTGTTAATTACCCAAATCTTTCATAATGAATCAAAACATTAGCCATTTTTACGTTATCGTTAATAATTTTGTAACTCTTTTCTTATTTAAAATACTAAAATTTTGGAATGTTGACCTTCATGTGTTTCTTCCAAGTCAGTATCATGTTGTCAAGTCAATAATACTAACAAAATTGCTAACTGAAAGTTAACATTTGGCTAATTCTTAGTATTTCGATAGGTTTGGATAATTTAAAAGAAACTGATTTTTTTTGGATAAAATAAAAGATAGACATTACCCTTACTAAAAATATAAAAAATATATATGGTAACAGATTCTTGCTCACAAGTATAGTTCTAACGCGACCTTTCAAAGAGTGGGCAATAGGCGGGGCAACATGTAGTCAAAATCGTGCTTTAAAGTAAAAACTTACGCTTTTACGTTCTTAGGTCACCAAAACACCTCTGCGCAAAATCATAGTTTTTATAGCTAATATAGTTAAAAACACGCTTTAAAGCTATTTTACGCTTCTACTAGATCACCAAAACGCATCTATGTTAAAACATGCCTTTGACTACACTGATTATACCTACCTGAATCCATCCAAGTATAATCAACCCAAAATCAATTGTAATCCACCCAAAACCACATGATATAGTACTTTACTAATCTACATGTTATAAAATACATTGTTGTTTTTTCTGTCTCAAAATGTCCATCGTGATTGATCAATTAAATGTTAATTATCTTCATAAATTTTGCTCTACTTACAAAATGAATTATGATGGCTTTTACGATGCACTCGCAAAAAGAGTGCATACTATGCACCCAACTCTAAAATTAGTTTTAATATATCGAATTTTGAATTTTAGTTGGCAACATTAGTTGAATATGATTATATAACATATGATTACAACCCATCCATGATTATATACATGAGTCGATATGGATAATTTTTCACTACCCACCATAACTCCATACCTGTAGCGTGTATAGGTACTTGGTGGTTGAGTTTTAGCCTAAAAATCACTCTATTCACCCATTATCCATCCCTAGTTATTACTCAATAACTATAGATTTATTGTGTAATTTTCATTGTTCAAGATTCGAGTATTATAGTTGGATACAGAAACCTTCGTTTGCAATGGCAAAAGGGAGGAGAGAGAGCACGAACCTGTGTCGTAGCTGAACAGCAGCCCTACCGATTTTGGCGGAGAATGCCAGCCGAAGAATGAACGGGTTCTTCAAAGTGAGGTGGACACAGTCTTTAAACGTGGAGGACTCTGGCATTGTGTACACTCCTCACTCCATTCTTTTTTCCCCTAGGTTTTGTTGGGAGTTAGGAGAGTGAGTGAGGGTTTAATCCATTCTGTCAAGTCTGGACGTGCATAATTATACAAATGAGTCGATATGTTATACTCAATTATATAACATAGGATCACAACCCATCCGTAATTATACAAATGAGTCGATATGAATAAAGTTTCATTGCCTACCATAATTGTAGCGTGTACAGGTAGTTGGTGGTTGAGTTTTAGCCTAATAATGAAGGATAACAAAAATATCTCATTGTGTAATCTCAAATGCATAGACTTCTCGAGTAATTCTCATTGTTCAAGAAGACGCACTAAATTTATGCGTAGCCGCCGCATAGGCATGCTTAGGCTTAAGATAACTCCAAAATTCTTTGCCTCAGGGTCTCCAACAAATTAGGTATCGAAAACACAATGCCAAAGTAAAGAGACTTTCAGGTAGATCTAGGCAGTTTATAACAAAGAGGTGAAGTAATATAATCCATAAAATTAGGTAAGAGTTAAGACACAAAATTATAAGAACTGTTCTCTCTCAATCTTTTTCAATAAGTTAAAGACGAAACTTGTAAGTTATTGAACTATGATTCTATGAACATGTGATATATTCTTTTCATGTTATTAAGTGTTATATATAGATATATTATTAAACATTTAAAGGAAAGTGTGCAAGTGTTGTGAACTGCTATTTTATTCATAATGTAATGTACACTATTATTATGCTCAACGTCTAGGTAAGCTTAATCGATACCTAGATAAATTAGGCGCTAAGTAAAACCCAATTCTCACCTTACATATATAGTGCCTTCTTAAAGCTCGAAATTTTTTAAATGTTATTTATGTTTGTACATTTGATGACATATATTTTACAGAGGATCATCAAACAATAGTTTTGCTATGTAACACCATATACATGATTGATTAATGAGCCAATCACAGTAAACATTTTCAGAAGCGACCACCGTGGAGCCAATTCAAGTTGATCTCTTCCTTCCGGACCTTAACCTTCAACCTCTTCATCACCTGAACAAAAGGCTCCCACAATGGCGCAGTATCTTCATCACACCCAACTTCCTCCAAACTCTCCAGCTTCAGCACCGAATCGGGAACCCAGAAGTTCTTCGAACAACCCATCATCTGAATCCTCCTCAGATTCTTCCCCAGCTCCCCAATGGCTTCCGGCAGCTTCCTGACGTCAGCACATTCCGATATGTCCAGGCTCCTCAAATTCTCCAGATACCCAATCGCCTCCGGCAGCTCCGACAACCCTATGCACGAACTCAGCGTCAACTCCTCGAGGTTCTTCAGCGACCCGATCTCATCGGGGAGCGCGGCCAAGTTATGGCAGTTCGTGATTCTCAGCTTCTTCAGGTTAGTGAGCTTGCAGATTTCGATGGGTAATTCGACGAGATCTTTGCAGTAGTCGATGTTGATCTCTTTAAGGTTTGGGAGTGGTTGTGAAATTCGGGAAGACGAGGGATTGAAAGCTAGGGTTACACGGCAGAGGACTATGGTGATTTTCTCCAGGGTTTGGAAGTGGAGAGTGGTGAAGAGGGATGGAGGGATTGAGATTTGTTCGAGCCTGATCTTTTTGAGGGTTGAGAGGGATGAGAGGAGTTGGGGGAAGTTTTTGACGTCAGCTGGGGAGACGCCATAGTTTCTGAGTATCAGGACTTCGAGAGGGGTTTCGTTTGGTCCTGTCATGAATTTTGGCAGGGTGAAGGTTTTGGTGCGGAAGTTGAGGACCATGACTTGGAGTTCTGGTGCTTGGATTCTCCACGAGCTGCTGGAGAACTTTTCATCTGCAGAAAAGCAGAACAAACAATGGCGTCCACCATAATGTCCTGTGAAATCTACATAATGCAGGCACTGTGAGAAGGCAGACAGAGGAAGGGGATGGAAGAAAACCTGTGGAGATGGACAGAATGCGGCAGTGAATGCTAAGCTGCTTTCTTTCAGAACACCAGTCAGGAACTTGATTCCTGAATATCTCGACTATTAGTCTGTCCCTCTGTTCCATGAACTCTAGGCTGCTTTGGTAGATGATTAGCTCCCTCAGAAGGTCATGCTGTGTCACAAAGTGATGGTTGTAGCCCTCAGCATCAGTCCTGTCAAAAAAGATGATAACTTTAAGCACGGGTTCTTTTCTTTCCTCCGAAAGAATCACTTTGGTTCTAATAAATCGAGTTGTGAAGCAAATTACTCGCCTTGTAACAACAAGATCAGCTAGGTTCCTTGCAGAGAGCTGATAGAGATTGGCCACAGCCTGGAGGCCATCTTCATCGAGTTTGTAGAGTTCAGACCACATGTCAATTAGGGCAGCTGCAGGGATCAAATCATCTTCAGGAAACAAAGCCAAGTCCATGAAGCATTGCTTCACCTTGGGCTGCTTGTCTAATGCATCTAAACTCTTCTCAAGGCAACTGTACAGCTCGCTGTACAGCTCACTACCTTCCATTACTGGTCCAGCTTCGGCTAACGCCATGGCTCTCGTTCTCCACACCTCAATGGGCTCTCCACACAGTGATCTCCCAACAACTGTAATGGCTAGTGGAAACCCTTTGCATTCTTTCACTATCTGCATTTCGTATTACAGATTGATTCAGGAAATCGAAAAATTTTCGTGGATACTATAAAGGTAATGTACCTATCTCAACTAAACTATGTAAGAATGTACCTGATTGATGACATCCTCTGGAATGTCAGGTTTTGGTTGGTCTGGGAGGAATGCTGAGTTGTCGAAAAGTGTCCTGGAATCTTTGTCGTTCAGTGGGTTTAGCTTCTGATATTTGTATTTGGGATAAACCGACCTTGAAGTTACCAAAACCTTAAAACCGGGGATGTTAAACTTTAGCTTGTCAAGGATATAAACTGTTTCTGGCCAAACATCATCCAGAACTAACAATATCGGGTTCGGATCCATGCTCTTCAGGAGATTTTCCAGGTGGTAGTGAGCATCTTCTTCACCTTGAAACACAGGATCTCTATGACCCTTGAGCATGTACATTCTCTGGACAACACTCTCCATTGTTTGTTTTTTCGACACTCTGATAAAGAAGATGTTATCCTTGAATCTTTCTGCATAGAGTCGAGCAGCTCATCAGGTTCAGATTAAAAGGTAAGAACCTCAGCAAAGAGTAGCTAGGGTAGTCATCAGTAGAACATAACGATGTATCATTATTACCTTGAACATCTTTGTCATGGCAGAAAAGAGTAGCCAGAGTGGTCTTCCCACAGCCAGGAGGTGCAGACAAAACAAGCAGAGAAGTGTCATCCTTGAAAAACTCCATCTTCAGTTCCCACAAGGGAACCTGAAATCCAACGGGATTCGGAATCGCTTCAGGGAGAAAGTACCCCTCCAGACCAGCCCTTCTCCCGCGATCCAAAACCATTACTTGAACCTTCTTCACTTCCACCAAATTTTTCTTAATGTCCCTCGCCATTTGGAGCTGCAGAACCAAGTCAAGGTAGCTCTTCAGGGAGCGCTCCAGGCCGTCCAATTTGTCCTTGTAGCTCGGCTTCTTCCAGCATGTATACCATCGAATTCCGGAACATTTCAAGACGAGGTCTTTACCTTTCCTGATCTCTTCCACCAATGGTTCAATCTCTCCCTTATCCTGGTTCAGCTCCTCGCTCAGCTCTTGGATCTCGGCAACGATCGGTTTTATTTTTTCTAGAGTGGATTCGAGCTCTTGCAGGGTCGGCCTGAACGCTGCTGCCTTTCGTTGGGCTTCCAGAACTGCTTTCAGCAGCTCTCCCATCACAGCTCCGATGAACGCATCCTGCAGCACTTGCGCCATAGCCTGGACTCTGTCTGCAGAATAGAAAAGAAGATCAGAGAAAGGAAAATTCTGACAAGAACTCCAAACCCCTTTTTGCTTCCCCTCTAGTTCTGAGTTTTAGGAGGACATATCATATATTGGGTGTTCTCTTGTTCTAAAGGTTGGCCTTTTGAGGATGGGAAATGGGTAAAGTACTGGATTCTATTCTAAAGCTTTGGGAATCTTTCTTGACATGGATGTTAAAGGGCTTTGCTCTTTCTTGCGGGGCCATACATGGAGGAAAGTTCAAGCATGATCTGATGCTGGGACATTTCTCGTGTGCAGACAACGAACCAGAGCGGCAGTAAAAAAGGAAAGGAAAGATTCTTGATGGGAAAAGCTCAGCTTCAAAGCAAAAAAGGGATTCTTTGAAACCACCTCCTGCAATTCTGCAAACCATAACCATTTCCTTCTTTTACATGTGATGTTCATAATCCAACGGAGCTTTATTTCATTGCCTAGCTCCCTTGGAGTTTAAAGCAAGCAATAGCCTAATAGGTAATTAGCTGGGCAGCCTGGTAAGCTCTAAGTAGAAACCTTGAATTTGAGTTGTCGGTGTCAGGGAGAGCAAGGAACTAATATATGGGTTAGTAAAACATGTTACGTGTATGTTACTCTGTTAATACTGTTAGAGAGGTATAAAATTCACCTTCTCCCAATAACTCGAGTTATTGGGATCAATCGGTTCTTGACATAGTATCAGAGTCTTCTGTGACTGAGAGGTCTTGTGTTCGATTCCCGATGACCCCCATTTGTTAAGCACATGGTATATGATCCACGATTGAACCTCTCCCAACAACTCGAGTTATTGGGATTAACTGGTTCTTGACAAATACTTCATATGTATGAGGTTTTAGATTCAATCTTTTACAATGTGTATATCCATTATGTGTAGTACATGAAGCATCAAATAAATATTAGAAAAAAGGAAGACGAATTTATATAGTATATTGAACAAAAATTTAAAGTTTAAACACATTTTTTAGTATGTATACAAGTACTATACAAACATGAAAAGATTTATGACACTTTTATTAATCAATTAGCCTTGAACTTAGGCAGCTAGTCGTCAACAACAGATCCCATTAAGATCATCCAGATCATTACTGCCAGCCATACCGGCTATGACCACCTTCTGCTAACTCCATGGCTCTCACTCTCCAAACTTCAGCAGGCTCTCCACACAGTGATCTAGCAGCAGCTGTTAGCTCTTGTGGATTTCCTTTGCATTCTTTCACTATCTGCACAAATTTCACATCAGAAACAAGTTCAAGAAGTGATACATTTCCTTCCCCCAGGAATCACAACAAGAACATTAAACTACCTGATTAACGATACCATCTGGAACGTCGGGGGCTGGTTGGTCCGGAAGGAACGATGAGTTGCAGAAAAGCGTCCTGGAGTCTTCTTCATTCAGTGGGTTCAGCTTGTAGTTCTTGTATCTGCGATACTCCGATCTCGAAGTTACCAGGATCTTGTAACCAGGGATGTCAAACTTCACTCTCTCAAGGAGGAAAGCTGTCTCTGGCCGAACATCATCCAGAACCAACAATATGGGACTTGGCTCCATGCTCTTCAGGAACTTCTCCAGGTGGTGGCAAGCGTCTGCTTCGCCTCCAAACATACGATCTCTGCGCCCCTTGAGCTGGAGCAGTCTCTGGACGACGCCCTCCATCGTTTGTCTACCCGACACATGGATGAAGAAGATGTTGTCCCCAAATCTCTCTGCAACAAAAAACTGTTAACCACAGTCGAACTGTGGCCTGATATGAACAAAATCAATTATTGATGTAGCAGTTTTACCTTGAACATCTTTGTCATGGCAGAAGAGAGTAGCCAGAGTGGTCTTCCCACAGCCAGGAGGCCCAGACAAAACAAGCAGAGAAGTCTCGTCCTTGAAAAGCTCCATCTTCAGTTCCTTCAATGGAACCTGAAAGCCAACAGGATTCGGAATAGATTGGGGAACGAAATACCCTTTCAGACCAGTTACTATCCCACTAGACTTCCCATCCAAAATCAGTTGAACATTCTTCATTTCTACCAGGGCTTCCTTAGTGTCCCGCGCCCGCTGGAGCTTCAGAATGATCTTACAGAATTTCTGCAGGGAGCCTTCCAGGCTGTCCAATTTGTCTTTGTAACCCGGCTTCTTCCAGCAGGTGTACCACCGAAGTCTCGAACACTTAACGACGAGGTCTTTACCTCTGGTGATCTCTTCCATCAACGGTGCAGTCTCTTCCTTCTTCCTGTCCAGCTTCTCGTTCAGCTCCTCGATCTCCTGGACCAAAGGGATTATGGTTTTGAGAGTTGTTTCGATGCGTTGCAGTGTAGGTCTGAACTCTGCCGTCTTTCTTTGGGCATCCAGAACTGCTCCCAACAGCTCTCCCATCACAGCTCCGACGAAAGCGTTTTGAAGCGATTCTTCCATAGCTCAATTCCTTATGGAGAAAGGAGATCAAATACAAGAAATTCTACCCTTTGCCCACCACCTGTCTTAGTTCTCAGGTTTGGAAGAGAGAAAAAGGTGATATTTTCATCCACATGAAAACAGGTTGGTAACCAATCAGCAGAGGAACTGGTTACCTGGAATCTTTTCTAAGCTTTGGGAATCTTTCTTTACTTGTGATGTTACAGCAATGTTCTTTCTTGTGGGATATATATATGTAAGAATTTCCAAGTAGAATCTGATGCTTGGAGACATTTGACACGTCCATACTACAAGAGATTATTCCCACTGTTACAGATTAAAGGTCAGAGGGGGAAGAAAAGAAAAGATTCTGGATGTGAAAAGCTCAAAGCTCAACTTCAAGGAAATAAGAGATTCTTAGGCATCCATTGCAATAGGTCATCCTGGAAATCAGAACCATTTTTAAGTTCATTCACTGCTCTATAGTTCATTGCCTCGGAGATTAAAGGAGGTCGTAGGTAAATCGATGGGCAGCCCATCGCCTGATAAACTCCTTAGAAAAAATCAATAGACATATGCTATAGTATAGCCTCAAATGAACAGGGTTCTAAGTAACTTGGTTTATCACTTAACACACACTCAATAGGCATATGAGCCTTAAACTTGGGGAGCTGCCCTTCAAGAACATCAATGGCCAGAAGTAATTGGGCAGCAATATAACTCATCAACGAAAGCAACCACGGAATTGTTCCGTGTGGATGCATGCACGGCAGTTTACCCCCTAACTGAATAGTGATTGGGGGTAACTTGCTACTCTCATCTATTAATATATCAGTTGCTCAAGGGCAAGGGGAAGTGGATTTGCGACACAATTTGAGGGGTACTTTTTTTTGGCTTGACAAAATCAGAAACGACCACCATTGAGCCAGTTCAAATTTATGTCTTCTTTATTAACCTTAATGGTCAAATTCTCAAGAAAACCGACAAAAGGTTGCCATACACCTGCAGTTTCTTCATCACACTTCACTTCCTCAAGATGCTCGAGATTCAAGATCGACTCTGGCAACTCGAAGTCTTTTGAGCAACCCATCATCTGAATCCTCCGTAGATTCTGCAGCTCCCTAATCTGTTCAGGCAGTCTTTTGATATCTGCACATTCCGAGATATCCAGGCTGCTCAGTTTGTGAAGGTTTCCAATTGAATCAGGCAGCTCAGCAATTTCTATGCAAGAACTAATTCTCAATTCCTCTAAATTCACCAGCCCGCCGATTTCTCTAGGCAGTGCAGTCAAGTTGTGGCAATTAGTGATTCTTAGCCTTTTCATCTCGGCAAGCTGACCGATCTCCGGTGGCAACTCTACCAGATCGTTGCAGTAGTCAATGTTGATCTCCATCAGATTTGGAAGTGCTTCTGATATAACAAGGTTGGATGAGGAAGTCAAAGCCTGGCTAATATGGCAAAGGACCAAACTTATCTTCTCAAGCTTCTCGAACCGTGTCGACGTGAACCCACATGGTGGAATTGAGACTTTCTCTAGTCTGATCTTCTTCAGGTTGGAAAGAGAACTAAGAAGTGGAAAGTTTGTCAGTTCAGCTGGGAGAATGCCGTGATTCGTGATAACTAAAGCCTTTAGGTTATCCATTCCTGCTATGAACTCGGGTAATGTGTAGCTTCTCGTCCGAAAATTCAACACTAATACTTCAACATTTGGTGCTTGGATGTTGCACCAGGTTCTTGAGAACCTTTCATCTGCAAAATATTATCAACCACAATGTTATTAAGAGGGCAAAACAAGTTTTTAACAGAACAAGCTGCGAAATTAAGTGGGTGCTTATTGGAGAAGTTGTTAATTGAAGCAAATAGTGAAGCTCATTAAATGTGAGTCGTGTGTATATTGACTATAATGGCCCTACATGGTTTTGGATTTATTAGAAGGAAAAGGTAAAATTGGAAGTATAGAAAAGATGAAGTAAGGTGGAGTGCAAATCCATTTTAAATTAGATTTTAGAGGTAGATAATAGAAATTGGACAGTATTTGATTCAGAAGTTGATTGTTTGATCAAATGGAGACTTCAACTGATGTCAACTAGCTGATTTGTAATTAGAAATTCAAATCATTCTCCTTTCATTTAAAGTTCCAGTTCCTTCAATTATAAGTTTCATCGTAAAGAAAAGACGCCATGCCATGGGAATGCAAGTAAAAGATCAAAGAAGCTAACCTGTGGTGATAGACATGAGACGGCTGTGAAACCTAAGCTGCTTTTGTTCCACCCACCAGTCAGGAACATCATTCGCAGTTACCTCAAGAATGAGTCTTTCCCTTTGTTCAAAGGTCTCCAAGTTAGTCTGGTGGATAGCTAGCTCTCTGAGAAGATCATGATGTGTCAAAAAGTGCTGATTGTAGCCATTTGAGTCGGCCCTTGTTACTACAAGATCAGCCAGGTTTCTTGATGAGAGTTCATGGAGATTGGAAACAGCTTGGAGACCATCGTCATCGAGTTTATACAGTTCAGCCCACATATCAATCAAGGCAGTTGCAGGAATCAAATGGTCTTCAGGGAATGAAGCCAAGTCTTTGAAACATTCCTTGATAATGGGAGTGTTGTCTAATGCATCTAGACTTCTTTGAAGACAGAAGAGCAGATCACTGTACTCGAGAATGGAACCAACTTTTGATAATTCCGCTTCTCTCTTTTTCCAGATATCAACTGGCTCTCCACAAAGTGATCTGCCAACAACTTTAAGGGCTAATGGGAATCCTTTACATCCTTTGACGATCCGATTCACAACTTCATCAGGAATAACAGAGTCTTGGCCCGGAAGGAATGCTGAGTTGCAGAAAAGCGTCCTGGAATTGCTATAGTTCAACGGACTCAACTTGTAAGTTGAGCCATATCGAGGAAATACTGATCTTGATGTTACCAATATCTTGTAACTAGGAATCCGAAACTGAAAATTGTCAAGAAGCGAAGCTGAATCTGGCCAAACGTCATCCAGAACTAACAAAATAGGATCAGGCCCTATGTTCTTCAGGAATTTTTCCACGTGCAACACTGCATCTTCTTCGCTTCGGAAGTCCGGAACTTTATAACCGTGATGCTGAAACAGTCTCTGAACAATGCCTTCAATTGTAGGTTTCCTTGACAAAATGACGAAGAAGATATTCCCCTTGAATATGTCTGCACAGCGTTCAACATAAAGACACATTAAAGATTTGAAAAAATATTCTTAAATCAACATCAAACTTGCATTTCAGACATAGGATGAGCGGCATTCTAAGACACATGACTATCCATTAGGACTCGAACTCGTTCATTATGTCAGTTATTCATTTCTTCAGCTGAAGCTTTGGTTGACATCTATTATTGGTTTGGTATGATGCCTCAAATGGCACATATGTAGGACATACATCTTTTATACATTATTATCTTAGAAAAAGAGAGGATAATAGGAATGTGAAAGTTGAATTAAGGGTCAGAGCATGAAGTTTCCGCACACACGACATCCGAGCATCAAAGTTGTACTTATTAAAGAATGGATCTACCTTAACCAATAATTGGTTGGACCGATTTTTAACAGAGAGACAAATATGTATTTATCAAATATCAAAACATATGATTATGTTTGTTGAAACGACAAACACACAAATAAAACAACAATAAGTATTAAATGGTACCTTGAACTTCCTCATCATTGCAGAAAAGTTTAGCCAACGTAGTCTTCCCACAACCAGGAGGAGCAGACAGAATGACCAAGGATGCTTCATCCTTCAAAACTTCCATCTTCAGTTCCCCCAAGGGAACCTCCAATCCAACAGGGTTGCCAACTGCCTCAGGGACATGAAAGCCACTCAAAACAGCAGGCATTTTGATAATACCACCACTCTTTCCATTCAGAATCAGGCGCTTAACTTTTTGGTGCATATCTTTGACTTCCAACAATGTCTCTTTTGTGTCCCTCGACTGCTCGACCTGGAGAACAATCTGGCAGAACGCCTTGAGTGACTTCTCCAGTCCAAGAAGCTTGTCTGCATACCTCGGCCTTCTCCAACAAGCATACCACCACCTGATCGTAGAACACTCAAGAACAAGTTTTTTCCCTCTCTGAATCACTTTTACCAACTTCCCAACTTCTCCATTGTTTCGATCCAGTACTTTGTCCATCTCTTCCATCTTTTCAACTGTAGGGATAACGTCTTCTAGAGTGGATTCCAGGCGCTCTAGAATGCGTTTGAACATAAGGGTCTTTCTCTGGACCTTCACAACCGCTCTCAAGAGTTCCCCTAACACAGCTCCAAGAGCTGCCCCACCCACGAATGAAGCTGCCATTGCTACTTCTCTTTCGCAGAGGGTGACACAAATTTGAAGTAAAGATCTAAGTATCTGGCTGCTAAAACTAGGATGGTTAGGTCATACTTATATCCTCTCATCCATACCAACAGTCCTAAAGAAAGAATTTGTTGGCTTTACCAGGAAATTTCATTGTTAAGTAATTGCTAAAGTTGACTCCACCTTCCTAGAAGACTTTGGCTTTTTCATAGTTAAAGAAAGAACAAGACAGGGCAGCCATTTATGGACAGTTGCTACCTCGCCGCTATTGCAGAAGTTGCTACGATAGGAGGAAGAAAGTCAAGGAATTCAGCTGATAAGGAACTCAAGTGGGGAACGTGTAAGCATGACATGGAAAGCAAAGAGGAAGATAGAAACGACCCAAAACCTAAAAGAGGGGTAATCTGAGTCAATGTCAGGAAAGTTTGGTGCTTTTATCGCCGAAACTGGAATCGAATTTTCATACCTCATAGAACTAACTAACCTAAGAAATGGGCAGTTGCAGCAGCTGCTGCTGCTTGGTTGCTTCAGCGGCTGTGAATCCAAGGATTTGCGATTGCTGGGATGTTTCGGAAGTTTGAGAGTGGCTTCCTGCTGCTTTCTGAACAGGTAATTCGTCTTGTCTCCCCCAGTTGTTATTGCAGGGAGGGTAATTGAGCACACTCTTCTTCTTCTTCTGTTCTTTCCAGGAAGTCGCTCCCCTGATTTGCCGATTCGCGAGAGAGACGAGACCGTAAGAAAGAAGACAACGAGACTCACGCACCATGTCGACAAAAAACGATTAAAAAAAAGGAAAAGTGTACATTTCCCATCCATCTGTTTTACATTGGTTACGATTTGTGGGTTGCATCATTGTTATGACGTGCACGCTAGTACAGCAATGCAATTTCGTTTTCCTTGACTATATTGTAATTTTGTACACCTATATGTACTGCACCGTATTGACTGTACTATCTATTTTCGGGATCGAAAATATGACTAGTTTATGATTTAGTGATGAACTATTAGAGTATAGTTGGTTAATCATACGTAAAATTGTACATAATCGATAAAATCAAAGATGTATAAATTGTTCATAACACTAATTTAATATTGAAGTTGTTACTAATCAAAATAATTTCAAATTCGTATCGTATCATCTACCACCAGAAGTTCTAATAGAACATTCAAATTGTTTAACAAAGAAATCATACAAAATTTTCTTAAATTAATTTTTGATTAGAGGTGGCAATCGGTAGTGGATCGATTAAATTAGTTAGTAGGGTTAGATGGTCTAAGTTTACATTATTTTACTTTTTTTTTTCTTAAATAGTTTTTATGGTTAAAATAGTAAACCAGTCAAATTAGACTGGTTCATTCAATTTCATGTTTAACCGTGAAAAATCATACTATTCATTTTAGAAAATTGACGACCGGTATTGATGGTTCTAATGGTTCGCCCGCATGTCCTTGCAACAAGGAGTGACCATACTTTATTCACGCGAACTCAAACACAACTTCTCCTAAAATGAAAATTTTCCCCAAAATATCAAACTTGCTAAAAAATTCGCACAATATATATCTTACACTAAAATTTCCCAAATAGACAAGTTTGTGCTGCTACTGTCTAATAGTTTAGTAGGCTTGGTGCCTGATTCTCAAAATCGCATGCATTTTCTACTTCTGTAACAAAACTTATCCTCCATCCAGTCAAGAAAATTAATGTTTAGAGTCTAAGAAAAAACTTAAATACAGATACATGACATCAGTCCACTGACAATTGGGGAACTAGTGAAGCTGAAGCCAGTCTAAGCTGACTTGTTTATGCTTGGTGATCTTCAAACCAGGAATGTCAGTCTTATAGATTTCCCATGAGTTTGCTGTTTCTTCATCCCCTACTACTTTCTCCAGATTGCCTAGTTGAGCAACTGATATCGGTATTTCACACCGATCACATTCTATCATGTAGAGCTTCCTTAGGTTGCAGAGCTCACCAACTTGTTCAGGCAACTTCTTTATGCTTGCACAGTATGATATGTCCAGAATTTTCAACCCTACAAGGTTCCCAATCGACTCTGGCAACTCTGACAACTCGATACATGAACCAAGCCTCAACACTTCCAAAGTCACCAAGTTCCCGAGCTCTTCTGGCAATACAGACAGGCTTTGACAGTTGGTGATGCTAAGATTCTTCAGTTGGGCTAGATTGAAGAACCAAACTGGTAGTTCCATCAAATCACTGCAGTAGTCTATGTCAATCCCTTCCAAGTCCGGGAAAGAATTTGGCTGAAGGATTACATTGCTAAAGGCCTGACCAACACTACACATGAACAAAGATAACTTCTGTATTGTCCCTGATGCAATGCTTGGCAGGAAATTTGGTGGAATCAGAGTGTTTTCGAGCCGAATTCTTTTTAGATTGGGTAGAGAAGCAACATGGTGGATATCACTCACGTCAGCAGGACACAACCCGTGATTCGTAACTATTAGAACCTTCAGTTTCTGCATTCTTTCAATGAACTTAGGTAAGGCATAGGCCTGGGCCTTGAAGTTCAGAACTAATACCTCTACCTCAGGAGCATGTATGTCAGGCCAACTCGATGAGAAGTTCTCGTCTGCAGGATACGCATTCATATTTAATAATAATGAACTTGAAGCGAAGGTAAGGTAAGTTGAGAATAGCTTAAATGATTATGCAGATGAATAACCTGTGGTAATGGCTAAGAGTTTGGCCTTGAAGACTTTCTCTGTGCTTTCTGTCCACCACTTAGGGAAAATGTTGCCTGTTATTTCCACAAAAAGTCTTCCTGCGATCTGAAAGCTAGCAGAGTTGCTTTGACGGATTGCTAAATCTCTCAGCAGATCATGCTGAGTCACGAAATCCTCATTGTGGAAGCCATCATCTTCACTTCCATCTTTCCTGAATATTGAATCCAACAAAGCCAGAATCACATGAATACACTAATAAACCAATGATAAAGGATAACACTTTGGAAGGGATGGGTGTTCAAATTACCTGATGACTACAAGGTCAACTAGATTCCGGAAAGAGAGTTCATAGAGGTTATAGCTAGCATTATCTTCATCCAGACCATGTAATTCTATCCACATTTCAATGAGGGCCGTGGCAGGAATTCTTCTGTCCTCAGGGAACAACCCTAGATCCATGTAGCACTCCTTGATTGATTGTTTATTATCCAAGGCATCTACACTCTTCTGGAGACAGTCAAGTACCTCTGAGTTTTCAAGGAAGGAAGCAGTCTTTGAGCATTCCTTGGCTCTTTTGCGCCACTCCACTGCAGGTTTCCTGAGTAAGGATTTCCCCACCACAGAAATCAGTAGTGGAAATCCCTTGCAGCTTTTCACTATCTGCAAAGCACAAAGCAAATCAATAATCTTCTGCTATTCATTCTAATTCAGTGGAAAATTACACATCCATGATTGCCAGTGAGGAATCTACCTTCTCCAGAACTTCTTGATCTGGCTCGTACGAGTTCCCCTCTTGAGGGAAAGCTGACTGACGAAAGAGGTCCATGGCATCCGTATCACTCAACGTCTGTAATTTGTACGTAGAGCCGAATGATTTGAACTCATCTCTAGAGGTGACCAAAACTTGGTAATTGGTCATCTTAAAGTAGAGCTTCTCGAGAATAGACTCTGATCCTGACCAGACATCATCAAGAACCAAAAGTGTAGGCTTTCCATCCATATCCTTGATCAAGCATTCAAGTTTGTTGACTGCATCTTCATCACTTTGAAACCCAGGCACCCGACAACCCAAACGCTGAAAAATATTCTGCGCAATCGTCAGTAGGTTGGCTGCTTTCGAGACGGTTATATAGATGATGTTGTCCTCATACCTAACTGTCCGCAGTCATAAAACACATCTAATAACTTCAGAAGTAGCATAATTTTCCAGTTCTGTACATCGAAAATGAAAAGGGAAGAGGAACCAAATTTGAAGTGCTGCACATAAATGCATAATACTACAATATCTCAGGAAAAGTCACCAGTTGCAGTTCAAATAAGTCCACGAGTAGCGGCATTTTCCATTTTTGGACAATACCAAAAAAAATGAGAGGAAATGTGAACTGCTGCATAACAATCCTTCAACCTAGAGCTTTAACTAGATGCAAAATATAGTTCCAGACTGGATAAATAGTCAACATACAAAAGCTCCCTTTTTAAGTAAGAAAGATTCACCTTTTCACTTCATAATTTCCTATAAATGGTTAAAAAACATATTCTTCCAAGACCCCAGTGTAAAAAAGATTTTCCTACCTTGGTCAATACATTCCCTTTTATGGAAGCAGTTTCGCAATCGGAAGTAAGAGAATCCAAGTATCAAACCCCATTGGAGTAGGAAAGATTCAGTTTCAAATTCCTTCATGACTTCCTGTAAAAGGTTTAAAAACATATTCTTCCAAGATCCCAGCAGCAAAGATTTGTCTACTTTGCCTATCTAGCAACTCAAAAAATCCCCTTTCACATGCTTGTGCTATTAAAAGTGAGAGAATCGAACACCATATCCTTCATCCAATCAACCAACAACGTAGACAATCAAAACAGGAAAACCCCAGGTCACACCATTAAGTGGTCCAAAACTAACAAGTTCCCAGTAAAGAAAAGAAATCAAGGTACCTTTCACTTCTTGATCATGGCAAAACGCAGTGGCCAAAGTGGTCTTCCCACATCCCCCAGGAGCAGAAAGCACCAGAAATGGAACCTCATCATTCACCATCTTCTTCTTCAACTCCCTCAATGGAATCTCCAATCCAACGGGAACCACTTTCAGCATAGGCGCCGATGAGAACCCACCTCCAACCGCCCCAAAACTTCCCCCCGAGTAACCATAACCAGCTGCAGCCGCCCCCATGCTCATCTGCCGCACTTGGTTGCTCAGCTGCTTCACCTCGAACAGAATCTCCTTCCCGTCCGCCACCTGATGAAGCTGCAGCACAGTGGTGTTGTACCTCTTGAGCTTGTCCTCCAGCTTGAGAAGCTTCCTCGAATACACGGGCTTCCTCATCACGTCATACCGCTTGATCTTTGCAGCCTTCTCCACCAGCTCTGCACCCTTTTGCAGAATCGCCTTCAGCCCATCTATCTCTTCGGGACGGTCGAAATCCCTGTTGTACGAATCGATCGTCTTGATTGCTGGAGCCATGGACCGCAAGGTCTGCTCCAGCCGCTGGAAAGTCGAATTGAAGGTGGTGTTTTTCCTCGACACGTTTAGAATTGCATTCAGGATGTGCTCGAAGAGAATGTTGAACCCGGCTCCGGCGGACGCCGAGCCGGTCGATTGAATGAAGGAAGAAGACATGATTTCGTCTCGAGCGGGAAAGGAAAGAAAAGGGGTAAAAGAAGAATGAGAGCAAATCGAGGCTAGCCGGCAACTGGGTTGTGGCCGAAACGAGGGATTTTGACTACGATTTCATCCATTTGAAGTAAAGATTGGAACTTGAGAGGTGGGAGCTGAATTTCGGCTTGTTTAGGGTGTGAGATTGGAGGAAGCATGGAGGAAATTGATCACACGGGAAAGACAAAGGAAGACTTAGATGAACGAACGGGAAAAGGAGGAGTGAAGAGGGGTTTAAGGAATTGTATATTGGAGACCTGCGTTTACTCGCTCGTTGACGAGGTTGAGAGATGCTTTTCGTCGTTGGTTGTTCCGCGGTGGTGGTTAACTAAACGCCGTTCTGATTCGGTGATTGTGTGCGCGGGAGTTGACGGGGAAGACGACGAAAGCAAGCAGGACGTTATCTTTTATCTGTTTTTTTTTTTTTTTTTGGGTTGTTTTTTTCCCTCTCTTTTTTCTACAGAACAAACTTCCATGGAAGTTCCTAGGGGGAGCTAATTCGCCGGCAGATATATATATATATATATATCCTGTATTTCCGGTCAGAGTTTTTTGTTTGATTTCTTTTGGTTTGCTGTCAATTCAACCTAGAATTTACCAGGAGATGACGGATTTCAACGGCCGGCGAAGTTGCAGTCAAATGTTTTACCAGAGTAACCGTGATTTACACTTCACTGCGTATACTTGGGCCCAGGAGAGGAGTTATAGTTTTTTTTAGGAAGGAGAATCTTGTATTTGCACCCACATGATCTGAACACTTGATCTAAAAACTGTACGTACATCCAGAATCCCTCTTGCTTCCAAATCAAACATAGTATCAACAATATCAGAATCAGCTCGTCCAATCACAACGAATTTCATGGCGATTTGAGCAAACCAATGTCGTATGTAGCCTCCTAGGGACTGGTCAAAGACATCCAAACACAGTGAAGCTCGTAAATGGGATTACACGGTGGTGGACAAGGTTGTGAAATGGATTGCTCCGAGCTGAAGGGCCAGAGGGAGCCGAGGCAGAGAGATCGGGTCCATGAGAGCAGAAGATGCAAACCGAGCCACCTAACTCCGAGGAGACACTGAGCATCCGTGCACCCAGTCGGAGAAGACTCTACCCTCCACGATCCGACGACCGACCAAACAGCAGACAGACAACCAGGGGATGTCCGATGGGGAAAGCAAAGAATGGCTTTCACCGAAATTCGATGAACCCACACAAACCTAGGAATACAACCACACCCCATATATTGGAATGAGGTTCTCAAACTGCAAAACTCCATATCCCAGGATGTGCAAGCCCAGAACATGAAAACCCTAAACTGAATGGAGAAGAAATTGAAAAGCCACAACGACTCGAGAGAAAACAAAAATGAGACTGAAAATTCTGGTAGCAAAAAAACACCTAGCACAAAGATAAGAGGTGGGAGAGCAAAGAAAATGAAGAAAAGGAATTTGGACTACTATGTAGTCATTAGAAGGTGCTGACGACTGCCCCTGTAAGAAAGAAAGAAAGAAAGAAAGAAGAGAAGTAGAGAGACGGGAGAGCGGAATTTGAAATAAAGGAGAAGAGAGCGCGAGTACATTCAAACTGTGAGATGTAATTTGAGGAGTTATAGGCTTGATGTAGGCAATTTTGCTATTATGCTGCTTGTGAGAAAGTGCTCACAACGATGTGCATATGTCGAATTGGGAGAGATGTGAGAAATTGTGAGCACGTTCTCACATAGAGCATTATAGTTGGGTTGTGACCGTCTAGAGATTAATGTACCAAAAACTTGATAAAAACCAAGTCCTTGGGGGTTTATTGTATTGTTAATATTAGAATAATTATTGTTTGAGTTAATAATAGTCCATTAGTATTAGGTTATTTATCGTTTTTCCCAATCTTTACCTTATTGTCCTTGTTACAATTTTCATTACAAACCAATTCTCATCCCACAAGTGGGGATAAAAGATTATAGATGCATTGAGACCCTAATACAAATCTCATCCTTTTAAATGAAATTGTCAAGTTCGTGAGGTTCATAGATTCGGACCCTCAAAATCCATTGGATCCACGAATTTATCCCTCGAAATTTCATCAAGCAAACAATAGATTGTATCCAGAATTTATGAGGATTGGATTTTATATACTAAATCGATGATGAACGAGGCTTAGAAGATGTGCATATGCTTCTTTTGATTAAGTATAAACATATAATTCGATACAAAGTTGGAATCTTAATTTGCACTAGAGATCAACAATCACAAGTCCCAAACTATAAACTTTTGAAAAATGTTTTCTTAACAATTCACATAGTTCGAATTTTTCTGATTATTTGAAATGTAGAGATTTTGGACTCCAATTTTCCAAATAACCTCTGAGTTAATTTTGCATTTCTCTTCATCTTAAATTGTTCATTTTCTATTTTTCTTTTATCTTCTCCTGCAACCTTCAATGCAAAATAGTAAAATACAATAATACAATGGAGTCACTTGCAGTGGAGGACATAATTTCACAAGGACTAGTTATAACATATCCTTGAGGTTCCATATATTTTCGTACCATACATATATGAGGAGAAAGCAACAAATTTGGAAAAAACAATTTCAACTTGACATGTAATAGCAATAATATATTTATTTATTATTGATAAAAGTAAAATTATTCTGCGAACTGTTATTCGTTATCACTGCACGTTTGTATATATAGTTCATGATATTGTCCTTCTTCTTCTTCTTACTTCATGCCATAACCTCCACTGGTATTTGAAGCCGCGCCATAGAATCTTTGCTCACTCGTCTACTCTTTTTGTTTCGCGCCATCGATCGAGGGTTTAGATTTCTTCGCTACAACATGAATAAAAGAAAATACGAGGTCATCAAAACACATACCAGAAAAACATCGAGTTTAGAAATACACACAAACTAAAATACACTCAGGGAAAAAAAACGAAACCTATATAGCATCATTGAGCAGTGGGCTATAAATTGTTCTTATTATTGGGACAGTTTTTCTGAAGGCGAACTGTGGGAGAGATCAGATGGCTGTAAATTATGTTTGTGATCTCTCTGACCGGCACTTTCATATTTGGTGGGTTGGTTGCGATAGAACAATTCGGCTGTAAATATGATGTTCATATTTATGATTAAATTAAACACTAATTATTTTCCAAAATATTTTCATACTTAGAATTTGAAGAACAATATTGGTTTGGAGTTTATGTATCATAGAATTAATGTCTTTTTTTTTTTTGAGATTGAGCAGAGAGTTAGGATTTAAAGTTTAAATTAATAAATTTAGACATTATAAAAAAAATCAATTTAGTTATATTGTCAAACTCTAATTTAGCTTTTATGATCTAAGCTAAATTCAAAAATGATAATTGAGATTTAAAGTTTTTGAACTATAGATTGTTAGAAAAACTCTATGACACTCATTTTATTATGCCCTTTACAACTAAAAAGTATAATTTAAATAAAAACAATTGTAAAAAATTCCGACCAACCGGCCGGGTCAAAAAGCTAGTTGTGATTGAAGTGGTGTCAAACATAGTAACAATAATAATCTTCATAAAAATTAGAGCAAGAAGAATCAAAGAATAAATCACCAATAAAACACCAATCAAACTGTATTAAAACATAATAGAATCCTAAAATAACACTTAATCTTACAACACAACTATTTCATCAATACAATCCATAGACAAATTTGTAATACATATCCATTTGAATACAACCACAAGTCCACAACTACCAAACAATCCCTTGCTTTCAACACTAATGGTAACCCAAATCCGGGGGAGTAGGATGCGAAAGACTACATTGCATTATATTCCCGCTGAGTTGAGTGTGAGAGAGATTACAGTAAGGTACTGTATGCAGATTAATTTGATCAAGAAGTGAACTAAATAATGAGACACAAACTGATGATTCCACTGGTCGCGATCCATATTAACAACATTGCAGACTCTAATTTGATGAGGATTTCATGTGTTTCTGCCTCAGATGTGACCCCTCCCTGAGATTAAACCTCCTCAGTTGGTTCATCGCTGCTCCTAAGGAACCAAGCTTGCATAGCTAATTCATACATTTCGTTGAACTGCAGAAAGATTCCAGCATGCCACCAATATTTGGGACAACTTCAACAGCACAGACTTGTGTTGCAAGCAGCCAACCCAACGTGGAAACCATGACGATAATGTCGCATATGCTGTACAAGTATCATAAAAAACTTACATGGCCAATAGGGAGAATCAGGCTGATGAATAGTTTAACCCTGCACCAGAGCGATTGGGACGATTTCAGCATTTGGGTATTTAGTTCCTGCTGCTTTCATTGGGAAGTCGTTTCCTTGGTGGTCAATGCTCCCTTTTTGGTTTCCAAGATTGGCCAATTCTCTCAACAGACCTTGCTCCACGATAAACCGTTGATCATCCAAGAAGCAATCTCTACTGGTCTCACTGATGGAACAAAAAACCATAAGATTGCTGAAAGTTGAAAACTTTTAACATCTTTGAATAATTTGTTGTCGTGAAAAAATCAATAAGACATTTCACATACCTAGGAAAATCGACTGAAATCTGACAAGAGACCTGGTGTGAATCGACTATGGCATCACCCTCAACTGACTTGTGCAGTTCTATCTTCATGTCAGCAAGGGTAGCATTAGGAGAATTTTGGGTCATTTCTGAGAATGAACCTTGGTCCACCCAGTATCCCTCGGCTTTGCTTTCAAAAGATTCTTGAGTCTCAAAATTAGAAGAATGTGCAGATTCAGAACATTCCTTAGCTCTCTTACACCATTCCGCAGCAGGCTTCCCTCGTAGTGAGCTCCCGCTCCTTGCAATTGCTTTTGGGTGCCCTGTGCATGCTCCTTGCAATTGCTTTTGGGTTACTTCAGAGAATGAACCTTGGTCCACCCAGTATCCCTCGGCTTTGCTTTCAAAAGATTCTTGAGTCTCAAAATTAGAAGAATGTGCAGATTCAGAACATTCCTTAGCTCTCTTACGCCATTCCGCAGCAGGCTTCCCTTGTAGTGAGCTCCCGCTCCTTGCAATTGCTTTTGGGTACCCTTTGCATGCTTCAACAATCTGCAATTCAGAACCAAACAAGATTATCTCTTTGCAGGCTGTACCAGCCAGCTAAGCAGAGTGCGGAGCAGTGCTATCTAACTACTGTTGATGCCCCGAAACTTATACTACATGTATATCATTCTAAGCACAGGGTTCCCAGCCACATATTGAGTTCAAGTAGCTAATGGTCAATCAGAATGGAGACTACCAGCCAAAATGTTAGCAAACATCCATGCTTAAGATCCTGATTGACCAAATATGTTTGTATAAATATGCATGTCAGGCACCTCGCTTCAGTCAGAGGCAAAAATCAAAACCGAAGAATGACAACTACTAGATACAGAATGTTCATGTAATATGTGTTGCTTGTTACCTTGCTCACAACAGCTTGATCTGGAATAAATGTGTTACCATCATTCGCGAATGCGGTATTATGGAAAACAGCCAAGGCATCTTCATGGTTCAAGGGTTTCATTCTGAAAGTGGAACTAATTCTGGGGAACTCGGAACTAGAGGTCGCCAAAATCTGGTAGTTCTTTATTTGGAACTTGATCCTCTCTAGAAGAGATTCCGATCGGGACCAAACATCATCAATTACCAACAGAACAGGATCGGGTTCTATCCTCCTCATCAGGATCTCTAGTTCAGAAATTGCGTCCTCGTCACTATATAGTTCTTCAGTCAGCGAGCAATTGTAGTGCTGATGAAGTATTCCCACTATCGCCACCAAGCAAGGACTTGTCCCAAATGTGACAAACAGAACATTGCCCTTGAACTTGTCTGTACCAAAATCAATCAAATACATGTCAAGCAGAGAAATGGGTGGTCTATTTGAGAAAAGTTATTGTAAAGTTGGTTCTATAAGTTAGTTTAAGTTCAGATTTTTGAAACTAACAAATCCTCCAAACCATTTTGGTTAGATTTGAAGCTATGGGGATCAGTCACTTCCATCCACTTTGCATCTAAACAGAGAAATTATCAAATTTCTACTATTCAGATGATCTAAATTCAATCTAACATCAAATTCAATACCATATTTCAATCTAACATCAAATTCAGTACCACTTTGCAGTTAGCTTACCTCGAACCTCCCGGTCATGACAGAGTGCCGTAGCCAGAGTGGTCTTCCCACACCCTTGAGGAGCAGAAATCACAACAAGTGGAAGCTCATTTCTTAACAGTTCTTCCTTCAACTCCTTCAACGGACTCTCCAACCCAATTGGCACCACTTTCAGGTCGGGAGGTGAGCACAGACCCTGCACAACTCGAGGGAGGGACTTCCTGACCTGGTTGCTCAACTGTTTCACTTCAAAAAGGGTCTCTTTCTGGTCTGCAAACTGAATGATCTGCATAACGCTGCCGATATACCGAGGGATCTCGTCGTTCAACTTGAGAAGCTTCTTGGCGTGGAAATACCTCTTGTAGATATTGTAACGCCAGATCTTGGAGCATTTGCGGACCAATTTCTCCGCCTTCGCCATCAGCTCCTTGAGATCGGTCATCTCGTCGGGCCGATCGAACTCCCTGTTGAAAGCGTCGATTCTCTTGATATCGGGGGTCAGATCCTTCACGGTTGCTTCCAGGAGCTCGAGGGCCGGATCGAATTGGGAGTTGGTCTTCTTCACCTCGAAGATTCCTTTGAGGAAAGTGCCGAAAACTAGCTCCAGTCCAGCTCCAGTAGCAGCGGAAGCCACGAAGGAAGCAGCAGCAGCCATAGTTTTCCCCTTTTGCTCGGCGACTGAGGGAGCTAGCTGGGAAAAGAACTCGACTTTCGGCGAGATTACGAGCGCAACGACTTGGGGAATTGATTGAGCGCGAAAACAAATCGTGGGTTGTTGGTGAAAGTGTTGGGAGATGGATACCCAGAGTAGGGTTTCTACCTTCTGATGATGCAGAGATGCCTTTGACCGAAATAAGCCTTCGTGCGGAAGGTGTTTAGTTCTGTACCTAACGAACAATGGTCGTCTAGCCTTGGCCCCTGGCCCGCCGTGTACTGATGTGACTGCTGCCGATTTGGGATTTTCCCGGAAAGCTCTTCCGTCTGTCGTTGAATGTGGCTAATCGGAACACGATGACAATTGACAAAGCTGTTTGTCAACTTTTTAACCTTTCGACACAAATAGTGATGGCAATGGGCGGGGCAGGGTGGGTACGATGGCAATGGGTCGGGTTGGGTCGGGTTTTGCCAAACCCAAACTCAAATCCATGGGTTTATTCTTGAAAAAAACCCGGGGTAAAACCCATTGGGTTTGAAAAACTCTAACCCAACCCAACCCGCTAGGTATCCACGGGTTCATGGGTATCCACGGGTTTTTGTCGTAAAAATTTACAATAACAAGTTTCTATCAAAATTAAAGTCAAATATCAATCTCTCAATACAAATTATCCATATATAAAACACCATTCTAGAAAATTCAAGAAAATCACAAATTAACTATACAAATCTTTCAATACCAATTTAGAAAACTCAAGAAAATTGAAGCAAATCACAAATTATCCATAAATAACATGATTAATTGATAGTTTCTTCCTTTCGATTAAGTTTTTTCACTCTCTACTTGATAACATCAACTTAATTCTACACAATTAGAAAGAAAAAAATTAGACATGTCTCCACAAACATAAATAAGATTAGTTGCTTAGGATATCAAATATATCGAAAAAATTAATTATATAGGTGTGGGCGGGTACCCACGGGTCGGGTTTACCTAAACCCAAACCCAACCCAACCCAATGAATAGTGAACGGGTTTAAACCCAAACCCGGCCCAAAACCCGTCAACACGGATTTTACCCGCGTTGACCGGGTTGGGTCGGGTGGGTACCCGTGGGTTCGGGTTTTGTTGCCATCCCTACTGGGTACCTCAATTCTCATGTCCCGTCTTACGCTACTACGGGTCGGGGTGGGTAAAACCCGCGTGGGTACTGGGCGGGGCGGGTCGACCCACTCTTACATGTTGTTCAAAAAAGGTTATAGGTATAATATGCCCCTCTACTATGACGTTTTATCAAACATGCCCCTCTATTATTTTTTACATAAAATATGCCCCTATACTTTGAAAAAATTATCAATCATGCCCTTCTGTTAAAATTTCCATTGAAAAAATCGTCATGGTTGAATTGAGATTTAGACGACCCGACATCGGCAAATGGGAGGAAAAATGTCAGTTTTGTTCCCTGTTTTATTTCACTGGGTCTTTTTAAAGTGAAATTATTTGAATAATTTGATTATACAAAAGAACCAAAAAAATTATAAAGTGAATTTATTAGGGATATTTTAGTCATTGGTGTCGCCCAAACTAAAGTTCGGCCTTGGTTAACGGTTTTTTGATGAAAATTTTAACAAAAGAGCATGTTTGATCATTTTTACAAAGTACAGGGGTATGTTTGATGTAAAAAATAGTAGAGGGACATGTTTGATAAAACGTCATATTAGAGGGGCATATTATACCTATAACCCTTCAAAAAAAGGGCATTGCTATTCGTCGCCCTAAAATTTCTTATTCGTTGCCCTAATTCAGTCAAATTTACTTTAATGTCCTTAAATCATTTATTTATCTTTCAAACACTTATCTCAACTTAAACTCATATATTGCACCAAAATTAACAAAATATAAGGAAAGAAACAACAAAATAAACCTCAAAATAAACTCAGCGACGGTGACAACCTTTCTATGGCCATATGATCAATGCCCTTGACCTCAGTTCCACCCTTGCTAGAATGCTGTGTGTTTTTTTTTTTTGTGTGTGTATTGCTGATATATATAAACTGGGTTCAACTGAAATTAGCAACTTGACTTTGAATCAGTGAGAATAAGAAATATATTGGTACTCTTAAATTTATTGAGCAAATTTGAGTAGTCAAAAAGCACCAAGTCACCAACTTTATCCACTGATCGAGTAGGAACTCTTCCTTCCTCTGCAGCCACGGTGGCGACGGGAGGCAGATCGCCGTCGGGCAGGAGCAGGGCAGCCGGCTTCCTCCATCCCTCCGCACTCGAGTAGTAGCAGCTGGAGCAGGTGGCAGGGTTAGAATTATAATTGAGTTGAGGGTATATATGTCAATTTGCTGTGTTTTAGGGCTATAAAATTTGAATTTTAGGGCGACAAATAGCAATTCAGCAAAAAAAATACAAGTAAAACTTACTTTTTACAATAAACGTAGGAAAAACACTTTAAAAATGAAAAATATTGATAATAGAATGGATAAGTGAGTCTAACAAGTTGAAAGATCGACTCTAACTAGTTGAAGAAAAGTCAAAATAGGAGAAATATGTATAGATATTGTAAGAAATTGAGAAAAAATGGGTCTAGAACAGGGCGGGGCGGGGCAGATCGAAAGTAGATACCCATGCCCCGCCCACGCTACTGCGAATCGGGTAATATCCGCTCTATCGCGAGTCAGGTCAGATAATACCCGCAGAAGCGGGTTGAAATTGCCATCACCAGACACAAAAGGTCTCTAATGCAAACCACGCGCTAAAAAAATAGATGACTAAAACGGAATATACGCTTTCAATCTCAAATTATTGGGCTAGTTTATTGGGCTCATATGTAGGCCCATAGTTCTTTTAGTACCAAACCAGAACAATTTGCCGCCCAGTCGGGCATCCGCTGTTCTTCATCACCATCTCTCTTCGTTCCCTCCAAAAGAAGTATGCGACTCCATGCCTCCAAATCCTTCCGTTCGTCTTCTGTTTTCCCGCTCAACAAGATCTTCAAATCCTCATTATCCTCGCAGTCCCAACCCCAGAAGCCTCTAGCTCCACAAAGCTTCATCAGATCAAGCGCCGGCAAAGATGAACCCGTCGCTCGCTTATGCAGGGAGAACAGATTCAAAGAAGCAATTGACCTCTTGTGCGAGCAAAATCGTGCCAACGATGCAATTCAACTACTTAACCGGATGGATAGACCTTCAGCTGCTATCTACTCAGCTGTTATACAGTCCTGCTTGAAGACGCGGTCCTTGGAAGACGGGAGGAAGGTTCACCAGCACATAAAACGATCTGGGTTTGTACCTGGTCAGTTCATCTCGAATCGGTTGCTCGACATGTACGTGAAATGTGATGGCATGGAGGACGCAAAGAACCTGTTTGACGAAATGGGTCAGAGGGACTTGTGTTCGTGGAACGTTTTGGTGTCTGGGTACGCGAGATTGGGGTTGCTGCAAGAGGCGAGGAAACTGTTCGATGAAATGCCTGACAAAGATAATTTTACTTGGACCGCAATGGTTTCGGGCTATGTGCGTTACGATAGGCCGAACGAGGCGTTAGATTTGTGTAGAATGATGAGTCGGTGTCAAAACTGGCAGGGGAATAAGTTTACAGTTTCTAGTGCTCTTGCTGCTGCAGCGGCAATCCCGTGTTTAAGAATAGGGAAAGAGATTCATGGTCATATAATGAGAACTGGGTTGGATTCGGATCAAGTAGTGTGGAGTTCTCTATCTGATATGTACGGAAAATGTGGGAGCATAGAGGAAGCAAGGCATATTTTTGACAGGATGGTGGATAGAGATGTTGTGACTTGGACGACAATGATTGGTAGGTATTTTGAGGATGGTAGGAGAGATGAAGGGCTTCATCTGTTCAAGGACTTAATCAAGTCAGGAACACAACCTAATGAGTTCACTTTTGCTGGGGTTTTGAATGCTTGTAGTGATGTGACGGCCGAACAGCTTGGGAAGCAGGTTCATGGATACCTAACGAGAATCGGCTCAACCCCATTCTATTTTGCAGCAAGTGCACTCGTTCACATGTATTCCAAATGTGGTAGCATGGTCAATGCTGAAAGAGTGTTCAAAGGGATGCTGCAGCCGGATTTGGTTTCTTGGACTTCTTTGATTGCTGGGTATGCCCAAAATGGGCAGCCTAATGAAGCTCTTCACTACTTTGAGCTGCTGCTAAACTCTGGTAAAGTCCACCCCGATCACATAACTTTTGTTGGAGTTCTATCTGCCTGTGCTCATGCCGGGCTAGTTGATAAAGGGCTTCAGTACTTTTACTCAATAAAGGATAAGCATGGCCTGACTTACACGGCTGATCACTATGCTTGTATTATTGATTTGCTGGCACGCTGTGGGAGATTCGAAGAAGCCGAGCGTATAATTAGTGGCATGCCTATAAAGCCTGACAAGTTCCTTTGGGCTTCCTTGCTTGGCGGTTGTAGAATCCATAAGAACGTCGAGCTTGCAGAAAAGGCTGCAGAGGCATTGTTTGAGATAGAACCTGAAAATCCTGCTACTTATGTTACAATGGCCAACATTTATGCCACTGCTGGTAAGTGGGCTGAGGTTGCTAAGATTCGAAAGATTATGGATGACAAAGGGGTGGTGAAGAAACCGGGTAAGAGCTGGATCGAGCTCAAGAGAAAGACCCATGTGTTCTTGGTTGGAGACAAGTCTCACCCGAAATCGAAACAAATACTCGAGTTCCTTGGGGATCTCTCCAGAAGAATGAAGGAAGAAGGGTTTGTTCCTGACACAAACTCAGTGTTGCATGACGTTGAGGAAGAGCAGAAGGAGCAAAACCTGTCTTACCACAGCGAGAAGCTTGCGATTGCATATGGGGTTATTTCTACTGCAGCCGGAACACCGATCAAAGTTTTCAAGAACTTGAGGACTTGTGTAGATTGTCACACAGCAATCAAGTTCATATCAAAGATTGTAGAGAGGAAAATAGTGGTGCGAGATTCAGCTCGGTTCCATTGTTTTGAGAATGGTAGTTGTTCATGCAGAGACTACTGGTGATTCAACGAGACAGCTCGACTCCCTTGAAACAATGGATATCCGGGGGGGAAGGTGTAATTAGTTGGTTTAAGAGTCATCTTTCACAGCTGAATCATGTGGTGGAACTCAGCGTGTGAACATCTGCCATCTTCAACCTCTCTGTAAAGTTTATGGGGCAATGCATTGTTTTCTATCGTTCATTTTCTGAGTGAGTGAAAGTGCATCAGCTGAGAAGGAAACTGATGCTTGTTCATTTCAGATTTGGCCCAGTTGTGTACTGTATCGTTGCATTGATAACAAGATATGTCAATTGTGGGGGGGACAAAAGAGCTGAATCTGAGATTTTCTTTTTGGTTGTTTGCTTCTCTGCATCTTTGAACAGCTGTTCGTGGCCTTCTTGTCAACGGTATGTCTTCTTAGGAGGAACTTGAAACTGGGTCAGTGGCGGACTACTGCAAGTCTGCAACTGGAAGCCTTCGTCACATCATGCTTCAAGGCTCATGCTGCCTGGTTTCTTTGGTCTCCGACTATGTTTAGAGTAAGCTTTTGATGTAACACTAGGTCGAAAGCCCGCTCGAGGAGTTCAATTCTTGTTTTATCAAGTTTTGTGTTTTTTTTTTCTTCCTCCAAAATTGGAAGTAAATCGGTTGAGCACAGTCACGTTGAAATTATTGAGTCGAATTCCCATTAAAACACTATAGTTATGACTTACGAGTTGTAAGAGAACACTGGACTCGATGACCGATGAGGTCTTACGTTCGAGAATTAAAGTCTATGCAAGAACAAAGCAATTATTTGAGTAGTCGAAAGGTTCACAAAGATTGTCGATTGATAAGTATTTGAAACTGGAATACACCTAACAAACTAACACCTATTCAAAGATATGATCACAATTAAGAATATATGCAACAAGAACTACATCCAAGAGATTAATTACAATTAAGAATCAATATACAACGAAGGACAAAGAATCCTAGCGGGAGGATAAAGATTAAAGAGCATCCTAGCTACATGGAATCCAGCTTGGCGTTCAGCAGCACCAGCTGATCCTTCACTTCCAGCATCTGATTCACTAACTCATCCGCCCAACAAACCGCATCCACGACCTGCAGCTTCTCCAACGACCCCGCCACCGCCGCCAGCCGCTTCGCGAACCGACGCTTCTTGCGGAGGTTCCACCACCGGAGCCTGGTGCAGTCCACCATCAGCTCGTCGGTCTTCTCCAGCAGCTCGATCAGTGTCGTCTCCTCCTCTCCCGAGTACAAATGACCCATCTGGCTGAACTTGCAGCTCAGCTCGCCCACTCCTTCGGCCAGGGTCTCCACCACGAACCACAGAGTGGAGACCCGGGTCACGGAAGGTTTCGTGCAGCGCTTGATCGCGCTGCACAGCTCCTGCAAGAGCACTCCAAGAAAAGCGCCGGGCAAAAGGTTTGGATCCATATATCTCGTGCTCTGTCCTTCATCCACTCACCCTCAGCTTATAATTATAACAGGTAATTTCTTGCTAATTTCTCCTCAACGCGTAAATGCGGCAGAGCTATGGTGATTACTGATGAGTCGTAATTTCTGAGCAAAATGTGTATGTGGAAAAAAACGAAAGAAAACAAAAAAGATTGAGGATGGCAAATGAAAGGCGATTATGTAAGGATCTAGAAGGGATTCTGGCGAGTTTATTGAGATTTTGGAAGAGAAGAGAGTTTACAGCGGAAGAAGAAAAGTCTGAATTGTTTATCTAACTAATTAATTTGGTAAAGTTGTTACAATAGAGATGATTGGTCAAAAACTATCCAATGAACTCCCTTCTCGGTCAAGACAGCCTACCACGCTGTTCATAATGCCAATAATAGTTTCCAGGCAACGGGCAGTGAAGAGAAGTGGAAATGGATCTGGGGACTGAACATCCCACCAAAGCTAAAATTCTTCATCTGGAGGTGTTCCAGAAACGGGCTGGCAACGAGAGCAAGACTCTTCCAAAGGAGATGTGCTCCTAATCCAAACTGCCATGTGTGTCAGAACCCTAACGAATCCCTCAACCACTGCCTTTTCTACTGCCCTCATGCCAATGAGGCCTGGAATAGCACCTTCCCATCAATTCCGTACCCTCCTCAGGGCACCTCGTTCTTTGATTGGTTTTGCTCCCTCAAAGATACCATCCCTCAAAACTCCCTCATTCACATTATCTACCTTTGCTGGAATATTTGGAAGGCAAGAAATGAAAGCACTTTCAAGAATCGCGTTCCCTGGCCCCCTAACGTTTGTCTGCAAACCTATAGAGAGCTCACGGAATGGGTTGCTTGCCCGAGGCCCCCACCTCAAGGTTCTGATGGTCCCAATCAGCTCAGGGGATCCCACCCCACTACGAATCCACCGCCAAGTAATCACTCGAGAGTGATTCAATGTGATGGGTCGTTCTTTAGCGACCCCCAGTCGGCGGCATATGGTGTTGTTGTTGTTAACCACCATGGACAAGTGTGTGATGGGAGAGCTGAAAATCTTCTTTGTTCCACCCCGATTGAAGCGGAAGCTAAGGCACTTTTGGAAGGAATTAAATTAGCACAAGAATATGGATCAGTGTGTACAGTTCAATCTGACTGTCAGGTTCTGGTGAAGGCCTTGAATATTAATCACTCACGATGGCCCTGGAGATGCGCAGCCTGGATTAGAACAATGGTTAATATCCTCAGGACTAACCCAGCAATTTCGGTGGAAGAGATTCCGAGGGCATTGAACGTCAGAGCTGATTGGGTTGCACGATCAAAAGCAAAATCTTCTCTACCAGAAGACTGGATTAATATTCTTGATCTAATTTCTGTTCTACTCTAAAAAATGTAATAGCTAGTGCGTGGAGGTTGTTTACGGTGGAATAAAAGTCGATATGATTTGTCAAAAAAAAAAAAAAAAAACTCCCTTCTTCTGCTATTTATATCTTCATCCCTGCTCCACGTCACCATCCAGTTGGCACAGGCTGTTACAGATTATCGGCCGATGCAAAGAAAACCATCCACTTAAAATTTGGGGAAGAAGTCTGATGAGTGATGACTAAAAGGTTACTTGGGTAAGACTCTAATAGCCGTAGATCTTATTGTTAATCAAACGGTGTTGGTGCTTTTTAGAGAAGCAGGGTCGTTACTGTCTTCTGCTGCTAACTAATTTGATTTTTATGTTTTTAAATTGGGAGAAATGAAACGAAATCAGTCGTTTCCTCTCCGAATTGACTTTGTATTGTATGTTCGTTTCCATACTAGTGACTGAAGACGATCGCCTGATTCATACAGAGACAGAGAGAAACTAGAGGTGTTAATTGGTTCGATTTTGGTTGGGTTAATACCTTATTTTGGCATGAACTATGACCATATAATCAATTTTGACCTGTGGTTTCAGAAACTAATATCCTGGTCTCAACTATGTAACATAAAGACTCAATTGGCCCGACACCTAGTTTGACCGTCAATTTGGATGACAACACCATTAACCGTTAGTCAACATGCCATGTCATTGCCTCGTCAGTCTAAAAAATATTAAAAATATTCAAATTCCAATTTTTTTTAATTTTTATTATTTATAATCAAATTACAAAAAATAATTTATAAAAAACATAAAATAATTTTTTTTAATTTTTCTGTAATTTGAAAATGATGAATTTTATAAATTATCAAATTATTTTATTTATTTAACATTACCCAAAAATAAAATATATAATTTATATATTTAACATTACCCAAAAATAAAATATATCATTTATATACTATTTTTAAAATTTATAAAATTTAATTTGAAAATTTTTGGTAAATTTATAAAATTTATCATTTTCAAATACCCAAACAATAAAATAAAAATTTTATTTATATTTTTTAAAATTTATTTTTTGGTTAATTTGAAAATGATAAATAATAGAAATTAGGAAAATAATTTGATTTTGTAAATAATTTTTAGGCTGACGAGGCAATGACATGACGTGTTGACTAACGGTCAACGGTGTTGACCATCCAAATTGACGGTCAAACCATGTGTCGGGCCAATTGAGTCTATATGTTGCATAGTTGAGGTCAGGATGTTAATTTCTGAAACCACGAACCAAAGTTGATTATATGGTCATTAATTCGGGCGAAAATAAGGTATTAACCCATTTTGCTTCGCGCATTTACCTTCTCCTCTCTAAGTTGGGTCCTTGACCCCGCTTAACTTGTACCCTCCAGGCTCCAACAGTCTAGAACAACCATTTAGCCTATTGTGTTCCCTTTTCCTATTCATTTTCATTTTTCACCATTCCACTGTAATCAGCCAAGTCATCGTACAAGGATGATAATGGGGCAGGTTTCTCTAAACCATCTCTATTTAAAAAAAAACCCAATTGTATAATTCCACATATTTTTGGGATTTTTTCTCAGAAATAGCACTGTTTAATTTTTTTCCCCAAAAATAGTACCCAACCCGGAAAATTTTCAAAAATAGCACCCTTTCCCAATAACCGCTACCCGAACCAGCGATTTAGGAAAAACCGCCACCCGGAGGCACGTTTTTTTTTATGAAAACCGCACGGGTTGGGTGCGATTTTGCAAACCTCATGGGGGCCGAGGCGGTTTGGTTGCAAACCGCAACCCCACCATGTGATTTGTCATATATATTTGTTTTTTTTTTCAACATAAGTATCATAAGTGGTCTTGGCACAACTGGTTTAGTTATTTATTGTGTGTAAGAAGTCCTGAGTTTGAATCCCCACCATCCCATTCGATTTTTTTTTTAGAGATAAAAAAAGCAACATGTTGTGAGAGTGGTGGTTCGAACCCAGATAAAAATAGTTTACTAAATTTAGCACAACATCTACACCACTTAACTAACTCTTCTCTTGAAACAATAATATATTGACAAAGTTTTATTCCTTGAAAGCTAAAAATCCCCAATAACTTTAAACAACCATAACTTGGCTCCAAAATCCAAACGTCATGAATTTTTTTCCCATTTCGTATAACTTTTTAAGGACTACAATTGTTACTAGGAATGAATTTTTAAAACAGGAAATATTTTTGGATATACAGGATTTTGGGAATAACTTACCTTCCCTTTTCAACAATCTACGTACATTTCGAAATTATGTCTATGATAAAAGTTCTAGTCCTTAAAAAGTTATGTAAAATGAAAAAAAAAATCATGTCGTTTGGATTTTGGAGCACAAAGTTATGGTTGTCCAAAATTTGAGGAAATCGGAAAAAAGCTCATTCGGGGTAGCAAACGATATTTTTTCGGGACGAAGGCGAGACCAAACCGCCTTTGCCTGTTTGCGGCTTGCAAGATCTCGAAAAGTTATGCGGAATAAAAAAAAATCGCGACGATCGGATACCCGAACACAAAGATACGTTCGTTTGAAGTTTCCACTTAGGTTAGGATTTTTTTTAAAAAAAAGAGAGATCAAAACCGCATGGTGGGGGTGCGGTTTGCAACCAAACCGTCACGACCCCATGCGGTTTGCAAAACCGCCCCCAACTTGTGCGGTTTTCATCGAAAAACGCGTCCCTGGGTGGCAGTTTTCTCTTAAACCGCTGGTTTGAGTGGCGGTTTTTGGGAAAGGATGCTATTTTTGGAATTTTTCCGGGTTGGGTACTATTTTCAATTTTTTTAAAGTGCTATTTCTCCATCGATAATTAAGTTTATTGATCTTATTCTCCACAGGTGATAAGTCCATTAATTAGGGTTTGGATTTCTACCGGTCGAGTTTTAATTATGGCCGTCGAAGTGCTGGGGATCGTTGTTAGTCTGGGAGTGGAGCAACCGATGATGGTGGATTGGGAGGAGGTTGAGGCGGCGGCGGCAATCAAGAGGGAGGATGTGGTGAGGGCAGTGCAGAGAGTGGTGGGCGACGAGGAGGTGTGTGAAGCGATGAGGAAGAGAGCGACGGAGCTCGTTGGGATGGCTCGGCAAGCGGTGGAGAGCGGCGGATCTTCTTATGAGAATGTTACGAATGATGGGGGTGCTCTATAGGGAGTTGAGAGACAAAGGAGGAGCAAGCTCGGAGGCGGCCTTGTAGGGCTTCGACGGCGACGAAGAGCGACGGGGTCTGGGATTTGGGTGAAAATTAGGCGGTCAATAATAGGGTTTGGGAGATTGAATGGGGTCGGAGTTAGGGAAGAAGAGGGGGAAATGACGTGGCATGTCTTTTTTATTTTTTCTGGTTAAAATAGGATGACTAAGCACCTCTGTTAGCCACTTCAGCAGTTAACTAACGATACTAACGGAGTTTGACGAATGTTAACGGAGAGTGACCAAAGTTGGACTGTTCAACTAATTTAAGTGACTACGAATGGAATAAACCAATTAGAATGACCAAACATAAAATTTTGTAGCAATTCGAGTGACCAAACTTGCAATTTAGCCAAATCTTTTTACACACAGTCCTTTCCTCTTCGAAATGACTCTGTATGTTCGTTTCCATACTCGTGACTGAAGACGACCGTCGGATTCATACAGAGAGATAGAGAGAAACTAGAGGCGTTAATTGGTTCGATTTTGGTCCGTGCCTTTACCTTCTCCTCTCTAAGCTGGGTCCTAACTTGTACCCTCGAGGCTCCAACATTCTAGAACAACCATTTAGCCTATTGTTTTCCTTTTTCCTTTTCGTTTTCATTTTTCACCATTCTACTGTAATCAGCCAAGTCATCGTACAAGAATGATAACAAGGCAGGTTTCTCTAAACCATCTCCATTTCAAAAAAAAAAAAAAAAACCAATTGTATAACTGCCACATATTCTTTTGGAGGAGACTTTGCAACTCCACCATCATCCCCATAATATTCGGATACTCTCTGCCATTACCCATCTCGTACATCCAACAAATATTTATATAAGTTTGAAAAATTGTCAAACTTTTAAAGATTGGTGTTCAATGTCATAATAACAAACTAACCACAAAACAATAATCCAATTCATTCATTCATAAAATATAACTAATAATCCACGTATATAATAGTTGTCCAAGGACCTGCGTCTCCAACAAAATTTGAACTTATGTAACCATCTTAATTTGATCGTTTAGTCCCTTATTTGTCTATTTTTTTTTTTTACAAAAGATAATCATATATTGATTCAAAAAAATAGTTACATCCTGGACAACAACCAGGCACAAAAGTCAAACAAACGAATCATAGCCGGGCACAAAGCGAGGGCCTTTCTAGCCACCAAATGGGCTGCCCTATTACTACTCCGACCAATGAATCGTACACTGAAACCCGGGCTAGAACCAACAGCATGTATTACTTCTTCCAGAACCGCGCCCAGCTGATTATCCCTAGCCTCCGCCTTGTTGATTTTATCAATGATCATCTTAGCATCCCCTTCAAATCTTACCTCTGTGAACCCATGGGCCAGACACCAAAAGATAGCCTCCCGGAGCAGTAGCAGTTCCACCACAGCAGGCTCATCAATCCCAGGGAACTGGATCCCACTCGCCAGGAAAACCGCCCCAGCCATATCATAGAGAACCCATCCTCCCGCCGAGTGAGACCCCTTCCTAGTAGCCCCATCCCATTGACACACAATCCCAGCACCAGGATTTAACAGACCCGACTGACCAATTCCCTCACGCCGAGGCTGGGTTGCGTCCCTCGGTAATCCCACCCATTCCTCAACCTGCTGGGATAGCTGACGCATTAATGCCGGAAACCCATACTGCTTACCTTCAAAGACCACCCAATTCCGAGACCGCCAGATTCGCCATAAGACGGCAACAACTCGCATAAGCAGCTTGGGTTCCGAGACTAAGGCCATTAACTTCTTCAGGAACACAGGGAACGTCTGCCGAGGCAACCCCTCACCTAAATATTCCAGCCCTGAGTATCCCCAAAGCGCTCGTGCCACTGGACAATCAAGGAACAAATGTTCCATGGTTTCCTGGTCACCCCAACAGACCGGGCACCGAGGATGAACAGGGACTCTTTTCTCAATGAGGGCCTCCGTAGTGGGGAGGATCCGGTTCAGAATCTGCCATATAAAAACTTTGAGCTTAGGGGGAAGATTGGCGTCCCACAACCGGATCCAACTGGTCTTATCCATCCAACTCACTGACGACTTCCACCGACCTTTCCTCCTATCGAGAGAGACAGCCAGATGATAGGCCGATTTTACCGAAAACACCCCATCCCGGGTATTATGCCATATCAACCTGTCCTCCTGGTTCTGACGCGGCAAAGGAATGGTCTTAATGTGGCGGCACGTAAGAGGGTCAAACCATTGACTGAGTTTGGAATCACACCACCCCCCCCCCCCCCGGCAAATCACCTCGGCCACTACAGGATCACCCCCTTCTGGCAGCACTAAAGGATTGTACCGAGGGGGGTCCAGCTGCATCTGGGGAATCCATGGGGATCGGAGCAGAGATGCCGAACGGCCATTCCCAATTTGCCACCTGAGACCCATCTCTAACAAATCTCGCCCATACAAGATGCTCTGCCACCCCCAAGACGGCCGAGACCGAGCCTTCGCAGAGAGAAAATGCCCTGAGGGGAAGTATTTACCCTTATAAACTTGAGCCAGTAGGGAGCTAGGCTCCATAATGATGCGCCGCCCAATTTTGGCGAGCAGGGCTTGGTTGAAATGTTCAAACCTACGGAACCCCAGCCCTCCCTCATGCTTACTCCGACACAAATCCCTCCAAGCCATCCACCGTACCCGAGAATGCCCCTCATTATCTCCCCACCAGAAGCGAGCCACATGTTTGTCCAAAAGGCGACAAAGCGAGAGAGGTAATTTAAAGCAGGACATCACGTGCAGCGGTAGTGCCAAGGCAATAGATTTAATGAGTGTCTCTTTAGCTGCCCAAGACAGGGTCCGTTGCTTCCAACCCTGAAGCCTCTCTAAAAGCTTTTCCTCCAAAAACCGAAAGGTTTCCATCTTCGATCGCGCCAATAAAGTAGGGAGGCCCAAATATTTATCACGCACCCCAACCGCCCCAACGCCCAAGATAGCAGCCAGGAATTCCTGGTCAGGCAGAGCAATGTTCTTGCTAAAGCAAACTGCCGATTTCGCCAGGTTGACCCGCTGACCACTCATTTCCTTTTTTGTCTTGAGAAAGACCTTTTTAATTACCATAAATATAACTTTTATATAATAATCGCTAAATGGTCTACATATGGCGTTTTTTTTGAACTGCAATTCAACTATCTCAATGAAAAGACAGAAGAGACACTTTTTTTGTCTCCAATTTTCCTTGGGACAATTTATGTTTAAATCTTTTCACAAAACCGTTAACAAAAGCATATTTGTTGAAAGCTCCTAACAAAATTTTGATAAAATCATATAAAACACAACTATATATGTCGTAATTTCGTACCAAGACTTGTACCGTTGTACGACAGAGCACCATTCTACGATTAAAATAGACTTGTACCTATTCAAATTGCTAATTAGAAAAAAAGCAACATGAGTACGGTGCTCACAAAGTTGGGTGCCGTCAGATTGCACATTTTGCGTTTCGTGAGGTCGTTTGATGGACATGGTGACCTTTTATTTGTTGACACCGCGCGTATCTATACAACAACAGAAAAAGCACCCAACATTTGATCGCGACGACTGTTAGCGAGTGATATATTATCCATTATTGAACCTCTCACAACAACTCAAGTTATTGGGATCAACTAGTTTTTGACATGATATCAGAGTCTGCTGTGACCGAGAGGTCTTGTGTTCGAATCCCAGTGACCCCATTTATGAAACACATGTATTCTCGTATTCAGAACATGTGCAAACTAAATCCCTTATGAGTCATTCAAGTCCCGGTGACCCCATTTGTGAAGCACATGTATTCTCGTATTCACAACATGTGCAAACAAAAGTCCTTATTGAGTTGACTGGCTTTAGTTTGATGGAGGTGTGTTAGTGAGTGATATAAGATCCATTATTGAACCTCTCCGCTCTCCCAATGACTCGAGTTTTTTTTGTGATTAACTGGTTTTTTACAACAACATCATGCTGTTGTTGTGACTTGTGATTACGTTCTCATAGTTTTCATATTGAATAGAAAAGCACCATAACCGAATTGAAGAAGGAACGAAAACGACGGCGAACTTTCACATATGCCAAAACTCAACTAGTCCCAACCCTACTTTGTGCAACATTGTGTAAACGTGAATAATATTGTGGCGAGTGCGATATTACCATATATATATGCTCTTTATATTTTGAACACGACTGCCAGAAGATTATGCTGGCGGCAAAGTTAACAAGGAGCATTTCCCCATGCGACGACAACAATGCAGTCGCCGATCAGCGGACCTTCTTAAGCCACCGCCACCCTGCCCGAAATATACATACATTATGTAATAGTGCAGGCGCCGGTTTCTCTTCTCCTTTCTGAATTCATTCTGTTTTTTGTTCCCTTCTGCCAACTTCCTTCCACTCTTCCAGACAGTCTTCATATATATACCAACCAGTTCCCTTCCATTCTCTTCATCCTCAACCCACCAATCATCATCCATCAATCTTCCCTTTCATATCCCCAGCTTTAAGTGTTGCTTCCCCTGAATTTGTTTCCCCTGAATTTGAACAACCCATCAGCTTGATTCGGTGCATCGAAAATGGGTATCGGATCGCTAGACGCAGTTATGAAAGAGTCTGTTGATCTGGTATGGTGAATGAATGAATGAAAGTTGTTTGTTCATATAGAATGATACTGACCTTCCTTTAACGATCTTTCTTGTTCTCGATTCTGAGTTGTGATGTTGGCTGGTTGGTGTTGTTGCCAGGAAAATGCACCAATGGAGGAAGTGTTTCAGCATCTCAAGTGTACAAGAGAAGGTCTGAGCTCCGATGAGGTTCAGGAGCGGCTGGAGCTGTTCGGGTACAACAAGCTTGAAGAGAAGAAGGAGAGCAAATTCCTCAAGTTCTTGGGGTTTATGTGGAATCCACTTTCGTGGGTCATGGAAGCTGCTGCTCTGATGGCCATTACTCTTGCACATGGAGGGGTATGTATTGATATATCAGAAGTAACCTTCCTTTCTTTCTCTGCCTGAACATGTCGTTGAAAGATCATGAGAGTTTAGATTGAGCTTGGTGGATGTTTGTGGTTAAATGTGCGCGCAGGGGAAGAGTGCAGACTACCATGATTTCGTAGGCATCATACTGCTGCTCATAATCAACTCCACTATCAGTTTCATAGAGGAAAACAATGCTGGCAACGCAGCTGCTGCTCTCATGGCTCAGCTGGCACCGAAAGCCAAGGTCCTTCGAAGCGGGAGATGGAGCGAGGAAGATGCCGCCGTTTTGGTGCCTGGAGACATTGTCAGCATCAAGCTTGGTGATATCATTCCCGCTGATGCCCGCCTTCTCGAAGGAGACCCTTTAAAGATTGATCAGGCTGCTTTGACTGGAGAGTCGCTTCCTGTGACCAAGAGTCCTGGAGATGGAGTCTACTCCGGCTCAACCTGCAAGCAAGGAGAGATAGAGGCAGTAGTGATCGCGACTGGTGTCCATACATTCTTCGGGAAAGCAGCTCATCTTGTTGATAGCACAAACAATGTTGGCCATTTCCAGCAGGTTCTGACAGCAATTGGAAACTTCTGCATTTGCTCCATTGCTATTGGCATGGTGATCGAGATCGTGGTGATCTATGGCCTGCAAAAGAGGGCATACCGAGTTGGGATCGATAATCTGCTAGTTCTGCTGATCGGTGGGATCCCAATAGCCATGCCAACTGTTCTCTCAGTCACCATGGCGATTGGATCACACCGCCTGTCTCAACAGGGCGCCATAACGAAAAGAATGACCGCCATCGAAGAAATGGCAGGGATGGATGTTCTCTGCAGTGATAAAACAGGAACTCTGACACTTAATAAACTTTCTGTAGATAAAACCATGGTTGAGGTATTTCTTCTTCCTCTTCTATATGCAGGGGGGGAAATGAGATCTTTGAAAGTAGATTGACTGAAAAAAATCTGTCTTGGGAACTGCAGGTTTTTGCAAGGGGCGTTGACAAGGACATGGTCGTGCTTATGGCTGCGAGAGCATCAAGGCTGGAGAATCAAGATGCCATTGATACTGCAATTGTTTCCATGTTGGGAGATCCCAAGGAGGCGCGAGCTGGGATTAGAGAGATCCACTTCCTTCCGTTCAATCCAACTGACAAAAGGACTGCCCTGACTTACTTGGATGGGGAAGGCAAAATGCATAGAGTCAGCAAAGGTGCACCAGAACAGGTAACAACCAAGTTAACCCTAAACCCACCAGAAAGCAACATACTTTCACCTCCATTTTTTGCTCATCATTATTCAATATAATCAGAGTTGTTCTTGCCATGCTAAATTCAGATCCTCAACCTAGCCCATAATAAATCGGAGATCGTCAACAAGGTCCACTCGATCATCGACAAATTTGCAGAACGCGGATTGAGATCACTTGGAATTGCCCGCCAGGTGAAATATCGAACCTTGATTCAAACAGAAAGACCCATTTCGATGGCCACCAATCATTCTGAAAATAAAATTGTCTCTTTTGCAGCAAGTTCCTGATGGGAACAAAGACAGCGCTGGTGGTCCATGGGAATTTGTTGGCCTTCTTCCTCTCTTTGATCCTCCTCGCCATGACAGCGCCGAAACGATCAGGAGAGCTTTGGATTTAGGAGTAAGTGTGAAGATGATTACAGGTGACCAGCTCGCCATTGGTAAAGAGACGGGAAGAAGACTCGGCATGGGAACAAACATGTACCCGTCTTCAGCTCTCCTTTCCGAGAGCGGAAGCGAAGCAACTGGGTCTCTCTCCATTGATGAACTCATTGAGAAAGCTGATGGCTTTGCCGGAGTCTTCCCTGGTAACAAAATCAAACTTACTAATTTGCAGCATTTCATTTTCATTCCTTTCCAGGCTCCCCTTTGATTAAGAACAATGTAATGTGCAGAACATAAGTACGAGATCGTGAGGAGGCTTCAAGCTAGAAAGCACATATGCGGCATGACTGGAGATGGAGTGAACGATGCACCTGCCTTGAAGAAAGCCGATATCGGTATTGCTGTGGCGGATTCAACCGATGCTGCAAGAGGCGCTTCTGATATAGTGTTGACGGAGCCTGGTCTTAGCGTCATCATTAGCGCGGTGCTCACTAGCCGATCTATCTTCCAGAGAATGAAGAACTACACAGTAAGTCAAGGAAAAAACCCCATATTTTGTTTCAACATCATTCTATCCTCATAATTGGACAATAAAGACATTCACTTCTCTGCCTTTTCCAGATTTATGCAGTGTCCATCACCATCCGTATAGTGCTGGGATTCATGCTGCTAACTTGCTTCTGGAAATATGACTTCCCACCTTTCATGGTTCTTGTCATCGCCATTCTTAATGACGGTACAATCATGACCATATCCAAGGACAGAGTGAAGCCATCCCCAGTTCCCGATAGCTGGAGGCTCAGTGAGATTTTCGCCACTGGAATCATCTTGGGCGGCTACTTAGCCCTCATGACCGTTGTTTTCTTCTGGCTTGCATACGAAACCGATTTCTTCACGGTAAAAAAAGAATCAACTGAACGAATTCTTCATTCATACCTGAGCTAACCATCCACCAATGAACCACTAAATGACTCTTTTTTTCCTTTCCCCATCGACAGAAGCACTTCCATGTAAAGAGCTTCCAGAAGGAAGACTACGACCTCACAATCAAAGCAGTTGCTGATAAACTCAACCAGCAGCTAGCCTCAGCATTGTACCTCCAGATTAGCACCATCAGCCAAGCTTTGATCTTCGTCACCCGCTCCAGAGGATGGTCTTTCCAGGAACGCCCTGGCTTTCTGCTTGTCTTCGCCTTCCTCATTGCCCAACTCGTAAAAACCTCTGTTTCTCTTATTCCTCCAAATTATCAATCTCCAGGATCTGAAAATGCACAAAACTAACATCCAATGGTTTGCAGATCGCAACGGTGATCTCGGCGGAAGCGAACTGGGAATTCGCGGGAATCAGAAGCATAGGGTGGAAATGGACTGGAGCGATCTGGGCTTTCAACGTCGTCACTTACATGCTGCTTGACCCCATCAAATTCATGGTCACGTACGCACTCAGCGGCCGAGCATGGGGGCTGGTTGTGGACAAAAGGGTAAGTTCGATGAAATTCATCCCTGAAAAACCCTAAACCCTATCCGCCCCATTTTCATCTTTCTAACTACGATAAATATAATTTGATCAATCAATCAGACTGCGTTTTCAAACAACAAAGACTTCGGAAGGGAAGCGCGAGAAGCAGCATGGGCGACGGAGCAGAGAACCCTCCACGGCCTTCGAAACGGCAACGACATGAAAATGTTCTCCGACAAGAGCACTTACAGGGAGATCAGCTTGATGGCCGAGGAAGCGAGGAAACGGGCCGAGATCGCGAGGATGAGGGAGCTTCATACTTTCAAAGGAAGGGTCGAGTCGTTCGCCAAGCTCAGGGGATATGATATCGACTCCATGAACCAACACTACACTCTCTGAAACTAATTGAAGAGTGATCGAATACTACTGCTGCTGCTGTTGCCGGCCGGCCGGCCGGCCGCTAATATTCCTGTTTCCCTCTTGGGTTTTTCTTTCTTTCTGTTGCAATTCTTTTCCACTTTATATGTCATCGCTCTCTCTCTCTCTCTGCTAAACTTTCCAGAATTTGTATGTTGTATTGAATTTGTATGTGTTTTTCAGATATATAAATTATTGATTTATGATTAAGAGTATCCACGTCAAGCAACTGTATTGAATTGCAAAATGATGTGGCAATGGAAATGTGTGTGTAGGTTGAGCATGGACACCTATCTTAATACGGAGTTCGTCAATGGCAATTGCAGGAAATTTGCTTAAACAAATAATAAAAGGGTATGGTAGATCAATTGGACTTGCTATCTGGATTGGGTTTTTTTTTCTTCTTTCAATTGTTTAACATTTTGATGATTTAGGAGCATAAAAATGTGAACTTTCAAACTTTAAAACGCGAAACCACTTTGTAATTTGTACTAAGTGCAGACCAACCACGTTGTTAAAAGAAAGAGGCTGATTGTGTCGGTAGGTACCGGATGCAATGCTGCTGTATTAGGATACGCTGTAATGTGTAGATTTTACTCTCCCCAGTCGATTAAGCTGCAGAAAATTACATCTGAGATTCTCATTGCGTTTACCCAGAGCTCCCAGCACCAAAGATCGAAGCCCGTCTTTGCTCATATCAATAAAGGAATTCTGCTCAAGCAGATAGTCAGTTCTGTTGTATCAACACAAAGCTGTTTCACAGCTCTGCAACAGGGAATTCTAGAGAAAAGACATTTCTATTGGAAGCAGGTTGGCAGTTCTGCAATGCTTCACGTTTAGGAATAGATCCAGAATCCAGACATGTTTATCATTATTTAGTATTGTTATTTAGTAACCTGGTACCAAATACACAACTTCAGAACCAAAAGCAGAGCACCACTGACTGATATAAAAATTAAACTAGGTATTGTGGGGCTGATCCAATTAAGGAACAAACCCTCCAAAAATATACGTATGCCTCTTTAAGCAGCGCGCACACGGTATTCTTTAGTAAAAGGCGAAAGAATAGTTCGCTATGTGCTCACTGCAAGGCTGTGTGAAGAAAACAGTAATGCTGGAGTTCAGTTATATAGCCAAGCCGTGCCAAGGATTGGGTGGTCTTCAGTCCACCCACCGATGTGGTATTTCAATATGGATGAACTCAGTTTGGCTCTATGATTAGTGTGATATGGCCCTTTTTGTTCTCTGGGATTTCATTACTATGAACTAAGCGTTATTGCTTCTTATGTTGATACGATGATTAGTTGTCCAGTCCTCGCCAATTCGATATGTACTCACAGCAATTCTGCATGAAAAAAAGGGGACAAGTTCGACTTGGCTTGTATAACATGTTTCAAGGAATACTATCGGATTCGATCTATGGATACAAGTTATGCTTCTGATGTTTGATTCGAAGAACAATGGATGTAGAAACAGACAGCAGGTCTTTCCTTATATGCAGTTTCCTGTCAAGCTTTACAAGTAAAGGAGATGGCAGCTGAAGTTGGATCAATTTGATTTTCATTAAAGAGAAACCTCAAAACTTGTTGAACTAGGTATTGTTTTCGATCTTCTAGACTCTATATTTCCCGTTATCAGAGATTTTAATCTGTGGTCTTTTGAGGAACTGCTCTCATAAACAAGCCGTTGAACTAGATATTGATGGGGTTGAACCAATTAAGGTACAACCCTCCAAAAATAGACGTATGCCTCTTTATGCAGCGCGTACACGGTATTCTTTAGTAAAAGGCGAAAGAATAGTTCGCTATGTACTCACTGCAAGGCTGCGTGAAGAAATCTGAACAGTTCGAGTTGGATTATATAGCATACTGTGCTAGGGAAAGCGGTGGTCTTACGTCGTACGTCCATCATTGATGTGGTATTCAATTTTGGGAAATCACTGCAATGCAATGCTGCTGCATTAGGATATGCTCTAGTAGTATGAGAGATTTTACTCTCCCGTACAATAGAGATGGTGGGTAGAGATGTTGAGAAAGACCCATGTGTTCTTGGTTGGAGACAAGTCTCGCCCGAAATCGAAACAAATACTCGAGTTCCTTGGGGATCTCTCCAGGAGAATGAAGGAAGAAGGGTTTGTTCCTGACACAAACTCTGTGTTGCATGATGTCGAGGAAGAGCAGAAGGAGCAGAACCTGTCTTGCCACAGCGAGAAGCTTGCGATTGCATATGGGGTTATTTCTACTGCAGCTGGAACACCGATCAAGGTTTTCAAGAACTTGAGAACTTGTGTAGATTGTCACACAGCAATCAAGTTCATATCAAAGATTGTAGATAGGAAAATAGTGGTGCGAGATTGATCAGCCAGGTTCCATTGCTTCGAGAATGGTAGTTGTTCATGCAGAGACTAATGGTGAAAACTTAAAAATTGTGAACATTTTGCAGCACAAAATAAACCGAAGTGAAAACGTATAATAATGCAATTAAGTAAAATAATTGCATTGTTGATGAATACACCAAAGCATAAAATAATTGCATATAGTTAGGACTATACTATTAAGTAAAACTCAATCTATACCATAAGATCATATAACTAATTAAAAATTCAATAAAATAAATCGAAGCGAAAACGTATAATAATGCATAAAAGTTGTTGTTTGGATATTGATGAATGCAATTTGTTTCAATATACGCTTCCATAATATTCCATACTTCTAAAATTGTACAGAAGAAACACATAGAGTTTGATTGCAATTTACTTCAATATACGCTTCCATAATATTTTATACTTCCCCGAATCAACGAAACATATAAAGCTTGACTGCAATTTACTTCAATATAAGCTTCCATAAGTTTCCACAAACCGTCTCCGTCTCTGTTTCAAAAAACCCAATTGCATAACTGTCACTTATTCTTTTCAAGGAGGATTTGCAACCCTATTCTCATCCCCATAATTTTCGGATACTCTCGGCCAATACACATGCCGTACATCCATAAAAAAAATTATGTATGTTTGAAAAATGCTAACTTTTAAAGATTGATGTTCAGTGTCATAGACATAAATAACAAACTAACCACAAAACAATAATCCAAATCATACATTCATAAAATATAACTAATCCATGAAAAACATGTATAATAGTTGTCCAAGGACCTGCATATCCAACAAAATGTGACCTTGATCTTGGTGTACTGTAACCATCTTATTTAGTCCCTAATTTGTCTTGAGAAAGACCTTTTTAATTCCCATAAATTACTTATATAATAATCAGTAAATGTTCTCCATATCACGTTTCTTTTGAACTGTAGTTCAACTATCTCAATGTAAAGACATAAGGAGACACTTTTTTGTCTCCAATTTAATTTTCCTTGGGACAATTTATGCTTATTTCTATTCACAAAACCCTTAACGAAAGCATATTTTTTGAAAGCTCCTAGCAAAATTTTAATAAAATCATATATACACAGCTATATTTGTCACAATTTCGTATCGAGACCTCCAAACTTGTAGTGTTGTACGACGGAACACCATTCTACGGTTAAGACAGACTTGTACCTGTTCAAATTGCTAACTAGAAAAAAAGCAACATGAGTACGATGCTCACAGAACTGGGTGTCGTCGGATCGCACGTTTCGCGTTTCATGGTCGTTTGATGGACATGATGACCTTTTATTTGTTGACAACGTATCCATCCGTCAACCACGAAGTGCCCAAAGATTGATCCGACGACATCTAGCTGCTGTGAGTATGTTCTCATGGTTTGGACTGTAACCACCATAGCCAAATTGTACAAAAAGAATCGACCTCCAACTTTCACAAACGCCAAAACTCAAATAGCCCCAATCCTACTTTGTGCAACATTGTGTAAACGTGAATAATATTGTGTCGACTGCGATATTTAACATATGCTTCTTTTATTACTGAACACAACTGCCAGAACATTGTGCTGGCGGGCAAAGTTAACAATGGGCATTTCCCTCCCATGCGACGACAACACTGCGGTCGCCGTTCAGCGGACCTTCTTAAGCCACCACCGCCACCCTGCCTGAAATTTACATACATTATGTAATAGTGCAGGCGCCGGTTTCTGCTCTCCTTTCGAATTCATTCTGTTTTTTGTTCCCTTCTGCCAACTTCCTTCCATTCTTCCACAGACGGTCTTCATATATATACCAGCCAGTTCCCTTGCATTCTCTTCATCCTCAACCCACCAATCATCAACCATCAATCTTCCCTTTCATATCCCCAGCTTCAAGTGTTGCTTCCCCTGAATTTCAACAAGCCATCAGCTTGATTCGGTGCATCGAAAAATGGGTATCGGGTCGCTTGATGCGGTTATGAAAGAGTCTGTTGATCTGGTATGGTGAATGAATGAATGTTTGTTCATATAGAATATTACTGACCTTCCTTTGACGATCTTTCTTTTTCTCGATTCTGAGTTGTGATGTTGGCTGGTTGGTGTTGCTGGCAGGAAAATGCACCAATGGAGGAAGTGTTTGAGCATCTCAAGTGTACAAGAGAAGGTCTGAGCTCTGATGAGGTTCAGCAGCGGCTGGAGCTGTTCGGGTACAACAAGCTTGAAGAGAAGAAGGAGAGCAAATTCCTCAAGTTCTTGGGGTTTATGTGGAATCCACTTTCATGGGTCATGGAAGCTGCTGCGCTGATGGCCATTACTCTTGCACATGGAGGGGTATGTATTGGAATATCAGAAGTTAACCTTCCTTTCTTTCTCTGCCTGAACATGTCGTTGAAAGATCATGATAATTTTGGTTGAGATTGGTGGATGTTTGTGGTTGAATGTGCGCGCGCAGGGGAAGAGTGCAGATTACCATGATTTCGTCGGCATAATAATGCTGCTCATAATCAACTCCACTATCAGTTTCATAGAGGAAAACAATGCTGGCAATGCAGCCGCTGCTCTCATGGCTCAGCTGGCACCGAAAGCCAAGGTCCTTCGAAGCGGGAGATGGAGCGAGGAAGATGCCGCCGTTTTGGTGCCTGGAGACATTGTCAGCATCAAGCTTGGTGATATCATTCCTGCTGATGCCCGCCTTCTCGAAGGAGACCCTTTAAAGATTGACCAGGCTGCTTTGACTGGAGAGTCGCTTCCTGTGACCAAGAGTCCAGGAGATGGAGTCTACTCCGGCTCAACCTGCAAGCAAGGAGAGATAGAGGCAGTAGTGATCGCGACTGGTGTCCATACATTCTTCGGGAAAGCAGCTCACCTTGTTGATAGCACAAACAATGTCGGCCATTTCCAGCAGGTTCTTACAGCAATTGGAAACTTCTGCATTTGCTCCATCGCAATTGGCATGGTGATCGAGATCGTGGTCATCTATGGCCTGCAAAAGAGGGCATACCGAGTTGGGATCGATAATCTGCTTGTTCTGCTAATCGGTGGGATCCCAATTGCCATGCCAACTGTTCTTTCAGTCACCATGGCGATTGGATCACACCGCCTGTCTCAACAGGGCGCCATAACGAAAAGAATGACCGCCATCGAAGAAATGGCAGGGATGGATGTTCTCTGCAGTGATAAAACAGGAACTCTGACGCTTAATAAACTTTCTGTAGATAAAACCATGGTTGAGGTATTTCTTCTTCCTCTTCTATATGCAGGGGGGAAAAGAGATCTTTGGAAGTAGATTGAATGAAAAAAATCTGTCTTGGGAACTACAGGTTTTTGCAAGGGGTGTTGACAAGGACATGGTCGTGCTTATGGCTGCGAGAGCATCAAGGCTGGAGAATCAAGATGCCATTGATACTGCAATTGTTTCCATGTTGGGAGATCCCAAGGAGGCGCGAGCTGGAATTAGAGAGATCCACTTCCTTCCCTTCAATCCAACTGACAAAAGGACTGCCCTGACTTACTTGGATGGGGAAGGCAAAATGCATAGAGTCAGCAAAGGTGCACCAGAACAGGTAACAACCAAGTTAACCCTAAACCCACCAGAAAGCAACATACTTTCACCTCCATTTTTTGCTCATCATTATTCAATATAATCAGAGTTGTTCTTGCTATGCTAAATTCAGATCCTCAACCTGGCCCATAATAAATCGGAGATCGCCAACAAGGTCCACTCGATCATTGACAAATTTGCAGAACGCGGATTGAGATCACTTGGAATTGCCCGCCAGGTGAAATAGCGAACCTTGATTCATACAGAAAGACCCATTTTAATGGCAGCAATCATTCTGAAAACCAAAATTGTCCCATTTGCAGCAAGTTCCTAACGGGAACAAAGACAGCGCCGGTGGTCCATGGGAATTTGTTGGCCTGCTTCCCCTCTTTGATCCTCCTCGCCATGACAGTGCCGAAACTATCAGGAGAGCTTTGGATTTAGGAGTTAGTGTGAAGATGATTACAGGTGACCAGCTTGCCATTGGTAAAGAGACAGGAAGAAGACTCGGCATGGGAACAAACATGTACCCGTCTTCAGCTCTCCTTTCCGAGAGCGGAAGCGAAGCAACTGGGTCTCTCTCCATTGATGAACTCATAGAGAAAGCTGACGGCTTTGCCGGAGTCTTCCCTGGTAACAAAATCAAACTCACTAATTTTCAGCATTTCATATTCAATCCTTTCCAGGTTCCCGTTTGACTGAGAACAATGGGTGCGCAGAACATAAGTACGAGATTGTGAGGAGACTTCAAGCTAGAAAGCACATATGTGGCATGACTGGAGATGGAGTGAACGATGCACCTGCCTTGAAGAAAGCCGATATCGGTATTGCTGTGGCGGATTCAACCGATGCTGCAAGAGGCGCTTCTGATATAGTGTTGACGGAGCCTGGTCTTAGCGTCATCATTAGCGCAGTGCTCACTAGCCGATCTATCTTCCAGAGAATGAAGAACTACACAGTAAGTCAAGAAAACATCCCATATTTTGTTTCAACATCATTCTATCCTCATAATTGGACAATAAAGACATTCGCTTCTCTGCCTTTTCCAGATTTATGCAGTGTCCATCACCATCCGTATAGTGCTGGGATTCATGCTGCTAACTTGCTTCTGGAAATATGACTTCCCACCTTTCATGGTTCTTGTCATCGCTATTCTCAACGACGGTACAATCATGACCATATCCAAGGACAGAGTGAAGCCATCCCCAGTTCCCGATAGCTGGAGGCTGAGTGAGATTTTCGCCACTGGAATCATCTTGGGCGGCTACTTAGCCCTCATGACAGTCGTTTTCTTCTGGCTAGCATACGAAACCGATTTCTTCACGGTAAAAAAGAATCGACTGAATGAATTCTTCATTCATACCTGAGCTAACCATCCACCAATGAACCACTAAATGACTCTTTTTTTTCCTTTCCCTATTGACAGAAGCACTTCCATGTAAAGAGCTTCCAGAAGGAAGACTACGACCTCACAATCAAAGCAGTTGCTGATCAACTCAACCAGCAGCTAGCCTCAGCATTGTACCTCCAGATTAGCACCATTAGTCAAGCTTTGATCTTCGTCACCCGCTCCAGAGGATGGTCTTTCCAAGAACGCCCTGGCTTTCTGCTTGTCTTCGCCTTCCTCATTGCCCAACTCGTAAAAACCTCTGTTTCTCTTATTCCTCCAAATTATCAATTTCCAGGATCTGAAAATGCACAAAACTAACATCCAATGGTTTGCAGATCGCAACGGTGATCTCGGCGGAAGCGAACTGGGAATTCGCGGGAATCAGAAGCATAGGGTGGAAATGGACAGGAGCGATCTGGGCTTTCAACGTCGTCACTTACATGCTCCTTGACCCCATCAAATTCATGGTCACGTACGCACTCAGCGGCCGAGCATGGGGGCTGGTTGTGGACAAAAGGGTATGTTCAATGAAATTCACCCCTGAAAAACCCTAACCGCCCCATTTCATCTTTCTAACTACGATAAATATAATTTGATCAATCAATCAGACGGCGTTTTCAAACAACAAAGACTTCGGAAGGGAAGCGCGAGAAGCAGCATGGGCGACGGAGCAGAGAACCCTCCACGGCCTTCGAAACGGCAACGACATGAAAATGTTCTCCGACAAGAGCACTTACAGAGAGATCAGCTTGATGGCCGAGGAAGCGAGGAAACGGGCCGAGATCGCGAGGATGAGGGAGCTTCATACTTTCAAAGGAAGGGTCGAGTCGTTCGCCAAGCTCAGGGGATATGATATCGACTCCATGAACCAACACTACACTCTCTGAAACTAATTGAAGAGTGATCGAATGCTACTGCTGCTGCTGTCGCCGGCCGGCCGGCCGCTAATATTGTTCTGATTTCAACCAAACCTTCCCCATGTAATTCCTTTTCCCCCGTTTCCCTCTTGGGTTTCTTCTTCTTCTTCCTGTTGCAATTCTTTTCCACTTTCCATGTCATCGCTCTCCCTGCTAAACTTTCCAGAATTTGTTTGTTGTATTGAATTTGTATGTGTATTTCGGAGATATGAAAATTTGATTTATGATTAAAGAGTATCCACATCAGCTACATTGAATTCCAAAATGATATGGCAATGGAAATGTCTATATGTAGGTTGAGCATCGATGTTTACTTGTTTTAGGGATGACAATTTGAACTAGTAGATATTATCCGACCTTATTTGTGATGGGGTGGATATTACCAGACCTGCAGTAGCGTAATAGCGTGGAACGAGACATGGGTATTGACATAGGCGGAGGCAGAGCCTTTTGGCCTTGTCCTGGGGGCTGGGACAGGGGTAAATTTGGAGGAACAAAAAATACGTCATATATATTATATTTCGTCACTACAACATAACTCATTATTTGTTCAAAAATTGACATAAAATTAATTTATTATACTACAAACAAAATTCCAATTGTAATAAAGACCTAATCAAATCTCTTTTCTCCTTATACCTATTCAATCTTTTCCCCAAAAACCCTGAAATTGTCTAGGGACAACGACAATCCACTAGTTTTGATTCTACCAATTACAACTGCAAGTATAAAAGAACATTTTCAGCTTTGAGTTATATTAAGAATAAGTTTCCAAGTCGATTTGGCGACCAGTTTGCTAATTCTTGTTTAGTGAGATACATTGAAAGAGACTTTTAATAGTGTAGCCAACGAATGCTTTTGCGTTTCTTTCACAATATTAAATCCCTTCGTGGTTGTTGAAAACAATGATTATATAGTTGGTTATTTTTAATATATGAATGAATTAATTGAATAAAACAATTTTAATTATTTTTTATTAAATAAGTATATATTTAAAATTATGAAAAAATGACAGGGACGGTTTGAAATGCTGCCACACCACTGGGTATTGAGATATCCACCCAGTCCATTGCCATCACTATCCGTTGTTGCTGCGTTGAAGGCTAAGCTCTCTCAATGATTGTCAATGGCAATTGCTGGAGATTTGTTTAAACAAATAAGAAAAGGGTATGAGAGATCAATTGCACTTGTGATCTGGGTTGGGTTTTTTCACCTTTCAATTGGGTTACCAAATTTGGATGTCTTTTATTGTTACAAAACTCATTCTATTGATTTTGTTTCCTTGCTTCTTTCTCGAAAGAAAGTCGAAAGAGAATTTTCGTGTAAGTTTTAAAACACTATTTTGATTATATTAGTTGATAACTACATAAAAACATTTTGATAATTCAGAAGCGTTAAAACATAAACTTGCAGACCAATACCATATGAATGCTAATCCGAAACATTGATTCACCACTACATAGTCTCTAATATGAGTGTACTCCAAAACATTCAAACAAATTGTTATACCACTTAAAATTCATCAGAGCACAACAACCATTTAACCAAATGAAACCTCTAATTAAACACACAAACCTCAAAAGGGTACTTCGAAATTCTCCAACCAAAACACAGCAATACTGCTAAGGCTGATAATACTAAACATCGCCAGTCGCCACTACGACAAAATTGGCGCTTTTTTTTTACTCAAACGCCCACTGATTCTCCCTGCGCACCTCTTCTTCCTCCTCCGGGGTGAAATCATTCTTGATGTTGAAAATCGCCCTAATCTCCTCCGGGGTCTTCCCCTTCATCATGTTCGCCACCGTCTGGCAGGTCAGATCCAGCAGATCCTTGATATTCAAGTAATTAGCGGCCAGGATTAGGTCGAACAGGGTGTTCTGATCGACCTTCACGAAATCCTCGTCCCAGCTCTTCAGACCGCCGTCCGCCGCGGCGTCGCCGGCGAATCCGTCGGGTTTGGGAGCCTCGTGGTGCTTCTTGCAGTACTCGATGTTGGGATGAATAGCTTTGAAAAGCTATAATGAAATTCCTAATTAATTATCCAGTATTTTCCAATAATACATAAATAAGATGGATAATTAATAAAAGGAATATTATGGAGATAATTAGGAATAATTATCTTAATAGATTATATTTTAATTATGGGAGTGATTATCTCCCTAATTAAAATATGACTCATTCCCAAAGAAAGAGGGAATATTCTGGGTTTTCTGCTCCTATAAATAGGAGACGCTCCAGACCCTCTAAACCTCACCTCAGAAGAGCAGAAACACGAGAGAGAGTGAATTCATAGAGCTCCGGTTTTTCGCACAAAACCGATGAGCAAGAAAACTAGAATGGCTGTTTTATCCTGGAGGCGACCGGCTGATAGTCTGTTATGCGCAATACGAGGCAGTGCCGCGAACGTCTTAAAGAGAGCGACCTAGTCCGCGACTCAGCCAGATCGGTAACCCTAATTTTTCCTGTTCGATTTCTAACAATTTTAAGACGCTCGGTTGCTGTCGTGTCTACTGAACAGGATGACCGGTTCGTTCAAACCGATTACTACCGATCTGGAGTTCATGGCTGCTTTACTCGTCAGATTTTTCCATTCCGTCTTCCCCGTTGCCGGATCGTAAATCAGATCTGCTTGTCGAACAAACATCTGCCTATTCTATGATATATGATTTGATTTATCCTTTCTGTTCTTTATTGGAGGAATAACAACGTTTAGTGGGTTTTTTGTCTGCTCGCAAAAGTTTCATGCACTGATAAGTACCGGGGAAGCAGTTTTGTAGTCTTCAATTGCAGGAGCAGCCGATTTGGTATAGAAACTCGAAGTGCAGTGCAAGAAATTGATGGAAGCAATCATCATCAATTTAATTATAATTTCCAAAGGAAATATGGTTATGTCCGAATGGCTGACTGGTAATCATCAGCTCGACGATAATGGCGATGGGAGGAGAATACCAAGCAGATCGAGACTACGCCTTAGCCGGGAACACGAAGCAACAAGGAGTTGATCAATCAAATTAAGAAGGGTTTCTTATTGAAAGAGTCCTTTTTCCCGAAGGCGTTAGCTTTAACCCTGACGGCGGCACAATACTCATGGTCAAAGGAAAATTTGATTTATTTTATTATTAGCTTTCTTTTGCTATTCATGTGGGTATCGTAATATGGCGTCCACTAACAAGTTTGGTTTGAGCTTCTTGGCCTTCACAAGAGAACGAATAATGACAGCCCTTCAATTCCATCCCGGGCCGAGAAAAGAATACCGGGGTTCTATTAATTTCATGGTCCAAGTTGCACTAGCAAGAGGAGAACTGGCAGTTCTGCCGGCCCGTTCAATTTAGTGGGCACATTCAATTTCCATCAATGCTTATCCTGCTGCCGCCGCAGCTGTGCATGTGTCGATTGGTCAAGACTTTCAAAGCTTCACCGTGGACCGGTAGAATTGGAAGTCATAATTGACGACCATAAAACAGGGACACAAGGTTGTAGCGTCAAAGGCAATATGGAAGGAACCAGGACGAGAAACAAAGAAGCTATGCGTGGTAAAAGGCTGAAAGCAATGGTTTCTCGGTGAAAGGTAAGAATCGAAATCTTACTCGTGAGTCATTAATGAATGACAAAATTAGAATCTTTGTCATATAGTTTCATGCATGGTATTGAGAAACCTAATGAATGCTCAAAGAAAGACAGAATTAGAATTTATTCTATGTAGATTCATGTATGAAATTGAGAAATTTTGAGAATGCTAGAGAAGCTAGAGTCAATGATTGACATTGAGATGTGTCTTTTTCGATGACTAGAGTATGAGTTTGAATACATGCTATGGATAGAATAATTTTGTCTGAATGTGAGCATTGAAGAATATATGGGAATAGAATGGGTTTATTGCCCATAATAACGATATTGTAAGAAGTACTATTATTAGTACTACACGAACCACTTAGGCTGCTGTGAAACATTAAAGTTTCAAGAATGAGAGCAGCAAACCGAACCAGATCCATACCAAATAGAATGGTACCCTTTGTGGTAACCATAAGATTGTCGTCCAATCCTCTAAGAATGACACGCTATGTTCTCTGTTAAATTTGTGAGAAACTAAGTCATATAACACGAAAGTGTAAGAACAAGTTTAACCTAGTGTAAACTTGACTAAAGAAGAGGATTTGATGGTAATGATCACTAAGGTGATGACAGAGGAAAGCCTTAATGGTAACTCTGAAGAATGTGGTTGGATATTAGCGCCTCAAGGCATGTGTATGACAAAAGAGCTAAGCTCAATCATGCATTGAGGTGTATTGAAGGGGAAAGTGTTGTTGGGCAAGACCCTCACCACTATTGTTGATGGTTTTGGGAAAGTGGAAAAGAACCCTAGCTCTAGAAAGTCATTGACTTTCCTAGACGTAAGGAATGGTTAAGTAGATAAGATAAATTCTTCCAAGTGTGTCTGTGTGAAGAATTAGAATATCTTATATCGCATTCCCATATTATTATTGGATGCTTGAGAAAAATATAAATATCCAAGCTAAAGGACTCATAAATATGTGATTAGTGAATCAGAATCAATAGATCTGATTTATGTTGATATGGGTAAACTTGATGGAAAAGACAATAAATAATTTATTGCTCTTTAGAGTGCTCTGACTGTCTGACTAGTTATTTGAAATGGTTTGAAATGCATAATTGCATTATGATTGCACTGATTATTCGAGATGTGGCATCCATGTGCTAGCGTTAGAGAATCAGTGTAACATGATAACTAGAAGAGCATATGAATGTGTTTTATGTTGTCAAAAATAAAAACACATAGTTCCTATGAAACGAAATACTCATGTTGTTGTGAAATCCATTGATGCCAATAGATTCCATTTATATTAAGAAATAGTGGGGGTGATATTCTGCCTACTATTAGAAATAATGGATAACTAGTGGGTGTGATGAATCTGAGTATGAACCCAGAAGAGACAAATGAACCATAAATCACGAAAGGATTTTGGTTATGAATTTGTTATTTACACCCTAAGAAAGAAAGATCCTACAAGTCTGCTAGAAGTTCAAACTTCCATAAAGATGCAGAATTGTGGGAGAATCCATTATTAACGATATGGAATTATTGGAGTCTAATAAGACTTAAAATCTTGTAGAGTTACCTCTTGGTTGAAAAGCCTTGGGTAATATATCGATAGAATCGAACAAGATTTGGCATCTTTGAGAATTACCTCTTGGCAATGAAGTCATGGGTAATAAATGGATTCTTAAAAGA